CGTGGGTTAAATTAATGAATTAATATAATTAATTAATTATAAATATAATTAAAATATTACCTTGTTATTAATATTTATTAATAAATTTAATAATAACATTAATAAAATAACGATATAATAAAAGTTATAACAAGTAATATATATAACGTTAATAAAAATATTTATTTAAAAACGACGAATATTGCGATTACGCACTTAATTAAATATTTAAAATTAATTAAAATATATTATTATAATAGTTATAATTTTCTTATTATTTTAATATATATAATAACTGGTAAAAACGTTTTTATTAATATTAAATATAATTAAAAGAAAAAATATATTTATTTTATATATTTTTAAATGTAAACATTAAAATAAATTAAATTTTAAAGTTTCGAATAATGAATATAATCGTATATTTAATAATATTTACATTAAAATAAAACTTTTAAAAAAACTAATTTTTTTATAAAAATTACTTTATATTAAATATTATATTCGTATCGTAATAATAAAAAGTTAAAATTATTATTATATTTAACTTTATTAACTTTATTAACTTTATAAACTTATATCGCGAAAACGTTTTTTTATTATATATTAAATATTTAATAAAAATAATATTTTAAATTATTAAATACGTATTTATTTAAATAATAACTTTTTATTTTTTTTTATTTTTATTTTTTAATATTTACATTTCCATGTAATTAAAATAAATCCGTTTTATTAAAATTTAAGTTTCGTTAAAACGTAATTTTAAATTCGAATTAATACGGTAATAACGTTATAGTCCCGGTTTTTTTTAATTAAATATTTTTATATTAAATAATTTTATTAAACTTTTATTAATTTTTAAAAATTTAATTTATTTTAATTAATTACGTTATGCGTTTTTTAATAAATTAAGTTACATTTTTTTAAAACTTTATTATAAAAAAATATTTAAAAATATTTTTAATTCGTAAAATATATTTTTAATTTATAATTATTAAAGCGTATTAAATAATTCGTAAAAATTAAGTAATTTATTTTTATTATTATAATTTCACGAAAAAAGCTTTAAATTTAATGTAATTAATTTTATTAAAATTTTTAAATAAAAAGTTATATTTAAATATAATAATTACATTATTTAATTTATAAATGGAAAGTTATATTCGTATATAATTAAAAAGTAATTAATAATTATTAAGTAATAAAATATTCGAATATATAATTAATTAATTTTATTATATTTACATATAATATAACGTTTTAACGAAATTTAAACTTTAATAAACTAATAAAAATCGCTTTTTTATAAATTTTTATAAAATAATTACGATATTTACTTAATATTTATTAAAATAAAACGAATAAAACAAGTAATATTTTATTTATAAATTATATACATTAAATTAACGCGCGGCTTTAAAATATTTAATAACGTATTTAAAAATAACTTTATTAAATAAATTAAAAAAATGAATTTATATTTACTTTAATATATATTTATTAATTAATGTTTATTAAAAACTTTTAATATATATTATAATTTATTCCACGAAAAAATTTAATATATTAAAATTAATTTATTTAATATATTTTTTTAATGTAATTAATATAATTAATTTAAACTTTAAAAGTTATTTATTTATTTTTATATATTTAAATTATTTATTATATATATTTTTTATTTTCATTTTTAACTTATAATTATTTAATTAATAATTTATTATAATAATATTTTATTATTAATATTTATTAAAAAATTAAATAAAAAAAGTATTATGAATAAAAAAAACATTATAAATAAAAAGAACATTATAAATAAAAAGGGTATTATAAATAAAAAGGGCATTATAAATAAAAAAAGCATTATAAATAAAAAAAGTAAAAACGTATTAAAAATAAATAGGGTTTTAATTACGAAAATAATTAAAACTTAAAAATAAATATAATAAATAATATAACTCGTATATTAATAAAAGTAAAACGATAACGAATTATAAAAATAAATCCGTTAATTCGTTAATTTAATTAATATATTAAAATATATATAATATAATATAATATAATAACGTATAATTTAATAAATATTATATATCGTATTTTAAGTTTTATAAAGGTTTATAACATTATAAAACGTTGAAAGTTTTTATAACTTATAAATGGCTTTTTAAATATTTAAATACTTAAAAAACATATACGTGTAATAATTTAAAACGAGGGGTATTACGTGATATTTTAAACTTTATTAAATAAATATTAATAACGCGTATTATAAAAAGTTTAATTAAAATTTAACGTATAAAAATTAACTTATAATAAATAAAATTTATATAAATAAAAAAACTTTTTAAAAAACTTTTAAATAAACTTATTATATTTACGAACGATTTAATATTAAAATATATAAATATATTCGAATTATAAAATATTTAAAAAAAAGTTATATATTATAAAGCTTATAAGTTATAAAGGTTTTTAAGGTTTAATAACGTTATAATCTTTTATAAAATTTAAAGCATTATATAAAATACGTATTAAATTATACGTTATTACATTATATTATATTATATATATTTTAATATATTAATTAAATTAACGTATTAACGGATTCGGTTTTATAATTCATTTTAAAAATAAATAAAAAACTTTATTTATATATATATTATATTTTTTATAACGAAAATATTTAAAAATTCTTTACGTAATAATATTATTATTTTTTAATTTTTAAATTTCGTTTTATAATAAAAAATAAAAATAATTATTAATAATAAAAAAAATAACTTATAAAAACGCAAGTTTTTTTAATAATAATAATGTTATATAATATTTTTAAATATTTATTATACGAAAATTAATATTAAATATTATTAATATTAAAATATTTAAATATTATTAAATAATTATATATTATATTATTAAAAATATAATTAATTAAAAAAATATATTAATATATAAAAAAATTATATATAAAAATTAATACGATATTATTAAATATTTAAAATTTAATATAACTTTAACGCTTAATAAATAAATTATTATTAAATAAAAACGTAAAAACTTTTTCGAAAGAAAAAAAAAAAAACCATGAATTTTATAATTTTAAATGTTAAAATATTAAATAATTAAAAATTTACGTTTTATATTTAAAAAATATATATATATTATTTATAAACCATTATTTAAAATTAGTGACTTAATTAATTAATTACTTAAGTATATACTTAATATAATATTTATAACTTACATTTATTTTAATATTAAAAAATTATTATATTAAATTAAAATTAAATAACTTTATTTTATTAAAAATTAAACTATAAAGCGAAATTAAAAAACTAAGAAATAATAATTTATAAAATTAAATGAACTTTTATATAATTATATTTAATCGAAGAAAGTTACGTTAATATATATTTTAAATATAATTATTTATATAAAATAAAATATTTTTTAAATTTATTATCGTTAAAATAATATTTATTTTTATTAATATTATATTTATATAATATATATATATTAATTAAGCTTTATTACGTTTATATAAAAATAAAAATATAAAAAAAGAAATATAATTAATAATTAATTTTAATAAAAGTTCGAAATTAAAATGTAATAATTATTTATAAATTATTATATTAAAGTAAAGTTATTTATTTAAATACGTAACGTCGTTTATTATTAACGATAATATTAATTTAAATAAGTATATTTAATATTAAGTTTAATAATTTTATTATTTCCTTTTTAAAACTTTTTAACGGTTTTATTTAAACTTTCGAAAAAAAATTTTAAAAACGATAACGAAGTTTACGATAATGAAAAACTTCGATTATAAAACGTTTAAAAAATATATAAATTTATATAAAAAGTTATATTTTAAAATATATATTTAAATAATTAACTTAAATAAGTATATTTAAATAAAAATACGTTTAATATTAATAAAAAGTTTATTTAATATTAATAAAAAGTTTATTTAATTTTACGTTTCGAGAAACCCGGGAAATAATAACGTTATTACGCGAAAAGCTTTTAAATTTTAATTATTTTTATTATAAAAAATATAATATATATATAAGTAAAGTTTTTTATTTATTTTATTTTTAAAATTAACGGTTAATAAAATTTTTAAAAATTTAATAAATTAAATTTTAATTTTATAAATTTTTAACTATTAATTTAAAAGAAAATTAAATGCTTAATAAATTATTTAAAAAAATTAACTTTAAAAATAAACTTAAAATAAACGTATAAAATAATATATATAAAAATAAAAAATATAAAATTTAATAAATATATAAATATAAAATTAAAATTAAATAAAACCTTTAATATTTATTAAATAAATAAGTAAATAATTAAAAAAGTATATAATATATTACGTTATAATTTAATATTTTCATAATAAATTAAAAATTTTAATTTATTTACATTTACGTTTTTAATTAAATTATATTTATATTTAAACTTTTTAATAATTTAATTTCGATTATTACGAAACGAAATTAAAAAATTAAAAAATAATAACGTTATTACGCGAAAAGTTTTTAACATTTTTATTATAAAAAACACGGTATATATATAAATAAAACTTTTTATTTATTTTACTTTTAAAATTAACGATTAATAAAATTTTTAAAAACTTAATAAGTTAAATTTTAATTTTATAAACTTTTAATTATTAACTTAGAAAAAAACCGATATTTAACATTAATAAATTAAGTGTTATAAAATTTTTTTAAATTTTTTCTTTTTTTACCGTTTATTAACTTATTAACTTTTAGTAATAAATTTCTTTAATAATAATATTATTATTTAAAATTTTAAAAATATTTATTAATTATAATAATTACGGAAAAACGTGCAGTAATAATTGTAAATTTTAAAGTTATTTATTATAAAATATTAATATAAAGAAGCACGTGATTAATTAGTTAAAAAAGTTTAATATATTTGATGCTTTGGCGGTTTAAGGTATTTCGCGCACCATCCTATGTGCATTTGCCCCGCGATGGATTGGAACTTCCCATCTTCACTTTTACAACAACATTAAACATTTTAAATTCAAATTGGAATACTCGGGGCTACTAACCATTCATCCATATCCTCTACGCTTCTGTTTTCGATAGAATCAGATAGATCCTCGTAGCAATCAAAATGCCTCCGGTTAGTAATTCTATCATTACCCTAATCACACAACCTATCTACCTTTTTGCAGCCAGCTCGCTAACATTTCCGAATAAATAGAGACACCAAACCCTTCCGCCGGCCCAGACCTCCTCCGCGCGCGCCGCCCTCCAATCCTTTTACTGCGAGCTCTGTTCGAAAGGCTATTCGCGCATGAACGACTACGAGGCCCACTTAGGTAGCTATGATCATAGCCATCGCCAGCGCATGAAGGACATGAAGCAGATGGTCAAGGATCCCACTGCAGGTGCACGCGCTAGGAAGGCCGAGGCAAAAGCAGACGGCCTCATAAGTATTAAACTAGGCGATTCCAATGCAGGTAGCACTGGAGGTGGTGGATTTAAAAAGGGAGGATTCAAGAAATCCGGTTTCAAGAGCGCATTCACACCGATAGGCGGATCGGTCGACGACGAAGAGAATAACAAGCCAAAGGAAGCGGATACGAGTAACAGCAAAGAAGAGAAGATCATACCGAGGGATCTAAATGTTGAAAGCGACACCGATGATGAGGGGTATGAAGTCTATAATCCTCGCTTTCCAACAGATTGAAGTATTCGTAGCCTGTAGTATTTACCTAAGTACCTACATAGTATGTACAGCGTACATCGACAACGCATAGGGCGTTCCAAGACTACAGCGGATAGGGCTGTCAGGATCCATGCATGCTCAGCTCTCGAATTGACTTAGGGCCATCAGAATCTAGAGTCCCGCGTCGCGTTGAAGAACTGGATTTAGGGTACAGCTTGACGACCAGAACGCGTCGCATCGTCTACCTAGTATGTACGAGTTTCTATCGAGTTCCGTAGGCATTGATGACCCATGCTATCCAAGTCTTAGATGGACGCGTGAAGCAGCGGTGGAGAATTCAAGATTGATTAGAAACCCTACAAAATAGCCAGAATACAATCATAGTTTATTTAATAGTAGCCTCATGAATTAGTAGATCTACTCATATCAAGAATACCATTACCAGAACGCTTGTATCCTCTTCTTCGCAGATCTTCCTCGCCTCACTCCTCTAGGGACCGACGGTGACGAAAACGATGTTGAATTCTCAATTGAGATAAGGTTCCAAAAATTCCCATCCCGGCCTAAACCAAGATGGAGCGGTCAGTAAATAGTTTTCAACTAGCAAAAACACGCACTCGGATTGCTCCTCACTGTGACGCGTAAAGCCCGTGCACTAAGATGGGGAAGAAAGGAAGAAAAATTTCCAAAACTGAGGGTGGGAGAGAAACCCTTAAGTAGACTCGAAAGCGGTCAGACCTGCCTGCCTAATCAGCCATAAATTTTGCCGTGTGGGGCAACTGCCCGCCAATTTTTAAATTTTGGTTTGTGGAACCTTAATTATTGTGACATTGTCGGGACCAATCAAAAAAGGCCTAGTTGATTTTTGACTCCACAATCACTTATGTATCTAAGTACTTTCGTTGAGTACACAGGTACATAGGTACTTACTTAGAATAATATTTTCCATATTGAATTATTGCACCAGAAAATCATCAAGGTTGCAATCTTCGTTGTTACTAATCATGAGAATCAAGTGAGGACCTAAATACCGATCGAAGGGAATTTATCCACCGAAATTATACTTCTTCCTCGCCTGCTTCTCGATGAAAAAAGGCCAAAGATAGTACAGGTGATGGGCGATAGCGTAGGGAAACTTGGGAATCACTAAATTGCCTCTCACTTCCTGATCCACGGCGCCCACGCACCTATCCGCAACGTAGTCCAGTTTGAGCCCTCGCTGATTCGGCCCTGCCTCTCGTGTCATCACATCGGCGTCAACTGCCGATGCACGGAAATTACCCTGGATGGTCCCTGGTAGGACGAACGTGAAGGCGATCTTGGGGTGCTCGATCGCGAGTGACTGGAACAGAAGCAGAGACGAGGCCTTGGTAGCCGCGTACAGCGCACGTGTCGGCGCCGGAATTATTGCGGCGACGGAAGAGATCAGAAGGATGGATGGCGAAACCGAGGTTCGTAGTAACATAGGAATAAACGTCAATGCCGCAACAAGAGGCCCGTAGACATTTCCCTGGGTCGCGCGAGCGGCGATATCGACGGCATGCCGTATGCCAGCATCACCTGCGTCATCATCTTTCCCAGGTTCTACACCAGCCAAACTCATGACCGGCTGCACGGCCGACACGCCAGCGCACACGCAGAGAGTATCCAGACTGCCCCATTTATTAAGTAGTTCCTCCCTTGCCCGCACCATGTCCCCGACGTCGCTGAAGTCGGCCGCCACCCAAAAGCACTTCTCCCCACACTCGCCGGCCAGCTCTGCGAGCTGTTCCGCACGGCGCGACACGATGCATACATGTGCGCCGCGAGCCGCGTACCGCTTCGCTATAACGCGACCTAGCCCGCTTGAGGCGCCTATGATAACAACCCGCTCGTCGATCGGCCGTACGCTTTTTTGCCTTCTAGATGAGATGGGTCGGCCATAGCGCCAGGCAAAGTAAAGTGTGGTTGCTGGAACTAAGAGTGTCGTCCAAGCCAGGGGTGTGGGGTTCACAGGCACCCACGATGGCCAATTCAACATATTAGGTAGAGGTGGGTGGCGGTGGTTTACTTGGTATATCTTTCCTCGCGAGTATTTGGGGTCATCCTTCAGTCTACGTAGTAAGTTTTATCGGGATTGCATTTGAGACTATTGCTATCGACCCTGAACCAGCTGGCGACAGTTGTGTGCTAGCGGGTTCAGGCGGGGTAGTTACCGTTGCATTTTCTCTGACCTAGGTACCTTCCTAATAGTCGCTATCGCTGTCGCTTCTCTTTTCCGATACATCAATTACATCATCGTAACTCATCATCATGTCTTTAACGACCCTTCCGACTGAGTTACATTTATACGCAATGGGGGATCTTCGATATCCTCATGATGTTTCCACATACTTTTATTTGTCCGTGCTAAAGTGGCATAACTGCTCGAATCCAACCAGATCATGTCACGAGGCAGAACTTCAAACGACTCTCATCTACGGAAATCGGTGGACGGAAGAGAATAGGTTAATCGAGGAGTGGTGACAGTGTATCAAGTAGCTAATACGACAAATTTATCTGGCCTTCCATAAGCCTAAATACCTGTATAGGTACCTATTAACTCTCTTCTCTACTACAGTATTCCAATTAGCCTTTTCTCAAATTTAATATTTCACTCTACAGAGGTGAGCTAAAGATTTGGACCAGCTTAAAGCACTCGCGTTTTCCTTCAGTGGCGATGGTGCCTAGCCCATAGCGGTTATTCACTAAGATATAGCGAACAGATCACTAACATTGAAAGCCCCCAGGGTTAAGGTTAACATCCATAGTGTCCATTAATCACCCAGTACTTCGTACCCGCTTTCCTATCAGGGACCTAGTCCGATTTTTGCACCAAAACCTTCGTGTTTACTCTGCTTTCAAGGTTGGTAATCATTGTCTAGAGAACGAAAGATATCTTCACTTACGCACCGCCATGGCTAAGTTATACTTACAAAGACAAGAGTGAAGTATCCGGAGAAAATAGGTAACTTAATGAACTAACTACATATTAACTACCCTATGTAGGTAGGTACCTACCTAGTCATGGCTTCGTCATCTAGAATCTACCTAGGTACATACTAGGTATATAACCTAGTCTCCACTTAACGAGAGCTGAATATCTAGCTGAAGAACGGCGTAATCTTTTCTCCATGCGTCCACTTGCAGCTCTACACTCAGCTGACAAGAGCAAGAGATCCATCTCTAGATAGACGCGAATCTAGAAAGTCTTGGCTAGATGGCCGACAAGGGTAGTAGGGTAGGTTACTTTGCATCACGCGAGGTTGCGGACAGTTCCCTAAAGAGGCAACTCGATATTACCCACGTCCGTCTCCAACTTTTATCTTCCCTATTGTGTACGTTGATGTAAAAAAAAGAAAAGAAAAGAAACAAAAAACAGGTGTAGTTGCTGACGCACGCAGAAGGATTTATTAGCCTGTTTCCAACTTTTGGAGATACATATGCAGCTGCCCGGCGCAGCGCATTGGTCCGGAAAACTATTTGTTCTCGATCCGAAAGCGATATGAGAACCAGTGAATCCTCCTATACATTTGAAGCACAAGGTCCGCATACATACGGTAGCTACCTGGTATCGTTCTATGCAATGTCCACATGGCATGCTGCAGAAGCTTGCGCGCGATGGTGCGATAGGAAAGACCCTCGAGGACCTCGTTCGCCCTCATTCGTTCAATTTCCAACAAGTTATAAGCACTACGGATAACCTTACATATTCACCACGTGGTGAAAATCTCGCTTCATAACCTTGTAGCGCAGATGAGAAGCTAATGATATCAGTAAAGGGTTAGCACTGCCATTCTTGTTTCAGAGTAAGTACCTACATATGGTATTCTTGCCTCGGAGGCTCCTTGTATCGTAATCCGAGCTGCTGGCTCTACGCAGATAGACGGGATGGCCGTTTAGTCGAGATTAACAGATCGGGAATACTACTACGACCAATTGCTGCATAGAGGAATCCTACGCTCGCAAACATATATCAGCGATGATCCGCCTGTGTGTTGCGCCCGGATGTCGCTCAACGTATCTACCCGTCTATCGGTCGACGCTCCGATGCTTCACTACCCATTGTCAGACAAATTTCGGGTATTAATCTCGCGATGCGGCTCCTAGCGATGCTTGCGATATTTACGAGCTGCGTACCGACTTGGTGCTGCGGCTCGGGTACGTCAAAGATCGACAACCTGATCGTATTTGGCGATAGCTACACGGACGAGGGCCGATTAACATATTTCCTCACCCACAATTATAATCCACCGCCTCCAGGTCTCTACATACCAGAGTCAAATTTGACATCGAGCGGCGGGCCAAGTTGGCCTCAGCTCGCCTCAAAAAAGCTTGGCGCGACGACATATAACTATGCTGGTAAGCAACCTACCCACATACATCCATATTAAGTAGATGCACAATTGATACCCACGATTCTATATTCTCGTTACCGATAGATTAGGTCCAATGTTTTCTCCCTCCCCCTCCCTCTCTCTCTCTTAACCCCTCTATATCTTTCTATCTATCAAAAATACTTATACAATAAATTGACATTGAGACTTCAGTGCGCGGCGCGGTGTGTACCAACATCTTCCCGGGCGTACTCCCCACTGTGGATGACTATGAGGTCCCAGCTTTCTTGGCCGACGTAGCCTACGTCAATTCTACGACCGGCACTAACACGCTCTACACCAACCGGACGCCTGACAATACCATATACTCCCTCTGGATAGGTGCCAACGATCTTGGCATCAACGCGTTCCTTACAGATTCTCAACCAGCGGGGGGAACCCTTGACGCCTTCATCGATTGCATATGGCCGACCTTCGACAACATCTATAGTGCTGGGGGACGCAAGTTCATCCTTTTTAACGAGTCACCCCTTAACTATGCGCCGCTGTATAGGTCACTTGCACATGGCGGAGCCGGTAACGTACCTCGCTGGCCCGACAAGGAGTCATACAATACGACCGAGTACGAACAGAAAGTACTCGAATACGTGACGCTCACCAACACTATCTTCGACTATGGCTCTCCATTCCAGCTCCTAGTAAAGAAGAAGTGGCCCAATGCGTCTTTCAGCATCTTCGACGTTCACCAACTCATTTCCGATATTTACAACTCGCCATCCGATTACCTGGATGCTCCAGCCAACGCCACAGGGTTCTACGCAGAGTGTCCAAGTACGTTGCAGCTCGGGACGGCCGGCTGCGAGGTCTCCTCCAACCCGCTATCGAGCTTCTTGTGGTGCGTGAGACGACGCTGATGTTGCTCTGAGAATAAAGAATATGCTGACATGATGCAGGTACGATGAGCTACATATGTCGCCGAAAGTTCGTAAGTTCTCTCCAGCCTCTACATTTCTTTTCGCCTTCAGGTTGCTTACTCTACTCTCAGATGAATACATAGCCACTGAATTTGTAAACGTCGTGAATAAGAACTCTAAATATGGCACTTACTACTAGTAATTATAATGATGGATATGAACATAATTGTATCGGGGTCCTATATATGTATTTAATGCTTACCTAGCCATAGGCAGTCTAAGATGAGCGAAATTAGATAGCTGTAGGATATACGTGGGGATAAATATTTTCGTAGTAGGGGCCAGCGCATCAGCGCTTACTATACCTACGTACGTACGCCGTGAATCTGCTTTGGTTATAAATAGACCGATCACATAATTGTACCTTTTTGCGGTGTCAAACTTTGGAAAATATAACCGTAAATCTTTTCGAGGGTGTGAGCGCTATGTTAGTAGGTATCATTGATCGCTTTAGAAGACTCAGCATAGCCTAGGTACGTTAAGAAGAGACTTGTTTTGCACCATTTCTAGAGTACCTACCTAGGTAGTTATAAAATACCTAGGTATCTAATGATATAACAGGTAGGTAGGTACCTAAGTAGTGTCTTGTTGACGTTCTATGATTCAACCGATACCCGCCATTCCGTAATCGAGATAGACCTTCTAGTACCTAGGTATCAATCATACTTCACGGCTCTCGCACCGAAAACTTTTCTTTATTCCTCATGTTGGGCACTTGGCTTTTCCTCCATGACCAATCTACGAACACATTTATACCCTCTGAACTTTCGCGCTGGAAGCCTCGCTTCGAACTGCAACAACACAATATTAGCGCAATGCACATCGTAAATCTTGTTGTGAGGGGAATATGTTGATTACCATTTCGTCAATTTCCTCGAGTGTGCGGCCTGCAAGAAGACGTATTAGTGATTGATGATGCGTTGGGCTCTATATAGTATAGACATTGAATCTCACCTTGGACTTCGGGTAGGAAGAAATAAACCCAAACTGCTGCTACAATAGAGCTTGGGAACCAGATATATCCATATCTTGGACCCCAATTCAGGGAATCGGGGTTTATAAAATCTACAGTCATTTAAATTAGTCTATAAATTCCCAATCTAAAAATACCGAGAAGAGAATTGTCTTACATGGAGCAGTGAAAGTCGTAATCCACGCGGCAAGAAACCCGGCCGCCGCGCCTAATCCGAACGTGTAGCTTCGTAGTCGCTGCGATGGGAGTTCACCGCCACATAACCAGGCATAAGTTGCTACCATTCCCTAGATTTTGCCGTTGTTATGATATAATATTTTGAGGGCCATATTCGAATACTCACATTGTAACTCATCATGTAAAGACATGACAAGGCTACAAGAACTACCCCCGTAGCTCTTGCGCCTGGATTCTTGTCGTATACGACTGCAACAATCAACTGGAGAATGCCACAGGTTCCAAGACCGGTCATTAGAAGCACGCGGCGACGACCATAGCGTACCACAATCAATAAGTTGACAACGATGGCAAGTAGGCCGATAGCGCTAAGAACGCATCCCATCGCAAAGGGATTAGAAACTCTGGCCATCGTGAAGAAGTACGCCTTATACGCTGTGAATAGTATCAGTCTATCTCAAGGTCGTTAGATGTGCGGGAGATCTTACATATGATAAACATGGAGCCGGTGGCAGCTTGCAATGTGACTCCACAAACTGCAAGTACCGTCCGTCTTCTATCTATAGGGTTCTTGAACATATCCAAAAGGCTAACTTCGCTACCCATTTCGCGCTCTTTATCTATCGCTGCTTTTATCTCTGCGACCTCGATGTCGACTTGTGCGCCGGTTGGTCTGAGCCACTCCAATGATTTATATCCGTCTTCAATTCGATCTTGCAAGATCAACCAGCGAGGGGACTCTGGTATGAAGAATAGTCCAACGGTTAGGATAAGGGGCACGATATATATGAGTCCTAATGGGATTAAGAAAGCCGATCTGTCGGCGCGTGAGGCGGTCGCCCAGTCTACGATTGTACCGATGAGAGTTCCCTAAGTAAATAACGGTATTAGAGCGTGATAGGAGCTATCAAATCGATTGGTGACTTACAAGAGACGTGCAAAACTGGAATGCGGTCAAGAAAAGTCCACGGTACTTTGCTGGACTACTTTCCTGGATAAATAGCTGAGAAAATGTCATGAAGTAGCCGTTGGCTAACCCGTTGAGTAAGCGTCCAACATAAAGCGCGTTAATGTCGGTTGTGGTCATCATGATAATGTTGGAAACGACACAACCCAAACAAGCCATCCTTAGACATGCCTTTCGGCCTAGCTTGGCTGCTATCAAACCTGCAGTAGCAGAGCTAACGAAAGCGCCTAGCGTCATTAACGACGTGATTAGTTGTTGTCTCACGGTTGAGATGTTCCAGCCGATTGCGGTTTCCGGGGCTGGGTGGCCATAGATCTGTGTACAAGTATTTATCTTAGATGTATCCCCTACATAGATTAGGTATATAATATTCTACCACCATATCGACGTACCTTGAGAAAGCCTGGCATGGCTTGTAGACCTCCTATTAGGCCAAAGTCGATTCCATATTGAAAAGGTGACAGAACCATCAAGCCGCAAGCCGCGAAGCACCGCCAATGAGCGCGCATGGTTTCATCATCTCTGATGGCCATTTTTCTCTGTCCACGCCTCGGATACTCGATGAACTCGAACGTATTGAGATATAAGCAGTCAGGTTCGAGTATTGTAGGGGTTCATACAATCGGCACAATAGCAATATTTAGGTACGCGCTCGATGAGGGAAACCCTGCAAGTGCCGAAAAGTCCAGGACACATTCAATGATGCCAAGCAATAGCTATGTTCTGAATAGGCCCGTTACTCCATTACCCCAGATTTGGGGATTTGTCCGTTGATGCTCTCCAATATTCCCCACATCACCGACGAGGATAGATTCAGGCTGTTGTGGCTACCTACCTAGGTAGGTACCTAGGTAGGTAGCTATTTTTATCACAAAAGTCAACACAACTCATCCGCATAACCTGGAAGTGATCTAGTATCGCTAATATCGCTACATTGCCTGTGGAGTGATTTACACCCTTATTGATTCATCGTGGCGGGTGGTCCATCTGTCCGTGCCAAGCCCCAGAATCACAATCTAGGTCCTAGTACTCTTTGACTTCCTCTAGAATTATGTCGTAGACGCAGGTGATACAAATTTCACCTCAAAATTCCCTCGATAAGGGCGGGAGTAAGTTTTTTGGTACCATTTTGGCCTATAATTACTCCATTGAGATGATTCGGCATGGTTTCCTATGGTCGTACAATCGCGATGAGATTCAAAGAAATAGTAGTATTCCAAGGTTAGTAAACAAAGATCGACCGTAACTTGTACTAATAGAGGCTGTTGAGGAGTTTGAGAAGTACGAGACGGCTCGTAGATCTCGTCAGTGCGAAGGAATTCTTGGAATTGAGCTCTTCCGAGATTGTTGTGGCTTGAGCTCCTGTATCTTAGAGCATTGGTATGACCACCAAGTTCTCCGTAGGATCACTATCTTCACCATCGATGGTCTGGATCATTATCGAAGCTTTTAATGTTGGAAGATTGTTTTCGTAGAAAGTACCTAGGTAGACTCGCGAACAACCATATTAGAGAACCCCAGCGGCATATTTTCTCTGAATTTCGATGCCAGAATACGATGCTGCTGAGGTTACAAAGGCGTTGGTGGCTTGACGTCTGTATCATATGGGACGGCTTGAGGGGTTGCGCTTTCTTCTGGCTGCCCAAGTACCTAACTTTTGTCGTTGCTCACGGCTAAGATGCCTAGCGAACATGAATGGCATTCCTTCTGGAATTGTCTCCGCAGTTAAAAAAAAGCCGCGCTACGTAGGTCGATTGGCGTGAGAGGGGCTTTTATGATCAGCTCTCTCGCAGAAGTTGCTCTGAATCGTCAGGTAAGAAGCATGAATGCTTCATCGATCTTGAATTCCATAGGAAGCGTAGCCAGCTCGAGCTTGTTTATTCCAAACACCGGTGGTGAAGAATGATGTAAAAATTTTTAAGAAAAAAGTTGGGACGTTTTAGAGTGGCCAATAAGGCTGAATCCGCTAACCTGCCAATTCAATTAATGTATTAAAATATATACAGTATAATATAGTATAATACCGTACAGTCTGATACATATTCCATACAGTTCTCTGAATCTTATAGGGGTTTATAGCGCTACAGGTCGCTGAAAGCCCTGTAATATTTAGACTTTATAGCGTATTAGTTCCTTATAACTTATAGCCCTGGAGGTTACTTTTTAGGTATGTAAAAAGCCCTAAAACTAACGCTAAAGCCTTTTGAGGTTATTATTAATATTTCAATCTTTTGAAACGAATTAAATTAATTAATTAATCCGATTCAACCGATTAATTCGATATAGTTGAATGCGTAATAGGTACCTAGGTAAATAAAGATATTCGGGTGGTAGTTTAAGACGGGGGTGTCACGTAGCTTACACTAAGCCTTATTAGGAGGTAAGTACCCGCCTAGTATGTAAAAAGGCTGTACACTATAACCCCTATAAAGTACAGGGCTTTTAGCGTCCTGTAGCGCTGTAACCCCCTGTAAGATTCAGGACACTGTGTGGAATATGTATTAAACTGTACGTGACTGTACTGTATTACACTGTATACATTTCAATACATTAATTGAATTGGCGGGTTGGCGGAATTGTTCTTATGGTCCACTCTAGACTGATCTTGCAATTGGATGTATTAGGTACTTATTTTCGTGGTACTTACCTAACAATGTGCTACTTAGTACGTAACTAGTACCTACCTAGGTAGGTACTACCCTATATATAATAACGGCTTCGATTCAAACCTTGTATCATTTCGTGATCATCTAGATAATCAAATCTACTATTATGTAGTTGGCCTCATCAAAGGTAAAAGGCTTTGTATAGTTGTTGTATCGAAACTCTGTGTGAATTTTCTTATGGAAGTATGAATTATTAGTTGTCTTCTAATGAGTCGTTTTTTTATCATTATTAATATGTTTTTTACCAGTCCTAGTAGCAGCAGCAGTAGCATTTTTTACAGAAGTTCTGGAGGCAGTTGCCCAGGTTCTTGTTAAGATCCATGGATCACACAGTCTACCTACCTAAGTAGTTACTTACTAGGTACCTCTAGGTAGGCAGTAAAGATCTTCAGATGTTTTAACGACTTCTATCCTACATAGTTAGTTCCGATGATAGAAAGCCGCGTCCCGGCCGGTCTTCGTACGGGTCCACTTCAATATACAGTCATAGGCATTCGGTTGCTGACGACCAAAAGCACATCCATACTTAATAACGTAGGTGCCGTAAGTTCTACCTATATGGATATCTATATCACTTGGTATGTCCCTTTTATACATACTAACACTTGAAGGGTTATTACCCTCACCATTGGAGTCTTCGGTGAGTAATGCTTATAAGAGCTCTATGTGCTATGCATAGCATAAAGACCACAAGCTAAATGGGTTCTCTATCTACTAGGCATAGTAATAGACAGATAACAAGGAAACTAAAGTGTTTTAATGAGGAAACAGTCAACAATACTATCTAATAAGTGCAAAATACAACTTGACGAAATCCTATTTACCGTGGAAGGGGACATAGATGATTAGGTACTAGGTGCCTAGGCAGTTTCACTGATGAATCCCCAATCCTTGAATTGCGTCGACTGCAGCATCTCAACTCCTGTAGCATATCAAGGCTGAGTACGACTAGTACGACTACTGAGTAGCTAGATGCCTTTGGGAATAAAAGGCCTCCTACTACCTAGTAAATTTCGAAAGTACTACAGCTAAGGCCTCTAACACACCTAGATTCTTTTCTATACGAGCTTGAAGGCGTACCTACCTATCTACCTACCTAGTACTCTTCCCATCCACACCGCAAACAATAACACGCATCTCTTCCCCCAATGCTAGTATTCCCATCCGTGGATATACGCAACTTTCCTCTTCATTAGTAGCCCAGCTCAATCCTAACTTTGCACAACCCATTCCTGACCTCTCCATTTATCACAAGATGGATAACAACGACGCGAATCAAGAGTGGATTCCTGATCACTGTAAGTTTTTCTGATATAATTATTCACGCCCATGGCGTGATATATTATTCCCTCGATTCCATGTCGCAATATTTTATTTTACTATTGTATTCCCAGCCATTCAAAGTACCTTCTATCTTACCCAATACGATATCCCAGCCAAGAGGTAGTCCGCTAGGAAGCTAGCCGAACATACTTCAAAGTCCTTCTCAACGCGCCTATCTCCTTTCTTTACTTAGGTACCTACCTAGTATTGTATATGCGAAAGCTACTAACGATTCTTATGAATTTCTAGACAAAGCCCCCTCCGGTATTCCAGACCAGGATACGGAGACTCCCGGTTGGAGCAATCCGAGTCAATCTTACGTTGACAACGATAATCAATACAATCACCGCAGTCGTAAGTATTACCTAACATCATTTATCAGGAAATCCTCCCCCCCTTCCCCACATATCTCGAATTTGATTGTACAATCAGAAAAATATCGGAGCTAAGTCCAAGATATAGAACCAGCCCTCCCGAGTGGACCGACTATGGATGATACAGCCTCTAATCATCCCGACCATGGAAACCTGAATTTCTACGATCAGGAAATATCCGGTCAAGCGGCTAGTATGAATGCGTATTCAACTAACCATGACGCCAACAACCTTTTCCAGGCTAACCAGAGCACTACAAGCCAGGGGGCGATTCAACCTGACTCCATGGAACACCAGTTAGCGTTCAACTCAGCTGTCACAAATTATGGTATCTTGATTCCGCAGCAGTCTGCAAACCCGTCCCATTTTCCGGCATTTTACCCCAGTAACCCTCCCGCTCATGAAACAACATCTGCTCCTATGACTGGTACTCAGACTGGAGGTATCAATATTCAAGAAGGAGCTGCCCAGGGCCACGCCGAAGAGAAACGCTTAGCGTGTCAAGAGCCCAATTGTACTTACATGACAAAAGCGGGAGCCATGACCCCCAAGGGCAATCTGAGAGAGCACGTAATGTTCATTCACTGTGGTGATCGTTGCATGTTTCCACAATGTAGCATCCCAGTGGTAGGAGTTAGATCAGTCCGCGACCATCTCAAGAAAGCTCATCCAGCCATCAAAGTTGAGGGCAAGTATAAGTGCCCGTGGCCAGGATGTAAGAGGTCTAACGTGAAGACGCTGTCGAGCGCTCGTCGTTGCGTCTTTACGCATAATCACCATGAGTTTCATCGCCTGAATCCGCAACAGCTACAGCCGACAGCACATCGACCTGTTATTACCACGGGCCAAACTCCCGTATCTGTTTTGGTGCCATCAGCTATGCAGAACATGGCTGCATCAGTGCCTGTCATTCATGCAGGACATCCTACATCAGGTCCTATATCATTCCCGGTGCCCGGTATACCAGCCGCACAGACCCAGCAGCCTACAGCGGACTACTCGTCGTACTTGACTCAGTCCTCAGCACCTACTCAAGTGCAACCGCATACGGTAGAGTATCCTTCGAATGCAAGTAATTCGATACCAGCCAGTCAATTGCAACAATTTGCCGCCATCTCTCCCTCTAGCATCGACCCCAACGTGCCGGCGCCCCGCATGCAGCAGCCCTCAACCGGTTATTGGCCTTCGGCATTAGGACAAACTTGGTCTCCTGATGACACAACACATCCTTCCTCATGCTCATCGACCACGGCCCTCCCTGCTGGCCAGAATTGTCAGCCTGTATCGGCTAGTCCTTCTCGTGAGATGGCACTGGAAAAAGAGTTGGAGAAAGCGTTTGAGGAAGATTATGAAGAGGAGTCAGACAAGAAGCTTAGGAAGGGACTTGAGGAGTATCTAGGCGCAACGCCGCAAGAAAACTAGGATTCTCCCGAATGACACCTGCTATGATGCGTTCAAGTCGCTAAGGTATGATTCCAAGAGCAACGCTATATTTCATTATTAGAGCTAACATGTCATATAAGCAGACCCCATTGAAACGAGGGAATGGAAACCGATGGAAATGCTTACCTACCTACCTACCTAGTAGGGACTTAATAGGTAGGGTGGCAATCATTTTGCTATTATCTCATCTCTGTTTCGTCTTGATTGCCTCCCACCAAGGTCCCTACCAGCCAATCGGACCGTACCAATGTTTCTAGGGAACTTTGCTGTAGTGGTCAGGTCTTCGTCTGGCTGCAAAGACTTGGGAATTTTCTTGTCGGCTTTAATGGATCGTGTTCTGTTTTATTACCTACCTAACTAGGTACCTAGGTATGCGCAATTATAGGATTGCATATTCCGATAACGAATTGATTTCCTTTACACTGAGTTCTTGACTTATACCTAGTAAAAGTATTGTGATACGACGGTTGGTTAAAAAGGGGTAGACCCAGCTGCTCCCAACTGACTGACAGCTGGTGAATTAAGTGGAGATTCCTGTTAAAATTCACACACTTTGAAGCCATAGGTATTTTTCTCTTTTTTTTCTTTATGTCATTCCCACTTGATCAATATCAACTTTCATAATCTAGCGATATATCATGAAGTGTCGAAATCGGAGCTCATGCAGTCTTCGAAATGAGCTTGTAGACTCACTTGTCCCAGCAAGATGTCCTCTATTATCGTGTCGAGTCAGCCAGCATCCAGTCTATTGACGGTGATCATTACAACATCTCCGACACCTTCTGCCCCTTCAACGGAACTTATATCGGCAATATTATCATCATTCCGCAATCATTGTGCGCTCTTGTTATCATGTCGCATAGTTATTGTGTTTGACACGTACGATCGCATTGCACCTCATGCAAGGTTGAAGAAAGGTCAAGTTACTCCCGATGGAGCCATGACATTTGATCATTATAAACATAATGTTATGCAACTCATTCTAAGAGAGTTCAACCAGGATAGCAACATGGAAAGCTTAGTTAGGGGCCAAGGCGAAGCCGAATTCGGCCATAGTGCCGTCGAAACCAACGTCGTTTCCTTCTTGACATCACAAACGCCCGACAAACAAGTTACCTTCATAGAACCGGCGAAACGGTTAGGGTTTGGGTTGGCTATACGTTCTGCCCTAAGATTAATTGTGACACCCTTCGTCTGGGTGCAGCAGCATGATTGGCCTCTAGTCTCTGATATTACCTTGGAACCGCTATTGGATATCATGAGAGTAACCGAGTCCGATGAGAAGGCTCCGGTAAAATATATCTGTTTTCCATCCATACGTTTATTATCATACGCAGAATCTGCGCATGTTACGCATTTCCCTGTGCTGAAAGGTCTGACTGAATCTCTCAAACGCGATTTCGTTACGGAATCCGGTGCCAGCATCTCCCTTACGCCAATGTTTTTCTGGCATGACAAGCCTCATCTAGCGTCCACCGAACATTACTTATCCCGCGTCTTCCCAAGTCGTCTTTCAGTGTCCAGGGGAGCCTTCATCGAGGACACCATTGGACAACGATCAAGGAACCAGATGAAGATGGGGAACTGGGCAAAGTGGGCTACTTGGCTCTACTACCCTGATAACGGAGACAAACTGTGCTTGCGGCATCTTCAGGGGCGCACGTGGCAAGGCACGGAAAAGGAGTTGGAAATGAAAGCTGTCTGGATGGCGCGGAACGCACAGAAGATCAACCGAGTCGAGCAGTAGGAATATCCGTACTTACATAAATACAGCCCCAGAATCATCCTGCCATCAATTAATCATCCTTAAGGATAGGCATGGAGATATAGTTGCTAAAGATAGATCCAGGTTATCGGCAAATGGGGAAGACATAGGAGTTAATGGTTTTAAATTCAATTTTATGCCTTCTCTTATATTTTTATCCATGTTTTTGAACTACCCTTCACCCCATCGCTGCGTACAGTCGCGTGTACACGGTCGCCTGATGTGTGTAACGGATCGACCTGGCTCAAGACGTACGAATCCTGGTAATACATCCCCTTATTCCTCATACCTGTTCTTCCGCCGTCGCCCCCTAAGTCCGCCTCGCTACCGGTTCTACTATGGGTCGTATCTCGCGTCAGTCGGTCCTCATCATCATCCATATACCGCGTTTCTCGCGTGATGTTAACCTCTTGCGTCACGAATATTTTACCCCACTCCATCTTTCGCAGTACCGGCCAGAATATCGGAACACTAGCACATATTGATGCTGCATCTACTTCAAGAACGGCCAAAACGATACTGATAGGCCCGTACCATGTGGGATCCCGAGTAGGCCATGTAGCGACTTGGTGTTCAATAATCGTTACCAGCCGCCAGGTCGCAAAAACGAGAACGCTATGTGTCTATGGTGAGTAATACAGCTCTTCGGCAGGGTGCGCAAGATCAAGTCGAACTTACAATATACCCATAGAGAGCAAGCCAACGAGCCGTATGCGAGTACACGCTGTCGCGCCGTCTCTGAAGAAGAGCGGAAGCGGGATGATGAGCACCAGAGTGTCGAGTAACATGTTTATGGCGGCGTGGCTCTGGAAAGTGGCGATGAAAGGGGCCGCGTACGATGAGCCGTAGCCGAAACAATTTGGACCACCTCCGTCATCCCAGAAAGTGTATACAGGTACGCATGGTACCCAGGCAAGGAAAGAAAACGCCACTCCCCAGAGGGCGGTGAATATGATTAGAATAATTAGAAACCGGCGAACGAAGATTCCCCGTTCGAAGACCCGAAGATACTGAAGCAGAAGCGCCTCTTTTATTAGTGCCGTCGCAGTTACGTAGGTGGCGTTTCCGATGTAAAAGGTCTTCAGGAAACCCTTAGCTTGCCAGGGTTGAAGTAGCAAAAAATGCTTGCCAAGGCCAGTCGTGACGCCGACACATACTGCTATCGATCCAGCAGTGACCATAAGCTTGCAGTGTTAATTCAAAATTCGCTCATCCTCGCAGACACGAAAGCGCCACTTACCAAATAGAGCAGAACACATAAATCATCCCATCCCGGAGCCCGGACTATCAATAATCGAACATAAAGTCGAAGGCTTACGCATATCCACGAGACTATCTGCAATTTTAGAATTGTGAGAATCAGCCTTCATCCCATACGAGACGAACTCCTAGTATAGCGGTATAGCGGTATGGTGGTATAGTAATATAACGGCACGCAACATACCAGACACGATATAACAACTCCCCATATTGTCGCTGGTCTGTTGGATATGGGTTCCGGTTCATTGAAATTGTCGGTCGAGTAGCGAAACTCCGACATAGTCTCCTTCAACGACCCACGGAACAAGCGAATGGCCGCGAAGTCTCGATTTACCAGGCCTCACACGTGGTGTCGAAAACAACGCGGGGAAAAACACGGCATCGAGTCAGTAAAAAACGAGGTTTCCTTTTTTAACTTTTCTTTTTCTACTTTTTAGATTATCAAAGACGGGTGATGCTCTAGATGTAATAGGTGCATCTCACCGCAGAAGATATGGGATTAGGTCTACTAACTGGCAAGCAAGCCAGGGGCGCAGAAATTAAACAGGTGACGGCGAGGGATGCGAATGCTTGGCAATTGTTTTTATTATGGATTACGGCTTACATACTGTACATATGCCATGTCAGTGATAGGATTTGATACATGCGTGAGATCCACTCAAGTCCATTGAATCCTTCGAAGAGAAAAGAGTGTTGCCCCAGATTGAAGACCCCTACTCTTCGACACGTCAAATGCAAGAATTGACGGATGATACCACCCCGTCGATATAGTTATGCCGAAGGGAAGGATTAAAAGCCTACCTAGTTACCTACAAAGTGACATCGAGCATAGTGCTACTGTGCCTAGCCGTATCAGTCGTATCTACCTAGTACTTACTTGTGTTCTTCATTAATACATACATATGTCGATTTACCTGCGTATCAAGAATTCCATCGATGTGCTAGGTAGTCGTGAAACTTCGAAAAGCTTGCTAAGGCGGTGCCGTTGGCTGTAACTGGCAATGATAGCTACATATCGGTAATCCAGAGTTACATCGCTCCGCCTTCTCGAACATGGCCTGTCCGATTCCAGGGTTGGGGCTGACGGGTAAAACAGGACAGCTGATCCGCCACGGCGATCAGTACCATATCTACCTAGGTACTTTGCCTTCAGTCTTCGTTGCTGAAGACCCTACTGTCATACTTCCATAATGATATACTTGAAGGGGTGAGCATGATATTGAGTAGGTAGGTACCTAGTACCTATTCAGGTAGTATATCTCTAAGAGCTATCATCCTGTAAGTACAACGGAAGGCAAGCGATAGAGACACGAGGGAAAATAATGGATGTGTTTAAAGATCGCAGACGATCCTCGTTCCAACGCTGCTGCACGGATGTCAATCTAGGATTTGTCGTGCATACATAAGACGCGTACCCCCCGTGCAGATAGCTAAGGCTCGGAATAACTATGATGCCCCTTGCAGTATTGGTGACAAGCCAATGAAGCCATGAAGCCATACTACCATAAGTATCACTGTATTAGCCATATCTGGCTCGGTGCAGTCGCCCGGCTGCCGTAGGGGCACCAGGAACATGGATTCAGGGAATATTTGTTAAGCCCGCTCCATCCGACAGCCAAGATTACAGCGTACCTAAGTACCTAGTAGGTATTCATGAGTACTATTTGGCTACTAATTACCTAGTGGCCAGAATACGGCAAGGATTATGGAATATTCCGACTTACCTCATATGGTTATACGATTTTAGATGGCGCCATGTATTTTCCATCTAAGCTCTAAATTCCGTTACTTACATAGGTAGGTATCAAACCTACCAGATTTACATACGGTACCACCTAGGTAGGTCTAGCTATATGTAATAATACATAAGCTGACCAAAATAGAATGACAGCCCTCTTTTTTCTCTACAACCAAAGGAGAAAACAATCTATTACCTGCATACCTTGGATCTTGGTATCTTATGAAATACTATGTACATACCTAATTATTTCATCGCAATGGATATTGAAACCAATTTGCATGATGCAAGGACCAAATAAAATCCGAGCCCATCCAAACTATTATTTGGTTAGCTCATCCATGCCATATTCCGCTCATTGGAACTTCGAAACGACACTCTACTTTCTAGAGACCGTCGATCATCGAGTATGAATGCGGAGGAAGGATCTTCTGAGTCAGAGGTGATTGTATGCGTGGGGCATGGGTCAGGAAAACAGACTACCTACCTAGGTATTGATGATTTTAACCTAGCACAATACTACCTGGTACGGCAGCACATAACGAAGCGTCGAATTTTACTTAATGATACTAGATCGCGAAGCTGTTATACTAGGTAGATATAAACAAGTACCGGAATTCGGAACCTAGGACCCTCAATCCCCGGATATTTTGAACTAAGACACTGCCTCAGGAGTGTGACAATTTAAATTAACGGCTCGCTTAAGCCCACAACTACCGGTTGGCGCCGTCGACGAAAGATTCGGATACCTACAGTACCTAATGGGTACCTAAGGTAGGTAGGTACATACCTAGGTAGTATACAGCAAGTTGCCAACCCACGTTCAGGCACACCCACGTGCGTCAGACCCCCAGACTCGGCTTACTATTGCACAACCTAACATATTATATTCACCTCCTACACGTGGGATCACGGTAACGAAAAGCTTATTACCTAGCTGAAAGGTTACATAATTATGTACCTACGCGCCGATCGATGGACGGCGGAACAAGTGCAAAGACCTTTGATTTAATTTGCTCATGTTGAAGCTATAATATAGTCACATACCAATTCTGCATCGGAACATCACACACAAGTTCCGCTAATGCTGACGATGAAATTCCATACTAGGCACGTTATGGCCATGAATATCTCAACAGCTCTAATAATGGCTGACTTACATCGGATATATTTCCCTATATTGACTCGGGAGTTAAGTGCGCATATGGCCAATATGTGTCGTTGAATGCTTATTCTCGTCATCTTTAAGTCAACTTTTTCTATAAGACATCCATGTCTTATGAAGAGGTAAGTTTATGACAATGCTTAGGTAGACATTCCATGCGCTTTCAATAATTGGTAAGATACGTACCTAGTGCCTACCTAAGACACAACCGGAAATGATACATTTACGATATCTGCGACGTTTATACGTTGAGCCCATCGCATAAAACTCATATTGCAATTAATCTAGTAGGCACATGGCAATGAGTACGGCGTGAGGTTTAACAAGCGTCTTGAGTGTAAAGGTTATCTAAGAAAGTGGTTTACAACATGCAGTGCGCTTAGAGATCAAGGAAATTTATTCAACTACCAGCTATTAGCTTCTGAGCGCTGAGCGTTGCTTTGGGCTTCTACGCGAGTAAGTCTTTCGACTGGGTGCAGCACATACGCACAATACTCATTTTTACAGAAATCGCTCGTCACCTCGTTATTGAGGATTCATGATCGTCGTCGCCGTGCAGATGCAGTCCCGTTTTCTCTTGCCCGCAATACATTGGAGAATCCTCCTCACGGAACCCTAGACACTTCACGAAGCACAGTACCTATTGGAATCATGAATTTCGTCATAAGCTCCTATCCAGGTAGATATTCAAGGCCTCAGGTAGTCATGCCAATGTTCTTTTCGAGCCCAACCACAGGTTTTCAGAGTAAGATTATGAGTTGTAAAGAAGATCCAGGCCGGTGCAATGTTATGCTTTCTCCATCCTATCCCGGCGTCACATTCGCTTTTTATTGCTCTTGGTTTGAAGGACTCTTGTCAATAGGGGTTTCTTAGACTACCTAGGTACCTACCTACCTAGGTACGTAGGTAGGTAACTGAAATCGAGCTGAGGATGATCTATATTACCTACCCCTACATTCCTAAGTACCTACTTACCTTGGGCACTTGTTGTTGTTATTTTTCTATTGTGCATTTCATAATTGGACTTCACCACTAACAGCAACTTCCATCCTTAGTTTATGATAGAAAGATGTGTACTATTTAAGTAGTTAGGTAGGTAGGTGGGCACTTAATCGCTTTCTGGATGGGAAGAGTACATATACGAGTATATGGAAGAATACTAAAAATCGACCTCCCTATCAAATCACTCCTTACGCACACATGATGCCTAGGTATATACGGTATGCCCCTCATTTCTAGAATACATAATGTCAAATATACTTAATTACCTCCTACCTAGGTAGTATTTACCTAAGTAGTTATAGCAGCAGTGCTGCTGAATGAGGAATGAATAAGAAACGGTACCTAGTCGTGAAGTAGCAGTTAGATCTTATTAGTTAACTAGGTACCTACCTAGGTATTTATATCCTAATGTGACTGAGGTCGTATAAAGTAATGGTTTTCGATATTAGTTCACGTACAACGAAGTACCTAACTACTCAGCTGTGAAGTTGCTCTCTGAACATGTTTGTCTACTAGGTAATTACCTACCTAGGTACCTAGTACGTAGGTAGCCTTTTATACATCGTTAGAATGACACCTATTCCTCCTCTTTACCTAGCTAGGTAGGTACCTAACCATTCGAGCCTATATCTAAGATTGCATCTTTATACCATATCCAGTGAGCTTCTAAACCTTGCTCACGATGAAGTCCACCGCCTGAGGGGCAAGATCGCTGTACCCATGATGAGCATCCGTGACGATCAGCGTGCCGTCGCATACTTTATCCCCATCATGACACAGTATTAATGTCTTGCTACGGTCAAAATTCGGGACCTGGCCGTTATCCTGTGCCTTTTGGGTGTCGCCATAAGTCACGGCGGCGAAGATCCGGGCCTTAACGCTGGTCTCCGCAACTTCGATAGACCGGTGCACTAGCGCTGCCCCCTGACTGTAACCCGAAACAACAAGCTTCGCCGTCGGACATTGCGTCGCGGCTTGTGTGATGAGCGCTCGCATGTTGTCCGCATCTTCGGGATCGCAGCCCCCGCTTCGGAGGTTGTCGATCAGCAAGGCCGGGTAGTCGACGCCTTGAGCTGCCACGGCGTTCGTACCTAATGCGGACTTGAGTTGGTCGATGGTTTGCGGACCTGGATTGTCGCCCTATAGAAGTGTGTTAGCTCGCATATCTGTCGAGATTCATGGCTTGCACTGGGAGACGAATAGCGAGAAAGGGGGCTTACAACGTTGCCATCCTGGGTGCTACCGCGGGCGAAAATGAAAATAACATCTCGACAACCCCCTTCTAGAAACTCGTTCTCCGTGGTTCCGGCTGATTGCCGTCTCTGAATACTTGCTGCTGCTCCTGCTATCTGTCGTGCCTTGAGGCTCGCAATAGTACTTTCCGAGTAGTCCAGCGTCAAAGGGCTGGAGAACACGAAGGCCACCAACGTGGTGGAGAGGAGCGTAAGTGGCAGCTTCATCCTTTTCAGCGCCTAAGACCGTACTTCGGAGAATCTGATTTATAGAGACTTGGCGAATGGGGTATCTTGTCTGGAGAGCTGCACCTGACGGTGGCTTTTATATGTCTCGCGATGTCATCTTAATCGTAGACCTGATTTTCCGTAGACTCAATCGGGTCTTGGGGGACCTTACTACTAATTTTATACCGACGACATTTTGCGTTGAGATGCATCGATTACCTTCCTAGAAGGATAGGTTCGCCGAGTGGCGTACATCTCTCTCTGTCCTCACGAGGCTTAGTCGATGAACACGTGCATCATAGGGACGACGATACGGTGTCTTGGTAATAGAAGACGACCATTCTCAAGATAGAAGGTGTCAATAAGATTCATTGAGATTCAGCAAGGTGAAAAAAAACATCGAGCTCGGTTTCCGCCCCGGACTGCCCGCTGGGGTAGAGATCTACCTGTCTATTGGGCGCCGAATTACGCGTACATGGGTGCTAAGCCTGTTAAACTAGGTGCCATAGCCGCATGCGGAGTGGTATTAGATGGCCAGCAAGTTATAGGGCCATGGGCTACGATGCATCTCGGTTGAAACGTCGGGATACTACGCAGGGGCGGAGTTCTTGGGGCATCTAGCACCTTAACCCCGCATTCAGATGATCATGGATAGCTCGTGAAGAGTCCACGGGTAAAGATACGGTATCGACCGAAGTCACGAATTGATCATTGTATGAAAATATCCAGATCTAGTATTGTAAGACATACATATCGGGGTTACAAGAGCTTCATGCACATCATACACATCATGAAGATATGAAACCGAGTGTCTTTGATAGTGTATTTTAGGGAAGCTCCTTGGCAAGTGGGAAAAGGGGGTATATAAGACGATGATACCTCTTCGCATCCGCCGAGAGAGGTTTCTTGGTGCTATTAGAATCGAATGAACAGCTGGAAGAATGTAGAGGGATATGATAGAAGGGCAACATTATTCGGCTACCAAGGGGAGAGTGCTTATATAAGTACTTTCAGAGTGTCCTTGTTCCCCACGATAAAGGTATACGATATGAGTTAAGCAGTGGCAGCACAAATGAAACACAAATGATATATTAAAGAGATTAGAATCCCGTGTGCGTTATGGGATCATCTGAGACTTCTTGTTTCGATGCCTCAGGTTTCGTTGCTCTGTAGTAGATGCCTCTCCATCGGTATTTCCCGCACTTTCGCTCTCATTCTCGACTTTGACTAAGTCGCTCGATATGTCACTATCTCGATCCTCGCTCCTTAGGCCGGCGTTCGACTGATTTGATTCGAGGACCTCTCGGATAATCTTCTTACCCTCATCTATCTCTCCGTTTAACGATCGGCAAGACATGCATCTCCACTTCCCTAAATCCGTTAAAGATTTGGTTCCTGGGGGTGCTTGTCCGTTTACCAATCGGCAGTTTTTGCAAATCAAAACGATACGGTTCTTCGATGCCGTCTCATCTTCACCGAGCATAAGATCCATAATTCGGTCATACCAGCGGGGCGGGCCCGGGCTCATATCGTACTGGGCGTAGAAGGATGGGAGTGGCCCAGCGTTTGGCGCAAACTCTTCCGTTGGTTGCTGGTCTAAAGGCGTATGCGGACGTGGCATGAGAGAGGGATCTTGGCGGGGCGGGATGGCGCCTAGGGCTGGAGCATAAGAGGGTCTCTGAATGTTGGCGGTTGGTGGAGGAGGTATGTTGATCCTTGCGCTAGGGGGTACAGAACCTGTGTTCGACGTGTTCGACACCTTTCTCGCCTGGCCTTTCCCGTGATCGGCTCCCTCCTCTTGCTTCTTAGGTTGAGTTCGCTTCTCACCAGTTCCTCCATATTTCTCTAGTAGCTCTAGGGTAGAGTCATATTTAGTAGCATCCTTCAATTTCTGGATCGTCTTTGCGCGCTCAGCTTGGTGGCTCTTTAGACGAGACTCTAAGTTGTCGATGCGAAAGCTGAAATATGCGTTCGTAAATGTTCTTACTAGGTAAATCCTGAGTCACGTATTTTTTGTTAGATTGGTGCGGATTTCGCTTCATAGGACGTTGGGTAAATCAGAACATACACCACGGGGCCGCCAGCCATGCCAGTAAATTCCCATGGTCCTAAATTCTGCCATCCAACCACCAGGGTCAAGACGATGGCATAGACGAGATAAGCAAATGTAAGGTATAGGGTCCACAGAATTTTGATTCGGCGAGAATTGGATCGCGCCTTGTCGAGCTTGGTTGTGGTTTTTGTGATCCTGTCGGAAAGGGTTGATAATGTCTTCTCGAATGAAGAAGGGGAAGAGTCATGGCCCTATTGGTTATCAAGCGTCCAGTTAGCTATATTACATACCGGAAGCCATTTTCGCCTCCCACATGTTGAAGTGTTTTCCGCACTTACCTTCCAAGGCCAGAACGACACCATAATTTTGGTATTAGAGTGACGTTTACCGTCGGAAGACCATAGCGAGTTGATTGAGAATAGTAGGGTAAGGAAAAGGAATAGGAAAAGGAAAAAGAAGCTGGTGGAAGGAGAAGGGGAAGAAGATGAACAACAGCAACAACAAATAATAATAATAATAATAATATGTATGCCTAGGTAAGCAAATAGGCTAAGGACAGACAGAGACTGCCTAACGTTGTGTTAGGCAAGCAGAAGAATTAAGACCTGATGACAGTTGTGACGACATTACAGGTGAAGCAATTAAGAAATAAGGACAACAATAAAATAAAACCATTGGCTGTCGAGAATTATTGTATTGCGTGTGGCTATGCCCACAATTTATGTACACTAATTGTGCTGGGATTTCTAGGTATGTAAAAGTACTCTAACAATAATGTTGTAGTGTGTGAGTACTTGTTAGATACATATTTTCGATAGGGCTATCTGGCTGCTAGATATGATTGGTTCAACTTTAAATATTTGCGACCAAGTGCGACCGTCCAGACTGCCAGATCAACCTAAAGCAAAGATTACCTCAGACGGCACCTGCGCAGCTGTATGTTAGTCGCAATTTTGGAGACTTCATCATTTAACTTCAATGTTCCTAGTCTCATTCTTCTACTTTACCTAGTACATGACCTACCACTTGTACTTGGTTTCTCGTTTGTTTCTACGTTGTGTCGTTAAGAAGATTCGTAGAATTTCCTTGATGATCTTTACTGCGCATGGTTACAACATTTAGCCTTACACAATTGCCGCATCTTTCGACGCCTTCAAATAAGGTCGTTTGTCAAGTCGTTGAGTTGTTGAGTTATTGAATCGCCCACTCGTCCAGTCATCATGTTGTCCGTATGTTTATCATATCTGCACGTCTAGCTAGCTAGCACAATACAAATTCAAAGAATTCTTCTTACCAAAATTTACGCGCAGAGAATAAAGGGTGCGATTGACCGGAGCATCGCCGAAGAGCAAGCTCGCCAGAGAGCTCTCGCCGAGCAAAGATCCAATGCTGGTTCCCCTTCAGCTATTGGTCAACGCTCACGCTCGATCTCGAGGACGAATAGTACCAACTCGCCCGCTAGAAGAAAGACTAAGAAACCTAGCCAAGATAATTCTAATGGTGATGGTGCTGCGAATCCCGATCCCGCTATCTTCGAAGCCGCTTTCGTACTTGATGACGAAGATGCAGATCCCGCTACAGTTCAAACTCCACCCGCGCCGTTCGAGAAGAATGCAAAGGATGGCTTAGTGATTAATGAGAAAAACGATGCGACGACTGAGCAAAACGAAGAGGCCAAAGACCAAATTGGCGCTGGGGTGGAAGAGAAACCTAAAGACGCTCTGTCTACCGTGTCTAGTACCCCGGCGGAACTACCGCCTCAGGTGAGGACTAAGTTAAGAAAGCTCGAGAAGTTGGAGGCTACATATCCAGGTTAGTTACTTCTACCGGATAGTTCCTTATGTCATGATTATTAACCATATAACCAATTCGGTAGAACTCTTACGTTCATATCGAATCGCACATGGTAGAGCCACGTCGATCGAGCCATTCGAGAGAGCTCTGCGCGAGAACACACCCCTGACCACCATTAAGGACCCTTCCGCTCTTGTCGAATACTTGAATCAGTTGAACTTGAAGGGGGACATGGTGATGGATGAATTTAAACGTGTCTCCGGCGAAAAGGATAGCTTCAAGAAGAAATTTGAAGAGGCTGACAAGGAACTAATCGCTCTAAGAGAAGAGCTTTCTTCCCTAAAAAGCGCTCAGGCTGAGGGAACGCCAATGTCGACTGATGGTCAGAAAGAGGATCATTTGAGAGAGAAGAAATCGGAGGAGGAGGCAAAGCAGACCGCTTCACCTTCTGCGAGCAAATCGCCCGTCTCGTCCATTCTCGGCGTCTTCTCTCCTAGACAAAAGCCTGTAATCATCGACGAGCCCAACGGTATAAGCGAAGACATGTTTTCCTATGACGATGAGATTCCCCAGCTTCAAGCTGAGGTAGCGTCTCAATCTGAAGAAATTTCTAAGCTTACGTCCGAGATCGCTATCTTGAAGGAAGAGCTCACAGTAGCCAAGGAAAATAGCACTGGCTTGGTAGAGAGTCTTGAGAAGGCAACGAGAGAACTGAGTGAAAGCCGAGACGAGGTTGCTGTCCAGAATTCGATGCAAACGCAGCTGGATGCTAGGGATCTCGAGATACAGTCGCTTACCGAAAAGCTGGAACAGGTCCGATTGCAGCTGCGAAGCTTGGAAGCTAAACTTGAGGAAGAAAAGTCGAGGGCCACTTCAGTTGCTAAGGAACAGGAATCTAAACTCAAGATCTCAAGTACTAAGAACGCGGAGCTCGACACGGAGCTTAAAATGATCGGCGAAGCCAAGTCTACACTTGAAACGAAAGTGTACGATCTGACTACTGAGATTGACTCACTGAAGAAATCAAAATCCGAGAGCGAAATGAAGATCGAACGACTGAATGAGCAGATCCAATCCACTACAAAACCCACACAAGCACAAAAATCAGAGTCACTAGAAGTTCCCACACATACTTCTACGCCGAGTGCGTCTAAAAAGAAGAACAAAAAGAAGAAGAAGGGTGGCGTTGGTGCCGGCACATCTACCACTGCTGCTAATAGCATAGAGATTGCCACAAGCGAAACGTCCGAGACCCCCCAACCATCTCCACTCGAAAGTCTAGAGACTGAAGCACTCAGGGCTGAAATTTCTAAACTGAAAGATGACATTGCCCAGAAAGACAGCCAAATTGAGCGATTGTCCAAGCAGAGAAAGACCGAAGAGGATCTCAGAGATGATATTGAAAACATGCATGAAAGTCTGGTCAGTATCGGCCACGACCATGTTGAGGCTAAGGAGAGAATCAAGAGTCTCGAATCTGAAAAGACGGCGCTTCAGGCCCGGATCATAGAGCTTGAGAATGAGATAGCTACCTTCACCTCCAGCACAGAGGCTAGCTCAAAGCTTCAGGCAGATCTTGATTCCATGAAGGCTGAGTTTAACGAACTGCAAATCAAATCTCAAACCCTACAGTCGGATCTAGGTGCTGCTCAACAATTAGCTCAGAGTCGCTATAAGGACCTTACAGATTTACGTGAAGTTCTGACCAAGGCCCAACCTGAGCTCAGAAGTTTGCGCCAAGAATCTGCGACTTTAAAAGCCACTAAGGAAGAGTTAGCTTCTAAGCAGGGCGAGCTCCGGAATCTTGAGAAACGCGAGAAGGACCTTAAGAATGAAGTTACCAGAGCTCAGCGCTTAGCATCGGATCGTGACTCCGAGATCAAACTACTCAATGATAGACTAAATGCTGAAAAAACATCCCGAGCTAGACTCGAGGATGAGAAACGTGTGGCTGGGAGAGACTATCGTCGTGCCGAAGCCGAGAAGATTGAGCTATCCGCCAAAGCCGAAAAGGCTGGTCGCGAGCTAGAATCTTTACAATCCGAACTCTCTACCCTTCGCCCCAAGGTTAAGCGACTCGAGGACGAGGTCGCCAAGTTTAAGAAAGAGAAGAGCGCTATTAAGGAGGAGGCAGAGCTGAAGACGCAGCAATACAACAATGCACAGGGTCTTCTTGGTTCTATGCGTGACCAAACGGCCGAGTTATCAATCCAACTCAAGGAGGCGCAAAGCCAAACCGAAAGCCTAGAGGAGGAACTAGCCGAAGTACAAAAACATCTTTCCGAACGAACGCGAGAGGGTGAAACGATGCGACGCATGCTTGCTGATGTCGATGGACGAGCGGACGCGAAAGTGCGAGAGATGCGTGCTCGGATGGATGCAGCTGTCGAGGAGCGTGACCGAATCGAAGATGAGTTGTCTACTCTCGCTCGGCGTCGCGTGCGTGAATCCGAAGAACTTAAAAACAAAGTTCGCGAGCTCGAACGTGAGGTCCGAACTCTCTCTAGCGAAAAGGACGAACTAGAAGCCCGTGAGAGGGATTGGCGTCGTCGCCGTGAGGAGATCGAGCAAGCCGAAGAGAAATCCGCAGCCGAAGTGGATGATATGCGCACGGCAGTCACTAACTTACGATCCGCGTTGGACGCATCCGAGCAACAAGTGCGTGATGCCGAGAAGCAGCGCTCCGACCTACGGAAACTTTTGGACGAGGCCAGAGGACGTTACGAGAAGGCAAACAAGGAGCTCAAGAATATCCAGGCTAGATTCAATGTTGGTGGCGGCGGCACCCCAAACATCGCGAGTAGTGGAAGATCTAGCGTCGATTCTACACGGAGTGGTGTCAACGGCGCAGCTACTTCCGGGGCCGGATCTCCTAGTCCAGATACGATGTACCTGAAGGCTATTTTGTTGCAGTTCCTCGAGATGAAGGACGAGAAAACCCGCGCACAGTTAGTACCCGTGTTGGGGAAACTGTTGCGGTTTGATCGGTAAGTAATGTACATCATATTACTAATTATCACAACTAACGAAGAGCTTAGCAACGACGAACAAAAATGGATGACTGCCGTCCAGCATCTGTCGAGACCTGGCAGATAGGAGATCGGACGGTAGGGATGGTGGTGATCGGTGTGTATCATAGATGCTGCATAGCGTGGAGTCCATTGTATAAAAGCTGTGGGGATTGTTGGCTATGTAATCTACAAGTGTCTTTTTGTCTCGCGGATAGGTGTAGGAATAATGTAAAGGGCTCATCTGTCCAGGTGTGTTGCAGTCCTTCCCAATCCATTTTCTAACCCAATACTAGGTCCTGTCTTAGCTGCCCAGTGTTTACAACAGGAACCTGCCTAGCTAGGTAGGTAGGTACTAGGTAGTTTAAGTTCTAGACACTACATTCGACGCAATGGCGTTTTTGCCACCACACGAATAAGGCCATCTATAACTGCAGGAGATGTTCGCCAAGTTGAATATAATAGGGCATGAATCGGCACAGGCTATACTTTCAGCTCAAGTCAAACTAATATGCCACGCGACTTTTCACAGCGCGTGTCTGTACGCGAATTACCATCAGCTGTTAGCTTAAAATGCAACTAGTCTACCTATTTAACCGTCACTAGTCGATAGCTGTTACCGGTCACTGCCTAGGTATCAGCATGTACGACTTACCAGCGGTCCGGACTCGTTCGATTTAGCCTAAAGAGAACCAAGGTATGGGAACCGAGGCTCTGTAGAATGTTACTGTAATATATTCAGCCGATTTAGGTATGTTCCTGTAGTGGTCACTTGATTACTAACATTTCTTGATATATGTACCTACCTAGATGTATGTATATGTGTATGCGAAGTCAGATAGGTACCTATCGTTGGCTTCACATCGAAGGCTATAGGAACCTAGATAGCAACATACCTACCAGTAAGTATCGGCGAAGTCCTCTTTGATTCCGCCTTGGCGAGCTAGGTTGAGCTGGGGTTCGTAGTAAAACGTTCGCAATTGGTGCAAACGACAAGAAGGAATCGGGTTTATGTTGGCGACGGAGGCCTTGGCGTCAGCAGACTGGGCTAGACTTAAGAGGAGATCATACGGGATGCTCTCTTCTTTTAGTCTATGACCCATGGGGAGACCCCAGGTTTCTAGGGATAGTTAGGAGATTGTTTAGATGGGTCCCTGTCGATTTACCCCGAAGTTTGGATCCCTATCTACAAGAATGTGGAGTAAAACGTGCTAGACAACTAGTAGAGTAGTATTAAATATCTTACATAGATGTTTACGTATGTGATCCGCCGAAGAAGCTGAATTTATCCCGAGTCTTATATAGCAAAGCGAGTGGTATTAAATTGGTATGAAGATCAAGTCCCAAACATCTCACTTGAGTTTTCTCTAGAACCATCCCTCGCCCCCCTTTACCAACAGCATATCAAACAACTAGTGACAATGGGTGGCGTAGGTGCTACTGGGTCTGGCGCCGCTGATCCTATCATCACTCGCCTCGCAAATGAAGACAGTGTGAAATGGTACCGAAAGCCGAACCTGCGGTACCTCTACTTCCTCCTCTTCCCGACATGCATGGGAATCGAGTTGACGTCTGGATTCGATTCCCAGATGATCAATGCTCTGCAGATTGTGCCGTCGTGGGTTTCGTGTGAGTCTTCCTTTGGCTAAGGAGCAGAAGATCGTTGAGCTGATGGCGGGTGGCAACACAAAGATTTCGGAAATCCCCAAGGCTCTCTTAAGGGCATCATCGCAGCCGCCTATTCTCTTGGTGCAATACTTTCGCTCCCCTTCATTGGCGTCATCAATGACAAATATGGTCGTCGCTTGTCAATCTTGGGAGGCTCTGCCATTATGGTAGTTGGGGCTTTAATCCAAGGGTTTTCTGTGAATGGTAAGGACTTGAACATTGCAGAATTGGTATTTCCATTGCTCACTAGAAATTAGCTGGGATGTATATTGTGGCTCGTCTAATCCTAGGATTCGGCATTCCCACTTGTATCGTTTCTGCCTCATCCCTGATCGGCGAGCTGGCGTATCCCAAGGAGCGACCAGTCCTCACTTCGCTTTTCAACGTAGCCTACTTCGTTGGCCAGATTACGGCTGCGGGTATTTGCTTTGGAACCAATAACATAACGACGAACATGGCCTGGAAGATCCCATCGTGGCTTCAGATGTGTCCGTCATTGGTACAAATCGTGTTTGTCCTGTAAGTCTAGAACCTGCATACTACCTGTACGCCGCCTGTACTACATGGCGTTTTCTAATAAATTTGGAAAGTTTTCTACCGGAATCGCCGCGATGGCTGGTCCAGAAAGACCGAGTCGAAGAGGCATATGAGATTATCGTTAAATACCACGCCGAAGGTGACCATGAATCCGAGTTCGCAAAGGCAGAGTTTGCCCAGATTCAGACGACAATCAGTATTGAATTAGAACATTCTAAGAAATCATGGGCAGACCTGGTGGCTACGGCGGGTATGCGTCGCCGAATGCTGATCAGTTGCGTGGGTAACATTTTTCTTTTTCTCTCCCGTCTTTTGCGTCTACCAACTCCGAGCCGTGTTCAACGGGCGTTTACGCTAATGAATATCGGATCAGATGCTCGGCCTTTTCACACAGTGGTCGGGAAATACGCTGATCTCATACTATCTTGGCGATCTCCTCGCCATGATAGGGAAGAACGACTCGATTTTCAAGCAGCAGATTAACGTAGCTAGTTCATGCTGGCAATTGGTCTGCGGCACATGCGTGGCGTTCTTGGTCACACGCTTCAAGCGTCGTCACATGTACCTTGCCTGTACCATCTCGCTTTTGTGCGTGTACATCGCCTGGACAATCAGCATGGAGAGAGCGATTGCCGGGAGACAGTCGGGGCATCCTAATGACGCGGCGAACGTGGCGACGATATTTTGGATTTTTGCTTATTCCCCATGCTATAACATCGGGTACAATGCTTTGACATATAGTGAGTTAAACTGCTCTGAACAGCTGGCTTACTTTGGCTAACTCGGAATGCAGCTTATTTGGTTGAACTGTGGCCATACGCTGAGCGCTCTAGAGGTATCGCTTTCTTCCAGCTCTTCGGTCGCTTAGCCGGTTTCTTCACTACGTTCGTAAACCCGATCGGTCTGGCGAATGTGAGCTGGAGGTACCTCATCTCATATTGCTGCTTCCTGTCGTTTGAGATTGCGTTCGTCTACTTTATGTTCCCGGAGACATTTGGCAGAACTCTGGAAGAATTGGCTTTCCGTAAGTTGACACCGGGTGTATATCTAAGAAAGAAATATTTGAACTAACTTGCGTGACTTCACAGTCTTTGAGGATAAAGCACTTGCTGATGAAGCTGTACACGCCGTCGAGAAGGTAGTCGTGCACCATGATGAAAGGGACCAGGGCAACCGCATAGCAAATCCAGAAATCAAGAAAGACCACGTTTAAAAAAATGATGACTAAAGATGGTGATGAGTAGGTAGAGAGTATTGTAGGTGTCGAAGACATATGGATGAAAAGGGGGGATTGGTAGGTATGTAGGTACCTAAGTACTGTACTTAATTATTGAAACTCTGGTACTTCACAACGTATAACAGAATAAATAAAAATCTCTTTAAGAAGATTTTTCCTACCCCGATACTGGCTTATCTTCCCCCGGATCATACCCCAACTGCCCCCACATTCCAAGGTTGTTCCCCCAAATCTTCTATCAGAGATTCAGAGTGAAGCATTCAATATTTCAATATTAGAAAGTATCTTGATCTAGATAATCAACTTCTTGCAAACAGAAAACTCTTATGAAATATCTTCTTGTCTTAGGGAGGTCACGTGAGTAACTAAAATTGACAATGTACCAAAAGCACGGACCGGAAGGTACCTATTAAAAAGAAGGTACCTAGCACGAAGTACTTACAAGAGTCACGGGTGTACCTAGGTAGGTAGTATCTGACATCTTCCAATCCAGGATACAGGATAACAACAAATGCCATGGATCACCGATGTCTAGGTGCCGTCCGTGCTGTCCGACGTTTCGCAAAGATAAGCTTCGACGGGAGCCTTGGAACCTGATGGGAGGAGCGTTGGTGCATTGATGTAGAAAGTTCACGCTAATCCCTCTCGTATCTAGAAGGATACAACCCAGCTTGAACACTCCTGGAACGTTACAACACCCAACTACATGTAGCTATTCGAGAGATAGTTATATAAACTACTAGGTACCTAGTAGATGAGGTTTATTATTACCTATCATCCTTACTTGCAATCTACACTATCCATGAGATGTATCTCGATAAGCTATGCTACGCGTCTTTAATCTCTGTAAAGCAGCAATCGGCGCCGGTCCCTTTGACGAACCCCCGACATGTCAACCGGTCGTCACCTCAACCCGGGGCAATCCGGAGTTAGGCGAAGATGTTAATGCAGAGCCAACCCAGACCGACTCCGAGAAGCAAACAACATCCAATGTCGCCGTCGAGACAGGCGCGACGACCATTGAGGCCGTACAGGTCATCTGGGGCAAGAAAGGTCGGTGGCTGGTCATCGCCGGGTAAGATTGGCTAAGAACTGTCCTCGCTACTCCTTTTGTGAAGCTAGGTGCTAGGCATCTGGGATGTGGATCGCTAATATACCATCTACCTAGCTTGTGTCTGATCATGATCGTGTACGAAATAGATAACAGCACCGTCTATATCTACCGTAACTATGCTACATCTGAATTTCAGGAGTTGTCCAAGCTTGCTACCTTGAGCACCGCCGGGACCATCATCTTCGCCGTCGCAAAACCTCCTGTGGCTAAGTTGTCCAATGTTATCGGTCGCGGTGGCACCTATTTCATCGCCATCTTATTCTACATATTGGCATGCATCATCATGGCTTCGGCTAAATCGTTCAATGCCTACGCCGCCGGCTCTATCTTTTATTCTATAGGCCAATCTGCAACTAATTTGATGAATGACATCGTCATCGCTGACTTGACTACGGCCCGCTATCGAGCTTTCGGCATTGCCCTCTCATTCTGGCCGTTTCTGATAACGCCTTGGACAGCAGCGTTTATCGTCGATAGCGTAACGGCGCCCAATGGCATCGGATGGCGTTGGGGTATCGGCCTCCTTGCCATAATCATGCCTTTCTGCGCGAGTTTCATAGTCACTACATTACTATTTTATCAATCAAAGGCAAAAAAGGAGGGACTCGCACCCAGAGCGACGATTTCCTCGTACGAGTTCTGCTCGCAAATCGACCTTGGCGGCGTAGTCTTATTTAGCGGTGGCCTGGCTCTCGTGCTCATACCAATGACACTCGCTGCCACTGCTCCATCGGCCTGGAAAACACCATGGATTATCATCTTAATTGTGCTTGGTGCGGCATTGCTCATCGTGCTCCCTTTTTATGAATACTATCTTGCGAAACACCCCGTGGTACCTCCTCATTATTTCGCGAATCGCACGGTTGTCCTCTGTTGCTTCCTTATAGCTTTAGACAGCCTCGGCTTCTCCGCAACACGTAAGATATCTCGATGTCGCTCCTTGCCTACTGTTATCTATTAGATGAGACTTGCATTCGCTTTTGAATTTCCGACCTAAAATGCGCTAAATCATTGGGGTTTTAGATACGTATATCTATGCTTGGGTCACAGTCGCTCGAGGTTTAGGCGCTCGTGACGCCACCTTTTTCACCTGTAAGTCTAGCTGATATTAAAACTCTGACGCTCTAAGCCTAGATTCGACTCAAGTACTAATAAACGAAAGATACCAACGGAGTCACGCAATGCCTTATAGGAATTGTCATAGGTCTATTAATGGCTCGGACTCGGCGTTACAAATGGGTATGCGTATTGGGTTCGATTGTCCGTTTGGTCGGCTACGGTGTGATGCTGCGTCTGCGGGGCTCCGACAATAGCATCGCAGAGATCTTCGTCGTCCAGCTGATCCAGGGTATTGGTAGTGGCATGGTCGGTTCCACTCTACTTATTCCCGCCCAAGCTGTTGTATCCCACGTAGAAATGCCACAGATGACTGCTTTAGTCGTCTGCTTCTCCTTCGTTGGAGGCAGTGTGGGAGCTTGCATCTCTGGCGGAATTTATACTGGTACGATAAGATCGGAATTGTTGCGCTATTTGGGAGGAGGGGCAACCGCGGAGGCCGTGTCGGCGTTAGCAAACTCGATCACAGGTGTAGTGCCTGGATGGGATACGCCAGAACGGATAGCAGTCAACTTAGCGGTGAGTAACTACCTACGTAGGCTCCAGGATAAATTGCCGGCTCTTGCTTATTTCAAAATAGTTCACTCAGGTTATGAAATATATGACCTATGCGGCCGTGGGGTCTTCAGCAATTGCACTCATCGGATCACTCTTCATGCCAAACTTCGAGTTACCGTGAGTACCTATCTCCTTTTCATTCCATCCAAGATGTTCGCTAACTAGTCACCAGTGATAAGAATAACCTCGTAGAGTAATGGATGGGTAAAAAGCAATAATATCTAATGTACCTATCATCTATACTATAGGTAAACACTAACCAACATTAGGTACTCATAACGTAAATCGTTTATTAATTTCCCAACCAATGCATAATACCTGGGGATATGTCAATGCGATTAAAGACATTAGTGATGAACACGACTTAGGATAGAACCAATACCACAACACCATGCTTCACGAGAACCGCAATCCTAGCCCTGGTTCAAACCCCCAATTTGAGTTCATCAATTCGTAAGATGCCATTGCCAATTCGTCTCCAACTTTTGGATATACGTCATCAAAAGGCGTGTAATCTGGCTCACATGTTGTTCCTGGCTTTGGGAGCGTGCCGTTCTGGAAGTAGGCGCGAATGTATCCGGCTGTGCAAACTGAAGCTGCTGAAAGGCTAGTGTGCTGAGAGTGGAGTTTATGTGTTAGTCTTCATGTGTATGTGACTTGAAGCAACGCGATCTCTTACCCCGTAGGAATTCTGCACTAAGACCACCGACCCTGGAAACCCTCGGGAGTTGTTTCTGGCGCTGACGAGCGGCGATACGTTATCGGCCATATTAGCCACGTAGAGAATTGGATGGCTTGTGTTGCCTTCGAACGGGCCGGCATATCTCCATTTAGGTCTGACGGTCCTGCCTACGCAGGCCATCCTGAAGAGAGCATTGACATCGCCGGCTGCAGAGCTAGGTACATGATAAGCTCACCCGACCTTACACGCATAAGCCTAGGTATGCTAAAGGGGACCTACCTGATATGTGTGAGTTCTTCAACGAACTCGGCGAATTCTTCTACCGTATCTTCCATGGGAGGTGAATCGGCACAAAGAATCGCAGGGAAAGCATCCGCATTTCCCTCTTCCAGCCTTGGCACATTAGGTGGGATAGTTTCGACTGAACAGACAGGTACGGAGTCTTTGGACCCTACCATTCGGTAAAAAGGCTCACCGTCTCCGTCCTCTAAGGACTTAAGAACCTTAGCGAAATCCTTGAACATAAAAATCGGTCGGTATAGTGCGGCAGAGATCAACCGCTTGAGATTAGACCATGTAATCAACTGGGGCATGTCCGGTCCCGTTCCGGATGCCGGTACTATGATGGGATGTTCTCGGATTCGCAAAAGTAAGTTAGCGAGCCGTTCTTCTATGGCCGCTGGGGATGATGCATAGAAATCACAGCTAGAGGGGCCGGCTTTGTGACAAAAGTCATAAAAGGCCTCCATGACCTTGTCAGTATCGTGTAGAAAATTTATGTAAGAATTCCAATGCCATTCTTGGTAGTCCACGTTTCCTACGAATGTTCATTTCAGTGTCACTCAATCTCGAGGGTATTTTCATGCTTCTTACTTACCATCACTGACAAGCCTTTCGACTTTATCAGGATACATAGCTGCGAAGACCTGTATTGCGCGACGTTAGCAGCTTCTTACGGCGAAGACCATAGTCTAAGATTTCGCTCTGGCCTACGTCAATGGCTCAAAGTATGAAAGGGTCTTACACCGCCTAGAATTGTCCCATAGCTGAACCCCCAATATTTGAGCTTATCTTGCCCAGCTTGATGCATGATCTCAAACAAGTCGCGGGCGTGTGAAACGGTGCTAATATGCGAAAGCAATGGTGAGTTATTCGTATTCCTTTCACAAGCCTGTGAGAAAGCGGTTGCTCGTGCGAAGGCGTCGAAAATCACTCCGGGGTGGGCATTTACTACACCAACGTCCTGCAATGCCCAGAGACGGCTCTTTTCCTCGGAACCCCAACAGTCGACTCGCGGGATCGATGCGCCGATGCCCCGGGGATCAAAGGATATAATATCATGGTCTTTGCCAGCAATAGTCTGCAGAAGTGCGCCGCGATCTCTGAGAGCGTAAACGCCCGACCCACCAGGACCCCCTGGATTGAAGATTATGCTTCCTCGATAGCTCCCCGACTCGGTGGCTCTAAGTCGTGTGATTGCTAGCACGACTCTTCCCGACGGGTCATCAGACGGGTCGAGCCAGTCCATCGGGACATCCAATCTTGCGCAGTCGTAAGTGTCATCGTAGCAACGATGCCAACGAAGCGTCCTGCTGGGCTCAATATCATTCCATTTCCAGTCTTCGGAATAGGTCACCGCCGCCTCAGGACTTGTGAGTCGATTAATTATCAGGCTTGCTCCTTTCCACTGGTAAAGTAGAGATAGTAGTGAGAAGAGCCCAATGACTATGATTGCTACCAATTTCCATCGCGATATCCTCCATGCTTCAGTAGATGAAGATGGGATATGACCCTTAGTATGGACTACACGAGTGTGCATCATTCCAGTGGGCCGTAATGAAAGCCTGAAGGCATGATGAGGTGGGGAGATAGGTAGGTTGGTAGAGAAAATGATGAGAATGCAAAACGCCAAACGCCAAATGCCAAGTTGATAACAGGGGGGTGCTACTACCAAGTACTAGATAAATGATCCAATTTGTCGGATAAGTTCTTCTTCCTGGTACCTAGTAAGTACTGCTACCTCATGTACTGTGTATGTCACAAGACTAATGTCGTGGTTAACGTTGTGTATCTCAACTTTACCTTAAGCACATGTGCAGTGTAACAACTACCTAGTACCAAGATACGGTACTAGGTACCTCTCTTATCAGATGGAGAAAGGCACGTACCCGTGAACCGGGATGCCGGGGTACCCGAGCCGTCCAAGGACATCTGGATTCTACTAGGTACATACTAGGTAGAGTTATCGGCTGTCCCCGGCTGCCCGATACCTGGGTACGCAATTATGTAGGTAATCGTGATATGAAGATAACCAATATGCATGCAGCTATCCCTCTTTTGATTCCCATAGAACACACCGTCCATACCGTTGTTCAAAATGAAGTCATACACAAGTGTACAATCTTTTAAAGATGGTTATTAACATTTCATACCACATTCTCCCCATCTACCACTCTAGCAAAATTCATTCGTCTCTGTAATCGGTAGGTAATCGGTTCTTAAAGGGCTCATCTTAGAGAATATAAAACATGCTTTTCCTATATTAGCAGCATAACCCATCAATTACTAGGTAATCATCATTTATCATCTCTTATTTCGTGATGGCCGTCTTGATTTTTGCCTGCTAAGACCTTCTGATATAATCTCTGACTCTACAGCAAAGGCGCTTTTTTTCCGCAGAGGATCTATCTGATCCAGAATGAAATCATCCTGGTAATGTTGCGCTCTCTTTTCCACAGGGGCTAATTCGGCCAGCCTACTCTGGCTCGACTCGCTACCTGCTATGCTGGGACATCTCTTCCACTTATTGTCGCGGTCTTCGCTTGCCGTGCGCTGAAGCTCGATCGTATCGCCGGCGTCGACTGAAAATCGGTTCGATCGACGATTCAATGTGATGGTCACTTCTCTGGTGACAAATATTTCATCAAGTCGAACCTTTAGCGAAGGCCAGAAAATAGGGAAAGATGCGCAAATACTTTACATAGACCTAGAAGTTAATGGCTGTCATGCGTATAAGGATATGGGGATGACTCTGACCTTGCTGTCATCGCTTCTAATGTTCCGAGCATAATACTAATAGGTCCGTACCACGTCGGATCGAAAGTCGGGCTTGTTGTAGCCCTGTGCTCAACTATCGTTGCAAGCCGCCATATAGAAAGGCCATTTACGCTGTCGGACATTAGCATAGGAATTCTTGTAATACGGAATAAAATCACGAACACTGCCCCCGTGGAAACCACCCCAGCCAGCCCTAGCTTTGTCCGTCGGATCGTGTCTCGTTGGAAATATAGTGGAATCGGTATTGTAAACACTATCATATCCAGCACGGTATTAACCACAGTGTGGGAAAGATAGCTCTTATAAAATTCGTTGGCATTCCTGGAACCAAACCCATAGCACCTTGCCTCCATTTCTAGGTTCCAATACCCGCTTACGGGAATACAGGGAACCCAGGCCATCAACGAATACCCTGCACCCCATAAACCAATAATCGCCATCATGACGATGCACATGATCCGCATGTGCCCGCTTTGGAAGACGCGCAGATATTGAAACAGGAGGGATATCTTGATGAAGGTTGTCGACATGTTATAGGAAGCGTTCGTTGCATAAAATATCTAGGGTAGTGTTAGGTAAGTACTACGTTCCGAGTTAACTCTTCCGTGACCTAGCCGCTACCTTCATACCGTGAGATACGATTTTATATCGCTTGATTTTAGTAAGAGGATGTGCTGACCCAACCCGAAGTGAGGAGCTCGGAAAAGTCAGCACCTTAAGAAACATCCAGTTTCGAATATATTCTACTCACCAAGACATACTCCTATACCACTAACCAACCCAGTTATCTTTCTCATCGTTGTCAGTTATCTAGCCATAGTATCTTTTGAACTGGTCTCTTACAAGATAGAGCAAGACGAAGAAATCATCCCAGCCCTTAGCCCGAACAACGAAGAGCCGTATGTAGAGACGATAAACCACACAAATCGACGAGAGACACTGGCGTATCAGAGTTAGGGGTGTTGATTTCTCTTCAGTAGGTATTTTACTCTACTCACTGTCATGGACGCGGAAACCGCCATGATGACCCCAGGGTGATTCCATGACGGCACCGGATCATTGAGGTTGTTGTAAATGCCGATTCGGCTCACCAACGTCTCCTCAGTCATACTATTCTCAACAACTCTATCGAGTATTTAGAGTACAGATGCGTTTTTTTAACTTAGTTCCACATATCATTTGAACTAGTTCTCGTGGTGATCGTTAAACATCAATTCTGGAGATGGTCGGCACTTCTGAATCTTGGCCTGCTCTGATGACAAACAGTCGAAATCGAGATTAACACGAATTTTACCTCATGATAAATTAGGATGAGAATTTGTGAGGCTCTTTCTCCGGGATTTACCCCCCTTTTTGGATTCCGCGATGCAAGTGTCCATCATGCACGTTGACCCTCACCCAATATTCAAAAGCCAATAAGATATATCGCGGCCAGGGATGTTCTCATTCTACACGTCATATGCTTGAACCATAAGTGTAGTATGGCTAGAAAGCCCACTCTGCTGGGTTACTAGGCATTCACTAGCGATCGTTCTAGGGTTTCAAGGATCTGTGTAATGTCATTTTACATACCTAGGTAGGTAGATCTAATGTTGGACAACAAATTCACATGTTAGACTAACTAGGTTCTGTCTACTACTAAGGTATTAACCCTGTTGAATCGGATCTAACTACCTAGATAGGTACTACTTATATTACACCACTGGCGAATCGCATCCAAGACAATAATAAGCTAATGAGTATCGATACCTAGCTGGATACTAGGTATTAATAGGTATCGACTATGAAGTCACTCGTTGTTTTAATAGGAGGAGAGATTTGAAAAAAGATTTTGTTCTGGGAAGTTCATGGATGAAAAGGTCCATAACCGAATACTTATAGTAGGAGAAATCCTATCATACATAACAAGGCACCTAGTAATAACTTATAAGAACTTACGTAGAAATACCCTCATTACATCTAGTATAATCTTTCTTACAGAGTATAAAGGAATTAAAGACTCCCACCGCTTAGTATTGAGATTGAGCCCTTTGTAAAGAAACTTGCGACTTAGCTTATTGCTTAATTTACCAACCTGTACTTATCATCTGACCATCAAAAGCTCCGGGAGTCATATATTAGCCTTTCAAGGAGGAAGATAATAGCTACTCTAGTCTTCGGTGCACTGGCTGCGATGAAACCGGGCTCCAGCGAGACTGGGTTCTCGAGATCGTAGAGGCCATCGGGGGATGTCGCAGACGGAGTCTTGCAGAGGTCGTGTCGCACTGGTGATATATTCCTCAGACGCTCGTGCTAGCCACTGATAAAACTAGATAACCCTAGGTTGAGGTGCGGTCAGCAGTAACACGCGTCATAAGAATCCTGCCTGAGACCTTCATCGTTTTCATGATCTCGGCTACCGGGTTATGTATCAGTAGCCACGTCTCTTGGCCAGGAAGACGAGCGTCGCAAAAGTCAAGCTCCGACACGCGATGAAAGCCTATCTCCAACTGTAACGCAGCAAGAGAACTAGTAATAAATGATTCACAAATGCCTCCGAGACCGAGTGCAAAGCGCTAGGAATCGATGAAAACCAGATCGCAATGATATTCTTTACGGTTTGTATGTTATTCTTCGCAATAAGCTAGCAGCATTTTCCTATGTCATATGCGCCTTGCTAGGTATACCGAATGTATGTTTTACGTAGATTGGGGCACCAATACTAACACCCGTAGGGCAATCATATTGACTTCTTGCGTACTTTCTCGACACACTGAAGCTGCTTATTGCCGTGAGAAATGAGACCGACGCGGCATTCGATGAACCCGGCCACCTCGACCCGGCGCGCCTTCACGACGGCCAACACAACCAGTATTTCGACGGGGTCCGGAACAAGACGATCTGCAAGAAAGAGTACGCGTCCTCGGTGCGCTTTACCACGCGCAACACGATTATTGGGGGTAAGGTACTGCGTCGGGGCCGCCGCTTATGATCCCGTACCGGTAGCTGCGCTTCGACGAGGACGTGTCCGGACCCGGTATCGACGAGTTCCAGCAAATGTGGTCTAACTTCGATGTCACTGCCTTCGGCGCAGGCGCCACCATGTGTCCCAGTCAATATATCATGAAGTGCTCAACGTACCTAATATATATTCATAGCGCTCTTGCGACATAGGTACGATGTGAGGAGCGTCGGGCTGAGGACGGTGCGTAAGGCGGAGGCGGGGGAAGCCTGCACTAAGCAATATGTCAGTGAAGGGCGAAGCTGAAGCAGGGGAGGTTACGAAACAAAGTAAAATCAATATTAACAAATTCCCAGACTTAGATGAGATGTCCGTCAAAGCGCTTGGACCTCCCGTATGTACCTAGTATTAGGCAGGTATCTACGTAGATGAGGGGCTAAGTGTTATGTAATCAAATAGCGCTGGAGGTAGGTACGTGGGTAGTGGTAGCCTACCTAATTAAATACAGCACTAAGTAACACTGTAAATTACCAAGAAATGCAACATCTCAACCACTCCAACCAAAATCATACCTAACTTCCTTAATGGCTTGTTTAAATATTAACTTATATATTCTTTCAAAGAACCAAGAAGCTACGTCTTACTAGTTATTTCCAATCCTTAAGCACCGTCTCACTCTCTTTTAGCTGCGTATAGCGCACACTATCGCGCCAGATCATCTCCCGCTTCTTTGCATCCTTGGCTTCTGACGTCGTTTCTGCCAGCGCCGGGCCATCGAAGTAGGCCGCCTTGGCTACCGAGACGTCCATTACAGCGCGTATGATATCGCCGGCAGACCGTGTAGTCGTGCGCATCTTCCCGTTAGATTCCAGACACAGCCACATCATCACATACTCCATGATCGGCATAACGATGCCTTGTACTATGTTGCCGGGCAACACCCTCGGGGCTAGCTATCGTGCCGGGGTCATCTCTAACTGTGCTAATATGATGAAGTAAGGGGTCTAAATTTAGACGTCGTTGCAACTCACTTCTGTTTTCCCAGCCAGCTCGTCAACATAGAATTAAACTAGCTAATAGGATGGCGGGCAAGAGAGGGAATCACAGACATCGTCGTGACCAGGCAAAATTTAGCTGCCCCGCAGCGACGCAGATCATTGCGTGTGCTCGGATCGTCTGCCCTAGTACTCCAAGCCCCGAAGGCGATGAACGATCTCCATTTGTCGTTTGGGTGTTTATATGTGCCAATGATACCGATCAGCCAGTCGTCCGGGTTATGCGCATCACTCCCATCTATTGTTATCCGCCCGGTTTCAAGGTTCACGCTCCGCAACAGCATCACCATGAGCAGCCAGCGGCCCAGATAGCTTGCCACAAAAGCCATGTCAAACCCCTCCTCAGCCCATGTCTGGGTCTCGAACTCAATAAATGCGGCATTGAGTACCAGCCCATGGATCTGGGGGATAGCTCCAGCAGAAACGCGCCCATTGGTGGTCGTGGCCACTCGGTGGACGTTGGAGACTTGCTAGATCCAAAGAAACGACCTCGTAAGAGGCCTTTTCACCCGCCATTTTCAAGGCGGACGTGAGTTTGGTGTTTGCCACTGATTTGTCTCGGACTATCAAGATAGAATGATAGGCTTGTAGCTCTAGCGACGAGACGATGTACCGAACAATGGCGCTACCGAGATGGCCATTTGCGCCAGTCACGATTATGGTATCTTTCTGGCTCATCATCATGATTCTCTGTCTACCTACACTATCTATGCGACCTCTTCCAACTTGAAAATAGGATTTCAGCGCCACCAACACCAGTCTACTCGCTGTGGCTGTGTGTGCAGTAGCACAAGATAGGCAATGCACCCCCAATGCTCTTAATGTCTATCAGCCACCCAGCATAAACCCGAACATGGGGGCCAAAACTCAACATGGTAGCGAGGTCTACCTACTAGGTATCTATCTTGATGATCAGCTATTCTACGTCGTTTGAGGGTCATCATTTTCGCGTTCAACGTCCTCCATCGCTTACTCGCTAGGAAGAGTTACCAAGCATGAGAATATCTAGTGGATATTTAGGAAGATTCTTTCGAAGCAGGTTCACATCACCGTCCGCGTCAAGATTAACCATGACTTCCGGATCTCTTTAAAAGACACAGCAAGACTAGAAGGAGGAGGTACCCGTGGCGTCCTCTCGAGTACTCTTCTTTCTAGGGATATTTTGGGCGGTGTACCACATGTTCTCTAACCTAGCAGCCCTTGAAGATATCAGGAATGAGCTTTCCAAAGGAGTCCAGCGTGAGGCTGATGGTGTCCGCACTATTGACTAGGCACTTGGCCTATGTTAAAACATCCTACCCAATCTTGCTTTCAACATTCGAGACGATGCGCATACATTCTACTACGATTTCTGCCCACAAATTCATGCAGGATTACCAACTGGTCAATGCGATTGCATTCCATGGGTTCGCGTGAGGATCTACTTTATGTCCTGGGGAATAATTCAGACCCACCGATATTCTGACGTTTTCAGCTCTCGTTGTGCTGCGATTCGATCTTCATCTTGTAGGCCGCAGGTGCACTGCACTTTCGTTAGTCAACTCGTCTACGGCGAGCGGGCGGTGAGTGCACTTCCTGTGTATAATTTTGGCCTCAATGTTGGATAGCATCTTAGGAATGGTAAGACCTAGAAGATATCCTTCTCGTGTTACCAATAGGAAGTGGAAATAGAAGTGAACGACATCGATGGCGTCATCTCTGAACTGGCTCGTCGACTCTGAGAATTGATGATAAAATCAATTACTAAACGACAAGAGTCACTATATTAATATGTAACGGATATGCCCAAAGGAGGATTATCCTGGGTGTGGCTATGCCGCTGGCTCGAGGTTGAAACAGCAGCACCTCAGGGGAGCTCATGTTTATTAACAATCATCTAAGGTTAGGTATGGCAATCGGGTGACACATATTTCTATTGTCTTCTAAACGGAGCCATACATTTAGTCTGTTTACCTACCTAGCTAGTGGAGAATTCTTATAATATCCCCCAATCACTCAGGAAAGACTTAGACCAAATACTACGTATGCTCGGAAGCTGGCGTCATATGAAGATATTTTTGTTCTGTTAGCTACGCAGATCCGTAGTTATAATATACCTAGGCTCAAATTGGTCATTCAGCTGCTCTGTGGACAGACGGTGTAAAATGATGATGCTCATTTTATACACAATCGCATACTTGGGTCGGTAGGTAGGTTGGTACTGGATTATATCGTAAGCTTACAGCTGATCGGAAGCATGTCAGTCAATTGGCTGACCCGTTCTATGAAACTAGCTTTTATACCGTAAAGAAGTATAAAGTAAGCACTTAAATGTGATGTTTATTGTCAATATTGCCGGTTCAGTGGTAATTGGGTCGATGGAACGTTGAGCATCCAATAATGGAATCTCAAGATCAGCTAGTCTTGGAAGATGACAATTACGTACGATATTTACCTACCTACCTACATAGGTAGGTACCTTAGGTAGAAAGTATCAGGGTTGATATTAAAGCATGGAAGAATTCTGTGTATATAAAGGCTTGCCAAGCTCTAGCAAGACGAGATAATAAATTCTATCGACAGTCCTCTAAGCCTCTAAAGCAACACACAACTTCATCTACGAATCAGATAGTCGACACCGCCCCTTTAATCATGAAAACCAAGACTCTTATCAGCTCAGCGCTGCTACTCACAGCTAAGAGTGTTCTCGCGAATAATGCCATTCCAGACAGCGCTTTCTCGCAGAATAATGGCATCGCCGCTGCTCAGGCAGCTGCCCCTGCATGGTTTATGGCATCTGGAACCTGCAGTATGTTTTATAAATCCCAATAGCCCTCTTCTACTTATCTGAGGTGTTGAGAGTTTCTATAAGAGCTGTCGTACTGAGGAGATAACTCAAGTTCATTAGTCTTTCATAAATCTTTCATAAGAAAAACCACATACTAACGTTCAATTTTCCAAGTGCCCTCGGCTGCCGAAGACGGTCAAGGCCATCAAACCAACGGTGTTGCCAACGACAACTGCAACATTAACAAGCTATCCAACGGCTGTCCTCCACAGCCGTCGTGGCAGGGCGCAAACACGTTCTATGGTAATATTGCTGGTGAACCGTTCAGCAACATTCCGACATACTACAATGTCGTAAAGTGTGGCAACCAGTGGAAGATTATCTATTACGTGTATTTCAAGAAAGATACTGGCCACAAGAGTGATTGGGAGGGTGTCGTAATTGCCTTCAACGACCAGGGTGGCGGCAGGTATACTCGGGCCAACATGGCCATGGAGCAAGGTATGTGACTACCTATCTACCCAAGAATCGACCGTTTCTTACTCCCTTCTCTTTGCCCTGGGATTTGCTAACGCGTTGTGGTAGACGGGCATCACCCGTGGGTGGATTGGGATAAGATCAATGACACATTCGACAAGTGAGTATTCCCGTATGGAGATGGCCATGCTTACTGTTCTAACTGTTTCGTAACTTAGCAATAACGACTTTGGGAACTGGGGCCAGAAGAACCGGGACCACCCTAAGGTGTACTTTGGCAAGTGGCATCATTCTGCACACACCGACTGGCACACCACGACTTTCAAGAATACTTGCCCTCCTACCTCTGGCGACGATTTCCGCAATGCTGATTATCAATTCAAGGCCGTTGACAACTTACGACACGTCACTGTGCTCAACCCAAGTTGGAACTGGGGCAAAGCGTCGTCACCTGTCAACATCGACGTATGCAAGTTCTAGAAAGACTTGGAGTTATTTCAACTAGGTTAGAGTAGACCAGGCTAGGTTGCGGACGAAGAATGATGCTTCAAATTCCTTACAAATTATTTTTTTTTTCGATTGTCTTTCGTTTTTCCACCGTTGATAGTACCTATTGTATAGACTTTGATATCTTTATATGATTCATTTAAATACCTACCCTTTGTGTTGTAGGTACAGATGTTGGAAGGCGGAACAAATGTGCACCTCTCTACTAGGTACCCAGGTACATACAAAACCAAATGCGGGGGAGCTATGTCACGTGATTTTGGTATCCCGAATACCCTAGGTACCTAGGGATGGATACTAGAACTGGGGTAGAGGTGGGGGTTATGGTGGGGTAGTCCGGATAATAGTACTTTATCACTATCATCATTTTAGGTACACAGTAAATCAACAAACCATCATCGCCTCTCAAGAAATATATACCTAGTAGTCATTAGACTCCATCTCCGAAGGCATAGACATTTGTCCATCGCTGACGCATTCGTTAGCACAACTTCAAGGTTATAGCTTGGAAGTATTTTGATCCTAACCTTATCGTACGATCTCGACGAGTCTACAAATCTCAAATCCGTACCGAGACGGATAACATTCTTCGGATCCTTATTAATTGTTGATGCATGGATCTTCCATTCCAATTAGCTAATATTCTCCCGGATACGGCTACCCGAACTTACCATATAAGGCGTGTGCAATACAACATCCCCCTTCCAATGGAAGTCAGTGGCGTCTTCTGTTGTTAGGAGTTTTAAAGAAAGAGAGAGTGACAACCCCTCAACCAACTACATTGGAAATTTATCTCTCTCGTGGGGGATTGACAGAGAAACGGGAGAAAGAACGCCCAATATTACTTACGGCTTGATAGTCCGTGACGAGCCACCTTCGTGCGTGTGCTGTAGCAAACTCCTTTGCTCCATCCGCAATCAGTCCGCCACCCATCATGTTCTTGTTGAACGCGTTCTTTGCCTCCTCATCTGTCAGCCCGGTTTGTCTAGCCTTCTCATAGAAGCCACTCTCTATCTCTTGGCCGAGCGTATGTCCGTTTTCCAGATATATCAGGCCACCGCCATCCAGGGCAATATCGCCCATGGGGACCCAAGCAGTCATGCTGGTGTCTTCTCCATGCCGAAGGAATATCTGGTCATAATGAACACCGATCGCCTTGTTGTGTGGCGTATTGTTCCTCAGTAGAGACCTCGTGAGGCCGAGAGTATTCTCGTCGCCCCATCCTGTAATCTTTGCAATAAACGAATGAAGCGCCGGGTGCTTACAGAACCCATCTTTATACCAAGGTTCCGCATGGGCTTTCAGTGCAAGGTCTACGAAGAGACCCCCACGAGGCCGTCCATTGGCGTCTGTGGAGCCTGCACCTCTACTATGCGTTAGCGTTCTATAAGGCATATCATGGAATTAAGCCCGAGAAGATCCCATGAATAGCACTACTACGAAGTTTGTACATGAATGGGTAGAATCTGCGAGTGGACTTTGCACGCACTGATGTATAGTCGTTAGTAATAAGACACCAATTTCGGGAAGAGAATGCCAGCGAATACACTCACCATGCCAGGATAATCTAGCCTGTCATTCTTATCGTCGAATATACCGTCGACTGGGAGTGTTCCTGGGGCAAGGACGCCACTAGGAGCTAGATAGGTGAAATAATCCTCTCTGGCTTTCAGAACATCGTCACGCGGGATGAGACCTTTCAAGAAAAGATAGCCATCCCGCTCCAAACGCTGACGAAGTTCCTCTAGGGGTTCGTGTGGAAATGATGCCTGGAGGTAGCCGACTTGATCCGGGCTGAGCAGCCCGTCGTTGACGTAAAGAGGAGTTGAAGAAGATGATGCTGTAGAATGCGGCATGGTTTATAATATGGATATTAGGTTCGATGGGATATCCAACACGATCGAAATTAAGTATTTGAGGGGTTACGACGTTATATTTATTGTCGTTGACAAGGGGAGGAGTTTTATATACGAGATTCATCCAGAGCCTCCACAGAGCATCTTCCCCTCAGCAAGTCGGAATATTTCAGCCAGTCATCTCGATTCTAGTTCTCCATTATCGGTAATACCGAAGGCTTATAATTGGTTCTCGATTTGGACTATACGATCACAACTTGAGTTTCGGTACTTTAATGTAGCGAAACTACCTACTCCAATAATAGGTAACCCGTTTTTCTAGGTAGACTAGGGTTTATCTTCGCGGGATCGGGGGTCTCAGTCACCCCGTCATGATATCTTAAAAAGGCTTCGTTCGATCGGCATGCTATCTAATGAGAGTACTCTTACCGTCCTCTCGTTATACCCATTATAAAGCTATCTCCCTACCTACTTAAGGATACCTAGGTGATGATCAAAACAGTCAAACAATCAACCATCTCCAAAAGTCCTTCGCAACTCAATAGAAAAATGCTCACCCTGAAGCAAACGAAACAAATTCGCCGGACATCTCCTGAGACCAGGATGCGCGCAGCAAACCTTCGTTATGTGTACCTCCTCACCGGATTCGTTTCTATCGGCGCGTTGCTTTTTGGATACGGTAAGTCTAATTGCATGCGGACATACAACCAAATCATAGGAAAGCTAATGACGACATGGTACAGACCAGGGTGTAATGGGAGTCATCGTAGCAGACGCTAGGTGGATAAATCAATTCCGCCCGTCCAATAGTTGGGTGACTGGGGCAGTAGTCTCTCTTTACGATATTGGGTGCTTGTTCGGTGCCATGTCTATCGGGTTTCTCGCTGATCGCTACGGTCGTGAGCGGACTTTGTCAATCGCTTGTGTAGTATTTACTGTTGGCGCCGTTCTGCAATCGGCTTCCTACAATGTCATTTCCATTACTATAGGCAGAGTCATCCTGGGATACGGAGTCGGCTGCTGTGCTGGTGGTGTTCCGCTATACGTCTCGGAGATCGCTCCCGCAAAACTGAGAGGTCGCATTATCGGGATAGAGCAAATGATTCTATGCTTCGGTGAACTTATGGCTTTCTGGTTAAACTATGGGTTCAACTTTCTGGAGACACCAGACTGGTGGCGCATCCCCCTTGCCATCCAAATCGCGCCAGCTATCGTCTTGGCAGTTGGGTGTTGGTTCTGGATACCTCCTAGCCCACGCTGGTTAGTCCAACAGGATAGACACCAGTGTGCTCGCGAAGTGCTCGCTAGGCTTCACGGTGACGAGGAAGCTGATATCCAAATGGGCGAAATTGCCAAAGAGGTTGCGTTTGAGAAAGCTGTGACTACAGCGACATGGGGTGAAATGTTCCAAACGCCCGTACTACGGGTTACCCTACTCGCAATGGGCGTCCAATCCTTCCAGCAAATTACGGGAACTAATTCCATTCTATACTATACCGTTGGTCCCAATTCCTCTTTACAGCTTTTAGTCCTATAATACTAAACCTTCATAAGCCGTCACTATTCGAACGAGGGGGGATTACTGACCCGAAATCGGCGAATCTTGCTACAGGGGGGGTTGGAATTGTCCTCTTTGTCTTTTCTTGGGTTCCTATATTTGTCTTTGACCGTCTTGGGCGTAAGACGTGGCTTCAAATAGGACTTGTTGGAATGTGCTGCGCTATGATAGGAATTACCGTCTTGCAGTGGCACGCCGAGCGAAGTCCTAGCGACAACGGGAATTATGCTATCGTTGCTTTTCCATATTTATTCTACGTCTTCTTTAACACAAGCTGGGGCGTTGGAAGTTGGACCTATGCCACCGAAATCTTTCCGGCCATGTATAGGGCGAAGGGTAATGCTCTATCGACTGCGAGCCTGTGGCTCAGCTGCTACGTGGTTGCTCAAGCAAGCCCTCCTATCGCAGCGGCTATAGGATGGGGTCTTTATATCATTTATTCTTGCATCTGTGTAGCAGCATTTATATTTGTGAGATATGCGATGGGTAAGCCTAGACTGCTCAGTCTGTCCCATTCATAGCAAAAACACTGACAGATAGCTACAGTAGAAACCAAGGGCAAGACGCTCGAAGAAATGTCTGCTCTATTCGGCATCGAGAGCGCCCTGGCAAGGAATAATGGACTGGAAGCTGACAGAAAAGACACGGTAATTTACATTGAAGAGACAATGCGAGATGAATAAGCTACCTCGGTGAGTTAGGTGTCTGAATCGCCCAGGATGATACCTAGAAACGTTGCAAGAGGCGGAATTTACTAGGCCTCTTCGTTCTCCCTAATCGAGTCACAATTCTCATGGCTCATTCACTAGATCTCGTCTAGTCGCTTCATGTAACCTATCAACACCCCCGACGGGGCCTGGTGGTACGACTGAGTCATCGGTAGCAGCGAATTGATGCATCGAAGGAGCTTCCGCTGCCTTAGTACTAGATACGCCCTTGAGCTCTTTCTCCCGTTGCGTAAATATATTGTCCACGTCTAGAAATTAGCATCGCCGGCTCTGCGAATACCCTTAAGGTTAGGTACCTAGTCTTGACTTCTTCAACTATTCCAAACATAAATTCTGCTTGAGAATAGTAGTTACCTACCTAGGTAGGTATGTATGTAATGGAATTATAATGAATGGATTGAATCCAACTATGATACATAATTACTGGGTATTTTCATGTAACTACGTGAATTACATAGTGATGGGTTGCACGGTTACATATCCCCTTTATCGCCTATATAGGTGATTTATACGTATTAGAGCAAATAATGAATGCCGGCGGTGTAACACGGGGACTAGGGGGTTAGGCCAGATTACACATGGTTGACTTTTTTAGTTAGCTCCAATCTGTGTACCCCTTTTCTCCTTTTCCTACTAACCCGCCCATACCTAGGTATAGATATGTTGATCCAGGCACTAAAACATATTACTTACCTACCTATAATACCTACCTACTTGTGGCGGTATGTCCCTAAACATGGTCAACAAGTATTATAACTATCTAGATACTGATACACATATGGATCATCACAATATACCTAAGGTATAATTTCTTCCAGTCAGCAATAAATGGTAGGCAAGTAGGCAGTGTCGAAGTTACCTACCTAGGTACGGTAGTGAATACCTAGTTACGAACGACATATTATTAAACTCAAAGACCCATCCCATTCGTACCTAAGTTACGGCCAACGGTATGATATTTCAAAATAATAAATGTCCTTACGAGGTTCAGTTTGAAATCTCTTCACCGCTAACATGAGAAAGACCAACCCCCTTGATACGGGTTTGCATCGTAATGGGTTCAAACTAACTATGTACCTACATAGGTAGGTACGTGGATATTATCATGTAATATAAACGCTCTCCTTTTCTTGACATACTAGATACCTAGTAGGTAAAGCTGTGAACATCTCGATACCTACGAAGTACATGGTTGTAAAATTCAATAAACCGCACGCATATCCTAAACTTACCTACCTATCTACTCTACGCTATTTTCAAACCCAGAGGGCCAAGAATAACATCTCCAGGGCTGAGTAGGTAGCAGGCGTTTTACAACTGATTCATATGGCTGAAAGAAGAGTAGTGCGCTTGAATGCGATAAAATTAACATCCGCCAAGTGACTCTGGGAAGATAATACGAATGTATACATAGTAGGCTATTTCAGCTGGCTGTCACAGGCGGAATTCTGGAATATTCCGTACTTTACCGAATATATGGTGATTATTGACCTCTCTTAATGGAATTATGGAGTCTTAGGTATAGACGTGTTTCAAGAGAAGTCGAATAAAAGTTCTGACAAGTGGTCGGAAAATAGCGTTGTCTGGTTATCCATCTCTCGCCTCCACATTTGAACATCGATTGGGAGACAGGTAAATACACTAAATATGGTGATGGGCGGCGAATAGCAAGCCTGGATAGTGAGACGTAGAGAGATTAAATGTGAACTGTGGGTTCATGCGCCGGCTGTGATGTCGATCATCTCCAGCGTATCGGCTCCACATCTACAGGTATCTGACGGAAAGGACCAATAGGGTATATCGTGAACTGCCCTACAGCCGGGTTTCGCCAAGAGCCAAATATCCTTCTCGTGTTCTCCGCCTCGTATTGACCTAGCAAACTGCTTACATCGAGCCCGATTATGTAAAATTGCCACCGACGACGGCCTGACCCTAACAGCATCATGTGAGTTCAGTCTCCTGGCTGGCAGGTAATATATAATTCAACCTCGTCTCTCACGAGTCCAAATCGTTTCTGTTCCGCATCCAGCTTCTTCAATCACGATCAACTCGCACGCAACTCTCAACCAAGATCTACTCTTAAATCACCGTCAGCACAATCAGCTATCCAACATGTTCTTCAAGACCTTCGCCGCCGCCTCGCTCCTCCTCGGAGCAACCAATGCCTTGCCCCAGGCGGAAGGACCGCTTGCGTCTGATGCCAAGTTTTCGCTGATGGCTCTCCGGTCCGCCAGCGAGGTGCACTTTGCTGGTTTCAAGGCCGCCAAGAGCAGCATCTTCCTGAACCTGCCGAGCCAGGGCGCGTCTTGCGATGCTGGCGATGCCGAAACTGCCACCTTCTACCTCAAAGACGGCGGTCTCTACCTATACGCCGCCTCCGCGACACCCCAGCAGCTATATGCCGATCGTTCCGGAATGGGTAAGTCTTCTCATCCACTTTCAGAATTACTGTAACTGTTTCTGACATTTCTCCTGATAGGCCAAGGCAAGCTCGGCTACACGACCGGTGCACAGCCCGCTCCCACAAACGCGGAGAGGACTGGCTTCGCTCTCGACGAGAACAATAACCTGACTCTGGATGGCGCTAGCTTCCTCGCCTGCCCTAACAGCATCGACGGCGCTTGGAGCGTGTGGGTTTCGGCCGGCGTCGAACAACCCGCCGGAAACCAGGGTTGCCTCGGAATTTCCGCTCGTGCCGTCAATGCTCCCAACCCTAACGGCTGCGTCTACACTGAGTAAAGAGTTGGATGATGGAACCTCCACCTTCGAGGCTTTTGTAATTACGACTTAATCCTGGGTGCTGTATGCTGGGCCATCCTAGCCGCCAAAATGTTGCTGGCGTCGCGATCAGCTCGTGGATACCTACATACTGTACCTTAATCTTCTAGTTCTGCAGCTGCGATACTCACAATAATATCAGAAAGTCTTCATCTTTCAATGCCATTTCCAAATCTCATGTTGCTGAACCCTGATGTGGCGATACTTATAATCTAGATCTATATGGATGGATATCTCCCAGGTTGGTAGTTAGCAAATGGAAGGGAATTTGACCTTGTCGGTATTAAAAGGTCAGTATCGCAAGATATACGCCACCCAAGCGAAATTATGAGCAGGCGATTGGGAAAAGATAACCTAATATGATTTATTGAGAACCCCTTTTAGCGTCGAGAGGACTGTATTGTCAAATCATCAAGGGGACTAAATTGGCGTACGTTAAAGCATGACGAGGTAGAAGTCCCATGCAAATGACATCTACTAGCCTAGGTATCTTTCTTTACAACCTTTCCGCCCTTCTTTTTTGGTTTCATCGAAAAGTATGGATGACCTCTATTCGACGACATCCTCGGGGACTCCCGGCTCGTCATCCTGAGAATCCATCTTCACAACTTTCTTACCACCCTCCGAGCCCTCATCACGCTCGACAAACGCCTTAGAAAGCGCGGTCTTCTTGCCACGAGCACGTTTGCTAGTAGGCGTAGCGGGGTCGCTGCTATCATCCTCATCATCGCCCTTAGTCTTGCGCTTATGTGAGGCAGGGGTACGGGTGACCTTGGCCTTGCCCTTCGGGGTACGCTTGACAGGAGTGGAAGGGCCTTCGCCACCGCTGTTCCCCTCAGACTCCATCAAAGCGGCCTTCTTCTTGACGGCTGTCATCAATACGTTAGATGAAAATTTTATTCGATCTAGGGGAGGGAGGCATGAAGTCGTATAGAATTAGATGAATAGTTTATGAGTGGGTCGTATGGGAATTGATAGGTCCCTAGTAGGTACCAAATCGTTGATGCGTCTACATAGCGTGATATGATGAAGGGTTCTGGGACATTGTGACTTACCACTGATAATATTGCTGACGCTCTTGGGATTGGTATAGCCAGCAAGCTTGGCTAGCTTTTCAATATCAAGCTGGACATAAATCGAAGTCAGAACGTGTTGGGGATATTGCATAAAGAATCTGGGGATATCGTACATCTGGATGAGTCTTGAAACAGCTCCAGGCCAGAGCCAGCACTCTGGACTCCTTGTCGGTGATCTCCACCTTCTTGTCCGAAGAGCCCATCGTGGCGGTAGCGATGAGTGGAAAAGATAAGGCGATAAGATTATGAAGATATTATATGCGGAACGTGGACACTAATGTTGTAAATTAGAGATGTTATAAGAGTACGTGCATGAATAGTACTTACGTGTGCGAAGACTGATGATACCTAGTTGCAAAAAGGAAGAATCGTGATGATGAAATCAGGATTGTTGTTATGCGATATTGTACACCTACGACACCTACTTCTGGCCAGGTGACTCTGAGGTAGGATAAGTAAAAGTGCGATAGTGAGGGGGAGGGCAAGAAATTTAATAATTGAGAAGTTGATGGAAAGCGCTATTGCGTGAGATGTTCTTAGCACATGTAGTGTAGTTGTGATGTGATTACCTCCATATGTGCCTACCCAACTACTGTAGTATCTAGGCAGAAAGTGCTAGGTGGATAGCCCTGAAGGTACTAGGCAGGTAAGTAAGTACCTAGTAGGTAGGTACATACCTAGTAAAAAACGTGCAGATAGTGGATGTGATCAAAAAAAAAAAATGCTTTTTTATGTTGCCATGGGGTTGACGACGGCGATGTGATGGTGAATGCGAATGCTCAATTGGGGAACAACAACACGTCGGTGGCTTGTTACTGGGGACAACAATAAACGACACCGACACCCCCCATCAATTACCCCAGTAAACAACAATCCCCATAAATAATCAGCTAGCATTGTATTGGAAATTCTCGAGATATCCACGAATAGGTAGTAAAAATGAATTTGTTTTTTTTTTTAAAAAAAAATGTAGATGCTTACCTAGTATATACATCCATTAAAATGTACTCATATTGATAGACGTTTGACCCATTCACCATTATGGCCCTGACTGAAGTTGATGCATTCTGATTCGTATCCGTTGCTCTTCCTCATCTAGCTCTGCCAACTCCATCAGCCTTGTTCTTCTTGCATCTAACTTTGCTTGTTCCGTCATTAAGTGCGCAATTTCCTGTTGCACCTGTGAATTCTCGCTATCTCCTACAGATCTTGCAATTCCTTCACTCCCCGGCATCTCCGCAAGTAGAGGAGACTCGTTAGTCAGGTCGATACCGACAGGCGAAGTATTAGGGGTCCCGGTGCCCATGCTATTCTGTATGAGTATAGATTTGCCATCCAAAACAGCGGGATCTCGTAAGTAGGTGGACTGCGGTCCTGTTATGGATGGTGCGCCCTGGCTAGGGGTTATGTTTGTCAAACTCTTAATCGCAGTACCCCCTAACTCGGTAGGCCGGGGAATAGGAGAATAATATGATATTGCGCCTGTATTTGGGTCAACATATGGTGTGTAGCCAGGGTAGCCTTGAGCCGGTTGACTTTGTTGACCTGATATTAACGTCTGTGGATACTGGTCTTGGGGTTGCTGTGTAGATGGAATTTGACTGGTATCTTGACTACCCGCACGCCTTTTTCGATATCGTAAAATAAAGAAGACCGCCAACCCAATAGCGAGGAGACCAAACAAACCTGCGCCAACACCAATTCCGACCTGGGCACCTGTAGATAATCCCTCTCCGCTACGACCTAGGTTTGACGATATTACAGTTACTGTCGCACTAGATTCAGTTCCTGTAGTGGCGATCTTTAATCCGGGGGTTAACGGATGAGTTTCCAGAATAGATAAGTCACTTTCCGCCCATCTTATCTGAATCATCACTTGTGCATACGACAAGTCCGTGTTGGTTGCGTAATAATTCCACGCACCCGGGGTACAGAAATAGTTACTGTCAAGAGTTAAATTTCGTCCGTCTCCCATGAAAGGGGTGAGAAACGCATATATACCTCATAACGCAAAGCATAGCTGTTTCAGTAGGTTCAACAGATGGTCCTTGGAAATCACCATATCGTGAGCAGCCGACCGTAAACCCGCTAGGACAGATACCGGGGGAATAGTAATATGTTTCAAAGTAGCTTGCGTAGCCTGGGGGTGCACAATCGGTATGACTGGTCCAAAACATGTCGATATCAGTCGTAGAGCGCGTTGAGACCGGAAAACACCCGGGCGAAGCTGTCCAGACCGTAGTTAAAGGAGCGACGGGTGGCGTGCCATCATGATTGAGGGAAGTCGCCCTCGGCTTGAGGGCCGCCGGCGTAGCCGTTATCGTGGACGATGCAAACACCATGAGAACTGTTAACTATAACTAGCCCTAAACTGTTGAAACTACAAGAAAGGGGCTTTGAACAGTAGCCGGCGTTCTTCCTGGCATAAGCATCCTAGGAATGGGTACCTATAATTGACTCTTAAGGAAAAGAGAGAGAAGAGAAGTATCGAACAGGTCCTGCGAAAGATAATCGACTCCTGCTCATTATGGCTTACCCGATCGTCCAGTCTCGCCCTGAGACTACCCCAGTCGCTTCTCATCTGGTTGTGCACGAGGCTCAGGCTCTCTTGGCGAATTTTTTCATTGGGGTTGAAGCCAATGGCGGTGATGCTGTGAGGCGAAGACTAGAGGCTACGATGGAAGCTGATTGCTCAGTTCGGTTGCCAAGGGACACTTCTTCCCTACTATGAGTGTTAGCTTTAACGTCTGCTTAAAAGTGATTATTGGATGTAGGGGGCGCTTATTACTTGACCCATATCGCTTCGGAGATCTAGAGCTTCCAGGCTTCCAGGACAAGCTCTTGATGTTGAATTCTACCTAGCACGATACCCATAAGACATACATTTATGTTCAGCGCTACTTCTCCGGTCTTAGAACGATGCCTCATCCAAATCATGAACAATAGAACCTTCTGTGTTTGATGGAGACTCACCATTGAATGCTAGCGTCCTCGTCTTGGATAACACTATAATTCTGGGAAACATCGAAGGTAACAGGGGTATTTCAGCTTTTACATTTGAACAGGTAAAGCGCAAGATTAAGCGAAACCTCGGCGCGGTACGATAGAGCTAGCGGACCATTACCTCGGGATAATAGATGTATGTTGAACTGAGTGGTCGTTTAGTGAACGACTTTAGTCTTGAGATCTATTCCACACATTTCAGCTGTAGTATGTATACTGATAATATCATACCTCATATAAAACCCCACCATTTATCACAGAGCCCCCCGTAAGTCACACCACCCCAAAGCCCCGTATTCATTCCCGGACCGAGTGCAGTTATAGGCACGTTATGGCACATGCCCCTCTGTCGCTACCTCTTCTGCGCTGGTCGGAATACGTTCTGATGCAACAGGATAACGGGGGCTGGTCTTGCCGCTCGTGCTCTTACCTACACCTTCAGGCAAGTCAGCCCCCTTCTGACGCAAACTGTCACCAGTGTTTTCCCCGACGCCCTCCAAGCCAGCTTGTTCTTTCTTCCGTCGACTAGTTCGATCGCGATGCAGGTCGTCGTGTAGCTCAGCTCCTGATTGGCCCTGGGTGGGCTTTCCTAGACCGGTGTGGACTACCTGGAACGTAGTATCGCCAACAGTATCCGTGGCATTAGTTGGATGCTGGCTTTCTCTGGATGGGGTATCAATCGGAGTCTCGTTCTTAGGTCGCTATTGAAATGTAGGTATTTTCGCGAGGCGCGGTGCCAGAGGCATACTTCTCCATATAGAACTCGAAGATAGTATCGCTGTCGACCTTGACACCGGGCTTATGATCAGTAGTTGAGAGAGGTTCAGCGGGCGTAACACGGCTGCGAAATTCGACCTGGTCGGTCGAGGATTTGGAGTTGCGTCGATTCAATGAATTGGAGACCTACTAGGTATCTAAGTCCTTGCATGGCTGAAATGCAATTATTCCATGATGGGAGGTGCAGACCAATAAGAAACTCGTTGGAGAGCTTGATAGGTACCTACCTATATATTAATTAGTTGCCTAGTTAATCACCTTCTCTCTATGATGACAGTCTGTGTCTCAAAATATTATTGCGTTGACATAGACATCGCTAATCTGAATCTGATACCTACTTCCATTTCCCTCAGCTGACCCACTTAATAGGTCTTAGGACGCGTTATTTTCCATGTCCTGCGTCATATGTGGCTGTAGAGATGGTTCTAGTCTTGAGATCTAGATCTGATGTGGCTGACAGGTACTTTGTAGTGGATCTCCAAGGTTGCCAAGTGTTTAAAGCGAATGTGATGTATTCAATGCTTCATGAAGTTGATTTCTTAGGTAGGTACTAGGTACTTATATTAATTCAATGACACTGAAAACCCCATAGTCAATCTGTTGTGACGTTTCAGCCTTTTTAACGATGGATTCAAGAAAAACTACCTACATAGTAGCAGGTTGATGTCATTGTGTGGGTTCATGGTACATGATGTTGATCAGCCAACCACCGATCTACAATTACGTATTGGATCGTTCCAACGTTGTCTGTAAACTTAATTTAATATGGATCTTAAACTTTACTCAGGCGCTGCTTGTTTGTTCGGTTCTACCAATAGCCAGCTACTAGGTAGTACCATTGCAAACACTGAACATAAATCGATTTCAAGGTCTCCAGTCTTTAATTAAATGTGCAGCAATATAGGTAATAAATAGCATGTATCTATCCCTTATAGATAAGGCGCATGAAATTTCTATATATAATAAAAAATGATGCATTAAACTGATCAACTACCTATTACCTAGTTAGCCTCTCTTAATGTTTGTTGGTCGACGGGTCGGTTAGTCGGCGGTTACTAGGCCGAATATTAAGGGATAATACCTACCTACCTAGGTACATACCTAAGTAGGTATGTACTAAATACACCAATAGCATCAAGTCAAAGTCAATAAGACGCTTAACTAAAAATAGTAAGACCTCCTCGGCCAGAATTGGTGGTTGCAACACAAGAAGGTTGCGATTTCAAATAGCCAGATGCAGGAACGAAGCAGGAATCCATTATGTTTTTCTCTCTGTAAGATTGAATTAAGGGTTATGTAGAAAATTTTCCAGCGACTTCGCGCCAGCTAAACAGCTCAAATGTCTGCTAGACAACATCGGATATAGAAAATAAGATGCCAGCGTCTTTGCTTAATAGTATAGACTTACTTAGTATATACCGACCTAAATGAATACGAGAAACATTAGGTAGGCTATGCCATAAACTTGGGGGCGTTACAATTGTCTTTGATATGGGTAGGTAGGTATTTTCCACCCTATCTGCCTATCCATGTCACATATACTGTACCGGCACTTTGTTAGCAATACCGTTAATTGTAAAGTTTGTCTACGCGGCCAGTCAGTCTACTCTAAGAAAAATCAAGAACGCGGAACTCAATTCTAGATACCTACCACTTGACTCTAGTAATATTTCAGTCCAGTGCATCTCGCAAGGCGCTAAACGCAGCCTCACTAAGATTGGTACATAGTACCTAGGTAGGTAGGTATCCGGGTACCTACGGTAGGTACTACCTAGTATGTACCCAGGCAATCTTTGGAGTAGCCCTGGCGGCTGCCCCAGCAGCCTGGATGACTTTGATCGTCATCTATCTCCAATAGGTACCTGCTCAGAATTTTTCAACGTCGTTGTTATTGGTTACCTAGTACCGCATAATCCAACAATAACAATTACAACTACCACCACATCCGCAACAACAAACGGGCTCTTCTCCCTTCGAGCCGCTCGAGACGCATGGGGACATCATCCATCAATCTTCAATCTGTCTACTGCCCAATAATTATTCGTATGTTTAAAGTAGTGCTGTCTAGGTACTAATATGCGATATATTTTACGAGTATTATGAATAGGCTATACAGGGCAGCTAGAACGGCTTGATCGACTAGTGCATGTATCACACGGACTAAGAACCTGGAATTCTAACCCACTTCCTACTTGGACCACCAAACAGTGGCATACCTAGTACACCAGATCGCTATTCCACCATTTACAAGCAAATTTGGTACCTTGCACATGTGTGTTTAAATCTAAGTACAATCGTATCATCTCGTATTGGTACCATTCGTTACTTGGACACTCCCTTGCTCTTTCTCTCTTTGTTACACGGTCTTGCTTTAGTCTTTCGTTATTGACCCACCTCGCGCAGAACGGCCCTTCTCCAATCCTAGTTGAGTTCTTGTTTTGGGGGCTTGGGACGAGCTCTTGCCTTCTCTTTCTGAAACCATGAGGCGTCGCTCCTCCTTTGACTCTGACCCCGGCGAGCACGCCCCTCTCGACGATCTAAATGACCCATCCTCCCAACGGCAAGCGCATTCCAATCATTATCGTCAACAACAGTCTCCTTCCCGCTCTCGCTCTTCCTCCCCATCATCTCAACCTCCCTTGTACCAAAATATCAATTCGGTCTCCCTTTCTTCAGAACAATATCACGATTACGACCGCAACTCATCACATCCTTCGCCCACAAGAACAAGGCCCTTAGGCCATCCCGGTGCTCATCCCGATTCGGCATTTAATAGGCTGCGCCAGAATATAAGATATAGCGGAGGCGCCGAAAGAGCTGCTGTCGATGATTTAGCTGGAAGGGAAGTTTATGACGTGGCTGAACTGTCTTTATCTAGACCAATTCCACCACCTCATCGGCAGAATAGTGTATCTACCTGGGGACGCCAAGTACCTCATACTAACGTCACTCCTGGGGTAGACAATTTTGGTGACGCTGCCGTCGGTGGCATGTCAGGGCTTGCTATGAGCGTCGCCGAAAGAAACGCACGGGACAGCGGATTAGAAGCCATGAGGCAACCTATATACCCACCAGAAGCCTACCAGGACGTTCCGTCTCAACACCATACATACGACGAGCCTACAGGTGGCTACGGAAATGACCGGAGCTACGACATGTCGCCAAGTTACGGTCCTAACGCCTATAGTCCTGCGCAAGCATATAACTCCTCGCCTAGCCTTGCACCTATGGGAGCTGCGGCCCTGAGCCATTCAGGTCGAGGGACGCCTACGCGAAGTGTCCATAGCTATTCAAGCGACCCGTTTAGGGATCCCCAAATGGCGTATGGTCAAAGAATGGATCCCTATCTCGGCCAGTTTAATCCCAATGATATCGACGACGACGGCGACGACGGTCTCGAGTATCGACGCTCTGCCCGGAATAGTATCCTAAGCCTAGGTGGATCAAATAATCGAGGCAATGGTGCCGCCGCTGGCGCTGGCGGTGCCGTGGCCGCTAGCGGTGTAATGGGTGGGCTCATGGGAAGGGGCCGAAATAGCGGCGCCAATTATGACCCGGTACAGAACACGAATGCGGCCGGCAATCTAGCCGGCGTAGGCGGATACGAGATGAGCGCGAAGACAGAAAAGCAGTCGGAATGGTTGTCGGGCCAGAATAGCAGTCGAAAGAAGTGGAAATGGTTTATTTTGATCCTCGTCGGTCTCATCATAGCAGGTGGAGTAGCAGGCGGCATCGTCGGCGGACTATTGGCGAAGAACAAGAAGGGCAATGGCGGCGGTGCGGATGGGGTTCAGTCTGCTGATTCTGACTCTGCAAAGAACGGCGATCTGGATATCAATTCGGATGAGATTCGAGCGTTAATGAACAACCCCAACCTACACAAAGTCTTCCCGGGCGTCGACTATACGCCTATTAACGTGCAGTACCCGGATTGTATTAAGAACCCGCCTTCCCAGAACAACGTTACCCGAGACGTCGCCGTCCTCTCACAACTAACCAACACGATTCGGCTCTACGGTACTGACTGCAACCAGACGGAGATGACCATTCACGCGCTGAAACAGTTGAAACTTGACACCGAGATCAAGATCTGGCTCGGCGTCTGGCAGGACAACAACGATACCACCAATAAACGCCAGCTCAGCAGGATGTGGAATATATTGGATGAGTATGGAGCTGAGCCATTCAAAGGACTCATCATAGGCAACGAGATCTTGTTCCGAAAACAGATGACCGCGACGCAGCTTAGTAATCTTCTGGATTCGGTGAGAACAAACTTGACCACTCACAATTGGAACCTGCCCGTCGCCACCAGTGATCTAGGCGACAATTGGGATTCCCAACTGGCACAGATTAGCGACTATATCATGGGCAACATTCATCCTTTCTTCGCCGGTGTTAACGCTAAGGAGGCTGCTTCATGGACCTGGTCATTTTGGGAGAACAAGGCTAAGTCGTTTTTCAAGACGGACAACCAGAAGAACGTCATTTCCGAAATTGGCTGGCCGACAAAAGGTGGTACCGACTGCGGTGACGCTAGTGTCACAAGTTGCCCCGATGGCTCGGTGGCCGGTATCAACGAATTGAACACTCTGATGGAGGGTTGGGTCTGCCAAGCACTAGCAAACGGAACAAACTATTTCTGGTTTGAGATGTTTGATGAACCGTGGAAGATCAGTTTCGACACCCCAGGTAAAGAATGGGAAGACCAATGGGGCCTCATGGATGTCAATAGGAACCTGAAGGAGGGCGTCAAGATTCCCGACTGTGGAGGAAAAACTATCTAGGTGGGTATAAAAATCGCGTCGTGATGGCGTAGTAAGAGATTAGAGAAAGCGTTCTTGAGCGGCCATCTAGTCAGGGCGGACATATTTCGATAGGGTTTCCCAAGCTCGAGATAAGACGAAAGTCTTGTAATCCACACTACGCGACATCGAAACTCTCGAGGCTCAGGAGCTGCACCCGTCGATCATGATAAAAGAGGATATGGTACGAACGGACCCGGACGGAGTTTGGCATTTGGTTTTGACGGTTATTTCTTTCACCGGTTTAAGTCCCGGCGCTGGGGATGAAGCGAATGCAGCATTAGAGTATCAATGGGAGGTATGACTATGCGGCCAGGTAGATGACAATGATGGATGTGCACTTTGCATTTCTCCAGGTATGGCTTTGTCATTTTCGGTGTCCGTGGCGCTTGGTTTGGTATACATTATGTTGAGATGTTTTGAAGTTTCGAGCGGACGAGTATGTGGCTGGTGTTAGAGGGCCATGCCGAATACTCTCGCGCGCTAGAAATACCTCAGCTAGAAGGTTAATAAATAAATGTCATGGAATTTACTGATTGCGAGCCTGTTCACAATTTACCTAGGTGCCTCTGTAGGTAGGTAGGTATATAAAGGAAATTTTTTATCTCTTACATGACGCGTCATGGTTCTATCCCCACTAGTCTAGATCCTTGAGTTTGAATTACATATAGGGGCTGAAGCTGCTCCCCAAATGACTAGGTGCCAGGTGATGTTTACGGTTACGTAACCACATTTCCAGTTGACGATTGCATACATAACCGGTACCTAGTAGATATGGATGTGAGTACGAAGTATTAGGTACAGGTATTTGCTTATTGGGCATATCACGTGAGTGGGCGTCGGTCTGGCGTGGCTTGATTAAGTGGAGACAATTACGTCGTATGTACTTCGTACTACACTTACATATTAGTACCGCCAACCGGCAAACGGGAATTTGGAACTTTGGAACCATCCAACTTCAATACTACGGTATACCTAAGACAAAGTAGGTCTACGGGCCACGGGATTTATTAATTACTAGGTACGCTATCATAGCACCGTGATTAAATACGATAAAATGGGTGCGGGACATGAACCACACTCCCACAAGGCGAATGCGCATCCCCTGTCGCGTAAACGCAAGATCCCCGTTGAACAAGCTGATGATCTCGACCAAGAAGAGGATAAACCTAAGAAATTAAAGAAGGAAGTTCAAGTTGCCGAAAAACGTTTAAGAAGGTTCATTTTCTCGTTTCTATTTATTATCAAGATATATATGAGGAGAACTGATATTAATGCTCTAGATTTCGTCCCAAACCACCTCAGGATTTCTCCAATATATATACTCGCGCGACATCTCAGAGGTTGATATTTCATCTCATTTCTCTCTCTTTTACTTATATATACGTCTATAACTAACTACGCTCACCTAAGATTCTATGTACTTGGAAGAACTCGTGATGGTACCGCTCATTGTCCCGAGGAATCCGTCGAGTTGACCGGTTCCACTGGCAACATATACGTCGTTCACATTGCGCAGCAGCCTACCTGTACGTGCCCTCACTCCCAGAATGGGCACCAGTGTAAGCATATAATATATGTTAGTCCCTTGTTGTTTGCAATTAGTTTTATTGAGCTCTCTAACGTTAGTCGAATAGGTCCTATCAAGAGTCCTTCGTGCGCGCTTTGAGCTCGTCTATCAGCTTGCCCTGCTCACCACTGAGCTCCAAGAGATCTTCGAACATGCCCCTCCCATAGAGAATGATGACCAAACCGATGGGAAAACGCATGACAAGAATCGCAAACCCCTGGAAGGTGATTGCCCAATCTGCTTCAGCCCTTTTGAAGCTACTGAGGATACCGTCTACTGTCAGGCCACGTGTGGCAACAATATCCACAAAGAATGTTTCGAGATGTGGGCGGCCACTAAACGTAAGAGGACTGGGGACCAAGTTACTTGTCCTATGTGTCGTACTCCTTGGCAGGGTAACGATGATGTTGTTAAGAAGATCAAGAATACGGGTATCATTGGCCGCGATGGCTATGTGAATATTGCCGACCAGCTCGGCATTAGCGGCGCGAGAGGTGAGATCGCCCATTGGCATATTTCACAAAGACGTGCTTTCTAATAGTCATATAATTATAGATCATAGCTCATACTATAACGGACCACGCCGTGGTGTACACTCTGGGGGTTGGTGGTGATGAAATGTTGATTTTGTCCCCCAACCGCCTCGCACTTGGCATATTTCCGCTTTCGGCACCCGTAAAATATAAAGTTAAGATTTTCTGTCTGATAAAAGTGATGGAACTGGCACTGTAGATGACGCGGATTTATTGGTGAAGCTGTCGGTGACGACGGCTTCAGAATTATCAGTCTGTTCATGATGGTGACGATGCTAGGAGGATGTAAAATAACACGCGGCTTGAGGGTAGGTTCAAATTGGGCTATACTACACGGTACCCTTCATACAACCGTCTTGACTAGCAATTGCTTCGAATTACTTTTCGCGAAGTTACAAGACAACCGAGACGAAACGATAGAAAGGTTTCCAACAAAATTCCGGCATTGCTGCCAATAGAGACTTGTAGGATACAACATTGTTTCAATTTTGCATCCACCACTATTGTCCCTCGTGATTTACCTTATTAATCCACGGTGGTCTAAGAAGAACCATCTCGTGAGTTCTTTAGTTTGAGATCTTCCTCTTCATCCTTCGGAATTGTTACGAACATGGGAACGGTCTGCGCGTTTAGCTTTCGGAAGGCCTAGTAGAACGTGACGAGTTAGCGGTCTAATGCCGTACAACTATTTACAATAGCGATAGCGTTCCGTCTAGGCGGCCCACTACTAACTTACGTAGCAAAATATCCACAAGTCCCATTCGATTAACGCCACAAAGGTGCACTAGAAATTGAAGGCGATACGCGGGGCGGGAAAGAACTCACATCACTAATCATACCATTGGGTAATCTGTCATTCCATCGGTCCTCGACCCTTTCGATTTTGCCGTTCTGCCCAACGTCGATATGGACGACGGAGTTGATGATCTGCGCTGTTCCAATCCCTTTAAGTGTATATTTATTCGACAATTCCATTTGGATCGGATTCCCGGTCGACGTCACAAGGTGACTCTGTATTTGGATTGGATTGAACAAGGCAGGCAACCCGTACCATTGCGCCGCGAATTTCTTGTATCCTGATGCAACCGTGATCGGGTCGGCGAAGGTAGCATCTTGAGACCATAGCGACAAGTGCTTGAGAGTTGGGTTGCCTTCGAATAGCTGTTCTCAATTATTAACGACTAATTGCGAATATTCAGTGTTACCCCTCGGCCGGTTAAAGAGTTGACGGTAAACGCACATCTAATACGCTTCCCACTAGAAGCTTGTGGTCTGGTGATAGCTTGACTCCTGGAGCCTCATTTACACGTTTATTCTTGATCCCGATCGTTTCAAAAGAGGTTATACTCGGAGGAACGTCCGCCGTGCTCGTTGACATTGTTCTAGATCGCGTTGTTTCACGCGGAATTATTATTTTCTTGATTAAGAATTTTGCTGATGTCTCTATTGCCCGTCTTGACAATCGGCCTACGCACGATGAATTGAGTGTTTGGATAAGTATCATTTATAGGAGGTAGGTATGTATATTTAATTCAGAATCGGACAGGCAATTGTCTCCTCAAGGCTCAACTACTTGACCGGGGTTTTGAGCATTTAAGTATCTAAGTAGGTACCTATAGGAAAGAATCCGCCTTTTCAGAGTCAGTGTCGCATACGAATGTCTTATTATTTATATCGTCCCCGTCATCGACTTTTCGTCGCGGAACCTTGATGACTGTAATGTTATGATCTGGTGTAAGATTTCCTTGACGTCATGATATCTTCGCGATCGGGTGGGGTCCTAGTAGGCTTAGGTATCGTACTAGTTCTTATACGGAAACGCCCTGTCTCTTTTATGCATTGTGCTTGTGGGACGGCCCGCACCAGTTTAGTAAGAGCCTACTAAGAGCCCGTTTGGCAACATAATCCTTTTTTGACTTATGGGTCCATAGTGGGGATTCAGCCATAAGTTAAGTCATGCGTTTGTATGTATCAGTAGACTGAACCCCACCGAAATTTAGCTGGTGGATCGTCCCACAGTACTTAGTTCAGCATCCAATCAACTACATCGAAAAAACTTATACTTATCGAAATCGCGAAAGGACCTCTCGAGGTGCTTATATTAGACTTATTTTAGGGTTTATAGCGCAGTAGGCCCTAAAACGCGCTATATTTATAAGGGATTTTAGCGATGCGATACGTTATTTCTAGGGCAGTTTATAGGGGCTAAAATATAGCGGTTCGAATCACTAAAGCTTCCTGTAATTATAGTACGCCTTTGCAGCTTTGTTGTACTGATTTTTGAACTGATTGAACAGAATAAATTGAACTGTTAATTGAACTGTTGATTGAACTGTTGATTGAACTGTTGATTGAACTGTTGATTGAACTGTTGATTGAACTGTTGATTGAACTTGAAGCTATGCAAAATTTTGCCGGGCCGACAGCGTTGGGAATAGCTTCAATTATGTGGCTATTTTAGTTGCGACAGGGGTCTATAAGGGCGCCAATGAGGTTGAAAATAGCTTCAATTATGAAAAAGTAAGTAAAAGTAGCTTATGAACTTATGGACCACAAACATACCAAGGCTTACTGAAATGTAAACATGCGTTGATTGGTCTAAATTATAGTGGGTATAGCCCCATAATCGTGATCCACTTCGGCGTACTTATGTGCTAGGGTGTCACGGGCCATAAGTAAATCTTTACTGAAGTTCCCAAACGGGCCCTAAAGATGCATAACTTATTTAGCATCATATTAATCGTCGAAGGATGTATTTTTCATCTTATTCAGCTATAGCAATTCCTAGCTAGACTTATCCGCCCGCCTACCTAGGTACTTATCCATACCGTCTCTCGCGGTAATCGAAGCCAACATACATCAATAACCTAGCTAGGAAACGACCATATAAATCCCTAGGCCATCCGAAAATTACAGAAACATTGATGCGCGGACTCTAGCCATTACCTAATCGAGAATTAGAATAGGATCAAATCGTCCTGCTTCACGTTACCACGGTCTTCCAATGTACCCTCGTCGTCCTCGTCCACGACGGAGCCTGTATCAGCAAGACTCGCCGATTCCCATTCCGGCTTGTCAGCTTTACGTGCTGTTGGAGAAGGACCAGACATAGAGAGTTGACGGCGTGGTCGATACTGTCGAGGAGAAGTATACCCAATTGGTTCAGCTTGCGATGACGAAGTTGTAATTGTAATTCCAGCGTCGTTTGGCTGCGAGTTGCCTGAGATTGCCTGTGTACATTGACCGCGTTGAATCTCGTTACGGGGAGTACCTCGGTCTCCAGCTCCATCAGGCTTCTCTACAAACACCTCCGCATCCGTGGGATCACAGCCCAAGCTAAGCGAGCGCGTCGTTAGACCGAGTGTCTCGACATCATCGTCGAAACTTAGGAGATCATTTCCCTCCACAATAGAAGTCGTAGGTTCAGCGGTGACACCTTGCCCAACATTACGCAAACCGTGATCGTTTAGAGTAACAGGACGGTAAGTGTCCTGTATTGCCAATCCAACTTCGTTCGGGGGCGCGCTCGAAGTACCTGTCTGGTCCCCCTGTTTTCGGGCATTGAATCTCTGCTCGTCGTCTAAGCGTGCATCGAAAGTTGTCCAGCTTGCATTATGTCCGATACTTTGGCCGGAATTACGAGAAGCTCCGCTGTTGTATCCGACTTCTGGTCTAGAACCTCGAGGATGCCGAATACCCCGACTGAGACCCCTTCGAATGCCTTTGCTACCCGCAGCGCCCATACGACGTTGATCCTGAAGTATCGCATCATCTTCCAAGAACTCATCGTGGGAATACGCACCCGTGAATTCGGCACAAGTACACAGGCAGCTCTCGCCGCAGACCTGTTGGCACCGATGGCCGCATGCGAGAGGCCGCTCGCACGGCTGGCGGCAGATAAGTTTGTCGTGAGTTACCCTTATGAAACACCGTTAATATGTGGTTTGCCAGTCGAATTTCAGAAGAAACAAGGTGGTACAAAGGAAAACGGAGGAACTCACCAATGGCATTGACGCCCGCATAAATGGCCACAGCCAAGCTTATCAGGACACTTCTGATCGCAGCCACCATGGCAGTTGACCCAATCTTCAGGGTGCGATATCCATGTTGTCTTGCCATGATTTTGACATGTGATCGGTAGACGACTATCGCCTCCGAAACGACCTTGTCTCTCAAAGACCTGTTGCACTTTCCCCCACATATTCCACGATGCGGTGCTAGCAAATGCGAGATTGATCATGTTTCCGAAAATATAGAAACCACGGCGAGCACGGCTGATGGAGACGACTCCACGATTCTCGTCTTGGAGGAATCCGGCTTGGTGGGGCCCATGAGGACCATTACTTCGCACTAGCGATAGAATCACGACGTCGTTTTCCTCTCCTTGGTAGGAATCCACCGTGAAAACGTTGGTAAATGGAGCCCAGTGTTTCATCTTGTTCTTGAATAGGGTGAGAATCTTCTTCTTTTGGCCACGGTAGAACGTCAGAACCGTGATCTGGTCTGGTGGAACACCATTCATCAACAGGTAGTCTATGAACTGAACTATCATTTCCGCCTCGAGGATATTGTATCTGCTCAGGTTCTCATCTAAACCTTCAGTCCAGGTGTGATGGAAGAAGAAAGATGGAAGTGCCATGCCAGGGACTGGTGGTCGGACCTCGCCTTTTGTCACAACGGGATGATCCTGCAAAGATGGATAATAGGGGTTGAGAATTTCCCGTAAGGAAGAGATCATTCTTCGTTGCATATTTAGAACAGTAAAGGGCATCTGGAGATTAACGAGACGTTCAAACATGGACACTCGCATAAAGTACGGTTCGTCTCCTAGGCTAGGTGTGTCGCAGTGAGGGGCGAGCTGCTGATGATCGCCAACAAGAATGAGCTGTTGCAACGAGCCGTACAGCGCTGAAAGAATATTTGCCTCCCGAGTCTCGGCTGCCTCTTCAATCAGCAGGGTTCGTGGCCGCAGTGCAGCGAGCAAACCACGGTATTTACATAAGCCCGTAGTGGTGCACCCGATAATTTCGATCTGCCGCGATTTGATGCACTTGGTGTCCTTGTACCATCGGTTGATCTTGAGATTCTTGGAGATTCGAACATTGTCGGCGAGGATGTGGTGGAAATGTTGGCGATGTAATGCCAACAGTGTTTTCTGCCAGTGCTGGTACACGGCACCACGATACTTAGTATCGATGTCCCAGAGATCCGATTTCTGAAGCTCTCGGCGGATGACAAGATCGTCTCCAGTTAGGTGCTGGGGGTTCATGCCGGTCCACAAATGTCTGATTGGCAAAAACTTGCCCTCAATCCTACCACAGTTCTCATCTTCGTCGACGATGCAGTCATCAAGCTCTAGATCATAGTCCTCTGCGTCCAGATCTAGGCTGTCAATATCTTCGACACCCTCAAAATCAGGTTCTTCCTCATCCGGCAACTTCACCTTCACCAGCTGATTTCCCATCCACTCCGCAAGAGGTCCAATGGGTTGATCTGGTAACAGAGGAGCACTAGACCATGTCTGTTCGGGCTGGAGAGACTGTAGCTGCCTTTCTGTTATGATGCCCGAGGATCGAAGGGTATCGGGGGTTATGAGCTCATTAGGAAACACGTCACCAATAGCTTTCTCCACCATCGCAATGTTCTTCTTGCGCGCGGACTCGAAGGTTCTGAAATCGCGATCTGCCCGATGGGTTCGCGGGGGTACCGCGCGACGGCGCAGATTGTACATGCTATACTTTTTGATAACTTCATTCTGAGTACGCCCACCGAGTCGGACGACCTCAAAACCAAGGTTAATCAGTTGAATCAGAATTTGATCAACGGCGTGGTTCGTCTGTGCTGCAACAATTATAACGTTACTGCCCCTTTCCTGGCTCTCCAAGAGGATCTGCAGAGCCTGCACCGATGTGAATGTCTTGCCCGTGCCTGGGGGGCCCTGAACGATAGCCAATTCTTTGGTGAGAATTCTATGTACGGCACTAAGCTGAGAATTGTCCAGGTTTGTATACTTAGATAGCTGGCCGTCGAAGCCGTCTATCACGGGGTAGCCTCGCAGGGGCTCGCTAACCTCGGCCATCTTCACGCTCACCTCGCTTGCCGTCATTGAAGACGAATCCGGGACGTGATGTACTAGGGACCTGATATCCATCCGCGGGCTCTCCTGGACGTATTTTGCAGGAAGGTCACTCTTGTCTGCCCCAACCAAATACTTGTCGAGCGGCGTCTCCGTATTTGCGACATGCTGTAGGCCGACCATACTGTGTCGGACGGCTTCGAAGTAGCCAAATCGAGTCTCAATCATGACAAGTTCTTGGTTGGGATCCATGACGGCATCCTCAAGGTTAGTCCATTGAAAGTGGATCGTCGGCGGGTTTTGGTCGAGACCATCGCGAATACGATGGTCGGAAATAATGGCAGGCATGCAGATAGTCTTAAAGCAATCACTAGCAGTCGAGATAGCCACAAGAGTTCCCACAGTAAGGCGACGCGTCTGGGTCCAACGGATCTTCTTGCCGGACTTTTCAGTAGAGAATTGGACCTGACACATGGGACCAAGACGAGTCATTAAATAACCCTTGACAAAAACCTGATGATGGACGCGGGTGAGTTTACGGAAATTTTACGATACCTACACGTTTTACTGGGGCAATTTAGGGTTGACTTACTCTAGTATATATGCAGGTCTCCTGATCATCCATCATTGTAGGGTTTTCTTTGAATTTCTTGATCGAATATCTCAGCATGGTAATGGCCTCCTCCCTCTGGAGACGGTAGTGAGTCTCGAGATAGGTGTTCTTGTCCTCCCATGGCTTTTGCCAAGTGTTGGGTAGAAGACGACGTATCTCTTCTAGCTGCTGAGGATCGTCCCAGTCAGGATTGAGATCTTGGCCGCTGGGTAGTTCTGGGTAGCTTTGCCATGCTTGTCCTGGCTTTGAAGGGGGGAGCTCGAAGTTCACGTGATGCTTAATGATGTTGAATTCGTGCTAGGCGAACAAGTTAATGACATGACATATGATGAGAAAAATCATAGATGATTTATACTAAAGTGAAGCATACCTGAGAATCAGCTACTTCAGAGCCATCGGGATTATCAGAATCGGCCATGATTTATGAATGGCGACTGGGAAGAAATGACCGGATTTATTGTGGTGTTTAGAAAGTAAGAATCCCTTAGGCTGTAATAGGCTGCTGCGAATTGAGCAAGGAATCCCGCAGATTAAATATGAGTATGCTGAGCGTAGTCAGATGTAATGGGGTTGTATCGTGGTATGGCAACGAAAGATGAAAATGGTTGTTGGGAAGAGTGTAAATGGATATATGTACCTAGGTAGGTAGGTAGGTAGGTCGATATCATCCAATCTTACATGTATGTATACCAGATGGTTAAGACAGTTCCAGATAATTAACTGTCTACCTTCATGCCTACCTTGTAGGTACCTAACTAGGTAAGTAACCTTAAATGTTCAGTACTCTATGGATCTGTTGAAGTACATCAATCCATCTGGGTAGGTCCATACATGTATGCATGGATGTAGGCGGTGACGTAGGCGGGTACATTAGTAGGTATGTAGGTAAGTATTATGTAGTTCAAGTACGATGTTATGATTATGTTTTTTGGAAGCAACGTTGGAACCTGGCCCACTATATCATAGGTACATACCTATGTCTATAGCCCTACTAGGTACTGTACCTAGTCGGATTCTACGATATTGAGGGTACTAGGTGGGTATGTACTTACATATGTGTACTATGTAAGTCGTGTAAATGTAGGTAGGTAATCGTGTGACAAGGAAAGTTGCCTCTATTACAATATTACTCAACTTCTCTCAATATTAGACTACTGGGTACTAGGTACTACTTACCTACACAAATACAGCCCTAGACAACGACACATCGTGAGTTTTCTTATTAGATCTCCAGTATCATAAAGACTGTAATAAGATCAAGTAAATCCCCATTATCCAGTAGGTAGATCTCAATGAAGTGGTTGGTTCAAAGCCGAGAATTCTAATCTCTGTTGTATGCATCTTTCAACCCCACCATGTCGATATAATCATATTGCCCCTTTTCTCATGCTTGAGTTTTGTCACTGTTTTAGACAATAGGGTCGGGTTGAGAAACAGTACAAACTACTAGGTACCTTACATAGGTACGTGGCTTAACTCTTCACGTTTGCAAACGAAACCGGGTTGCAAACAAAGACTCGTAACCACACCGCCATAATCAAGTTTGCTCCAACATCTGAAGCCAATATCACTAATGCCTAGGTAGGAAACACCTCAGCTCAAGCCAAATTAACACGACTATATAAATAGAGGTAAATTCCCATGCTATGTTTTCATTGCTGTACATGGGTGTCCATAGACGTTCCAACTTACATTTAAGTAATATGGTAGAAGGTTAGACGTACTGATCGGTATATACTTCTATTACATGAGCTGTTGACCACCTAGATAGCTACCTACTCACGTAAACAATCATACCACCGTCCCCCCCCAACTAGGAGGTCGATCTTCCAGCTTCGTACCCCACTCAGATTCCTGTTCCCCAAGAGCTAACTCCATCGTCCATCCATCGTGGAAGAATGAATGGCCGATCCAGGACTTCGTCCACAGCTGTCCATTAACTGTCACATTTTGAATATAAATATTCTTATAACTAGCATCGAACCCCACCGTCTTTATCTGGGCCGTATTCCCGGTTAAGGGGCTCGTTATATTGACTTGTTTGAACAATGGTGCCGAGATCAGGTATACGTCTTGTCCAGCTATAGGAAATAAACCCATCATTCCGAATACTACAAAAGCGCCCATCGAGCCTGAGTCGTCGTTCCCTGGTAAGCCATCGTGGGACGTATTAAACGAGGATGGAATGTAGGTGTGTAACCGTTTAGTGGACAGACTGGGGCGTCCTGCATAATGATAAAGGTAAACTGTCGAGAACACGGGTTCATTGGAGATATCGGCAAGACCCGACATATGGAAGAAGTCAAGACGCCGAATAAATGATTCCTCGGCGCCCATCAAACTAATCAAGGTCGACATCGACTGTGGAACGAGGCTATGAACTTGGTGAGCTGTGTGACACATTCGTCAAAGCTGGTCGAAATGGAATTAATGCTTACAATTGGTACTGCCACACACTTGAAACACCTAATACTTAGCGATTTTCTTGCCATAAAAGATGTAAACTCAATAGGTATAGTTCGTAACTAAGTAGAGAATCTTGAATATGCCCACAAGGGGAATAGGAGATTCGATATACTGACCTAGCTTCAAAGGTTTCACTGGGATTGGTAGTAAGCGAGCAGAAACTTGCGAGTGCTGAGCAAGCGATTGGATCTTGATATCCCCACGTCCCGTTTTGATATTTCGGCTGGAAGAATCCCACAAACCCTGTGTCATTGCCATTGATGATAGAGTTCTGTTCTGATTTCCCTAATATATCGGAATATATTGTCAGTGCTTAGGTACCTAGTACATATCTCAAATTCGTCTCCCAAGCTTGTATAGCAAAGTTACGAAAGGCTTGCGTTTTATTCACTCACTGTAATGACGTTAGCTGGTGTATCAAAGAGGATCGGATATTGTTTGAAAAGTTAAGCATGCAAATTTTGACATAATTCCCAACATACCACAAGTGCTGCCAATTGGCACTTCTTGACACGTATTTATCGAATAAGTCGTCTCGTGCAAGTCCCTGTGCTAGTGTCGCGAGACAATAATCATCATATGCGTACTCCAGAGTTCTTGAAATGCTACGGGAGTTCGTGCCGAATCCAACTGGGTCGAAATCAAGATAGGGAATATAAGAAAGGTCTTTCCAGCTTTGCAAGCCACCTCTACCATGATAAGACCATTCTAGTGGTTCAACTTCGGCATCTTGGATGATTGCTTCAAGAGCAAGTTCCCAGTCGATGCCTGTTAAATTCTTGACGTAAGCGTCTACGATCACGACATCTGCGTTTGAACCCCCTTGCGTCCATCCTGTACTCAATGACCTGAGAAGCTTAGTTAGATGCCCCCTCACCAATTGAAAGAGTATCGGGGTCTTACATGTGGCAATCGGGTAACCAGCCCTCGTGTTTGTAAATATCAAGGAGGGAGTTTACCATCTGAACTTGGGCTTTTGGGTCTAGGATGGTAAGGAGCGGGTGCTGAACGCGAAATGCGTCCCAGATGCAATAGAATGAATCAAAGTAAGGGATCCCGCTATTCCAGTATGGATTTTCATCGGTATAATTCTGAGGTGAAATCATGCTCCTATATAGTCCGCTCCAAAAGCTAATTTGGAGATCCTCGCCAGCACCGCCGGGATCGACAGAGATCGGACTCAGTTTCTCTCGCCATGCATCCTCGGTCTCGGCTACGAGCCTATCAAAGTCGCCAAGAGGCTGGGGAATCTCTTCTTGAGCCCGTTGACAAGCCTGGTCCGCACTGATAAAGCTAATCCCCGTCCTCACCGTTAGGATGTTATTCGCCAGATTGTTGAATCGAACCCATCCACCGGCCTCAAGATAGAAGAGGTTGAAGCCACGAGTAACGAACAGCTCCTTCGGTTCGACCCCTCCTCGATTGTTAACCCATACACCGTTGTCAAAAACGTCGGCACCGAAAAAGTCAACGCAGAAATGCATCACGTACGATCCAGCACCAAAGCTTGGGAGAAAGGTACCATTGCCTTTGAGCCTCCCGCTCTCAGAGTCCACGATAATCGTGGCATTCTGGCGACTTTGCCACAGATCTGTCAAGTCTAGCAACATCAAGGGATGACGGTCGTCCGAAGCCGGAAATTCGAACTTGTACAGGGCCGCATGCTCGCTCGAGGTCATCGTCGCTTTGATCCCGGATACCAACTCCACCTCAAAGTATCCTGGCCTGGAAACCACGGACTCCTCGACATAATGCGTAGCCCTTTCGCCTATGAGAAATTTGCAGTTATTTATATCATCCCCGTCACAGACCTGTGGGAATAAAGGAAAATTCCCTAGACTAGGATTGCCACCTGTTCCGCTATCATGAACTTGGGAGAATCCGGTAATATTTGAGCCGTCGGTGGCAAATCCACCTGTATTTTGACCGTCTACGTTCGCGACGGGTTTTGCGAGAGCATAAGGCTTCGTACTGCCTGCAAAAACATTCCCTCCATTAGTGCTGCCGATTAGGGGATCGACGAATTGGAGTATGTCGGCGCATATTACCAGAGGAAATATGAGGGGGGTGGTGAGGAAGAGAATCAGATGCGGGGTTCCGTAGAGGAGCTGTCGGTGCACCATCTTCCAAATCTTAGAAGTTAAGAGGTAAATAGATTGGGAGGTTGTGAGTTTGATCAACAAAAAATCCCTTTGGGCAGTCACAACCTTGAACCTAGCGAGTATCTTTCAACGAAGGACATTAGATGAAGGGAGGATAAATTCTAAGAATTGCTTTCCAGAATAGTAGCATACAGATTGCAGCATACGAGCATCACTACAAGCATACTCTGACCTTCCCGAATGGGTCAACATCCTAGCTTTGGTAGTAGGAACGCCCAAAAGAGTCTTTGTCGATCCTGTTTTGCTTTCGCTTTCTTTCGTTCGCGGGGAAGTCGACTTAATATAAGAACGCAGGGAGCAAGATCGCCTATATCTGTGAGACCTGCATGGCCTCGGGACGTATTTTTAAATTGGAGATTTTTCACATTTTTATCTTTTTTCTTTTTCGAATGATCATACTACATAAGGTAGTCAAATATAATTCAAATTGACTACTAGTAGATATTTCATGTATCATTTTATTATTGATGGGTCTAATATTCCTGCCTGTACCTGGTAGGTATGCAACCACCCGTGTGCCCCACTCACGATAATGATGTTGATGGGTGTGGGTGGCTGATAATGATAATCCCACCCTAATTGGCAATCTGACTGCGCTACCACTGATTCACAAGCTTACCTAAAGCTATATGAGTTTCTAGGTACCTATGCTAGGCTCTAGCTAATAGCAGATAGCAGATACCTTAGTTACCTAGGTATACGAAACCAGAATTTCCGGAAACATATGATGATGTATTACCTAGTAAACTCTAATACCTGGAAGTCTCTTACCGATTGCTGGACATTGGCTTAATAACGACCACCCGTCTCGGAGCAGGCTCCGCCATAAACGACGTCATCACTATCTACGTCAAAGCTCGAGACAAGACCCAACAACTAGTATAGGCCATCCATGGTATAGCGTTCGAATATATACGTTTAGATCACATATCAAAGTTCGATGATTATGATACGAAGCACGTCGGCGCTTCTCTGGCGCGTAAGTATAGTCTGGGTTGGATACAACCGACAGTAATCGTCGCTATCAACCCCATCTACCTACCTACCTACTAGGTGGATATGCGGAATCCCTAGATCCCGCTAGTCGCCTTAGTCGCGAGAGAGTTCTGTAGGGCTAGAGTAGATTTATTGGCTATTTACACCGACGCAGTATAGAAGGTAGGTAAGGGGTTAGATTCATCTTTAGTACGGGCCGGTCTCTTGATGATGAATGTGTCATGCAAAATTGCACCCTTTGTAGATCAAGTGTTACGATTCGTGACGAAATCATCGTGGTACATGACCTTAGGTTTCCACGATATTAAAACTAAAATTATGAGAGCGCCTAATAAATGACGTGGATAGATTGTTTATAGGGAGATGATGTCTGGCTTGATGCTTCTCTTCCTGGATATCTACCTCGGTATTCGAATGTGTGGACTTTCAGACCATCATATTACCTACCTACCTAGTACTTAAGCAGCAAACATGGTATATCTAGCAATCCTAACGGGTATCAACGTCCTGGCGCTCGTAATACGGCGTTCCCTTGCTTTCCCTTTCGTGTCCGACGCAACCACAACTTACTCCTCCGACGTAGCTACTACGGTTCCCGTCGTTCCTATCACAGACGTGACTTCTCACGGTAGATACACGGGTCCATCGGCGGCTAGCACGGGCGCGTTATCTACCGATGTCTCTCTAGCGACCATCGCCGCCAGTCCGCCGGAGCCGTACAAGTTAGAATACCCAGCGGACGGACAGCTTCACGAAGAAGAGCCCGCGCCTTATACCCCGGGGGGTGGGCTAGGTACCAACGGATCCGAACCAGGTAAGTATCATCCAGAGTAATTATTCCTCTTTTTAGCGTGTCGCAGGAGGGGTGTCCCGTTGTCGACGGGAGCTTCTCTCCTACTTCTATGACATGAGCGAAGGCTCCCGACCATTCGCCGCTGGTTCTAAAGAGACGATAATGACTCCCGGCACTGTAGTGTACCGGGTAATCAGCGACTTTGACTACGAATCCGTTGCTCTGGCATTATATCAAGAATACATTGAATTGGATTTGTTTCATTGGGGATTGGCTCAATTCTCTGTCGACGACTTCGAAGCTGTCGGATTGGGCGCCGAAGATCGATACCTCATTGAGTTCATGGCTGACCAGGAGGTTGGCCACGCGACTGCTTTGTCGAACATGCTCGGTCCGGAAGCGCCGGTACAGTGTGCCTACAACTATCCAGTTTCGGATGTCCGAGAGTTCATCGACTTCAACCAGAAGCTGACGAGATGGGGAGAGTCTGGCGTTTTAGGATTTATAAACCATCTAGATTCCCGGGAAACGGCACAGATACTTTTGCAATCCATCACCACGGAATCACGGCAGCAGATGATCTTTCGTCAGTTCGAGGGCCTCTTTCCGATGCCACTATGGTTCGAGATCGGCATACCTCAGTCGTGGGCATGGACTCTCTTGGCCCCATATATATCGTCATGCCCATACAATCAAACTCGCCTCATCTGGCAAAACTTCCCTCCTCTGCGAATATTGAATCAGCCCAACCCGGCTCGTATCAATGGATCCTACGTCTGGAACGAAACGGCAAGCGCATACGCAAACTCGCTCAGCACCACGGACATATCAGCTTCCGAGAGCTGCTTGAACGCCACAATCGGTGAAAATTGCAACCCAGCAATCACTCACGACAGAGCTGTCCCGTTGTCGTACCCAGGCCGCCAAGTTTTCCTCAGTTGGGACTCCCCAGGTTAATTTTCCCCTGCTCGAGATGATCCCATTGGGAATTTTCTGACATTGCCGTCAGGGTACCGCACCGGTCCTAACAATAGTTATTTCACCAGCACGAATGCCGGCACAGCTAAGTTCGCTGCTTGGGTCTCTCAGCTCAATGTGACGTATACTGCTTTGCATTGCACTGGAGATAATGCAGCGTACACATTCCAGCCAAATACTACTACTTATGAGGGCGACCCTGCCGTTAACGGCACCATCTTCTTGGCCATCACGGACCTAGATCTCTATGTGACACCGTTCAACCTTTCACTGATTAACCCACACGTTAATGCACTGGCCATCTACCAGGCCGGCTGAAAGTAGGACTCTCATAATTTATATGCTACAGAACATCCCCCAAACAGCCAAAGTGGACGTGAGAATATGAGACGTGGGAGTATAATTGGGTATTGGATAGTTCTAGAGAAAAATCATAGTGTGTGCTGGTCTCGCAGCATCTGCATCTCTGTAGCAATTAGAGTGTGCACACAGGACGTGCTAGGGAAAGATAGCGGCACACCACGGCCCGTGGAATGCCAATCACGTAAAATTGATGTTCGCAATATGTGTGATAATCATATCGTGTCGATGCTAGTAATCGTGATGCTAGAGTACTTCCTATTTTGTCGTATGTAAGTATGCATCACAATACCTTTGTTCAGCATAGAGAGAATAAAGGACATTGATAAATTTCGCGTTTCTGGTCGATTCGATTGATGCTTCCTCGTGATTATCACGTTGTAAACCCACTTAAAACGATGAGCACCTTTACGCCGTTTCCAAACCACCTATGGGTATCTTTTTCTTTCCAAACGAGCCTTCAAATCAAATAAAGAGATACCTCGATTCGATCGTTGCCGGAGTAATTCTCCCAATGAATACGTCACTGGCAGCCATCGTATTTAAATGCATTGTTAAAATATGCATAGATACCAAAGTCCCACAAGACCAAGCGTGCAATACTAAAAGTGCCTAGCCGTCATCAGTGTCAATTGCAACCGCTACGCAGGCACATTTATTTCGTATCCAATAAGCACCTCGGTAGTAGTCCCTTCCCAGCCACGGTTCCCCGCGGCCGAGAGCATGAAGCGGCTAGAAGGGTCAATATAAAGGCTGGATATGACGCCAGCACGTGGTGGGCCAGGAATAATCAAAAAAGGCGGCGGCGAATGCTTAGAAGAGTGCCCCGAACGAAGATCGTAGAGTCGAAGAATGTCGTGGGACGCACAGACTAGGTGACGTCCATTGGCCATAGACCGAACGCAGCTGACTGGACCGCTGCCTCCAGGGAATTTAAAAACACGCTCTGCTTGCCAGCCCACACGCCCTCCCCTTGCCCTCTGTACGCTAAATTCTTCCACCGTGCCGTTTCTCCGACCGGCGTAGATCCAATTACCATCCGGACTCCAGCATGCGCCCATGCACCAAGGAGGAATACCAGGCTTGTTATCGATACGCGCTACCGGGTTTGGCATCCGCCGGTCCCAAACCCGTAGCGTCCCGTGGATAGATGCCGAAAGAAATGTGCTATCTGAAGTTTGAGCCATATCGTAATGTATCGGCGCCGGCGCGGCGAAGACAGTCGAAGGTGACTGAGGTGCTAATCCCTGGGGTCCGGGAATCGCCGACTGTAGCACACCCGCCGGGTGTGATGGGAACGGATGGTCGCCTGCCGAAGGAAGCGGGAAGTCGGGAAGAGTAGGTAAAGACGACGGGTCATGGCTAGCATCGGTCCCGAAAGAGTTGAGCGCATTATCTCCAAACAGAGTAGGGTCTGGCTGATTCGTATCCGGAAGAGGCTGGGCAGCTGGCACCTGACCTGTGTCAGGTTCAAAAGTCGGACCGGACATGTCGAAGTCGCCCATCGCAACACTGGCATCTTGGGCCGAGTCTTGCATCATAGCTCGGGAGAATTCATTGTCGTCGTCACCCCCAAAGGCGCCCATCCCGTCGTTGTCGCCAAAAAGATCGGAGCCACCCGTAGGGCTACCACCAAAAAGGCTGTCATGCGCTGGACTCCCCTGGGCATCAATTGCGCCATCTCTTCCGTGGGATGTCTGACCAGCCACCCCATTAATGCCGGTACCATTCATGCTATTATTTAGACCAGTGCCGAATCCTCCATCCAACTCTAGCTGCAGGTCGCCGTCCGCACCGGGATGGGAGTTGTTGGTGAAAAGCGTATCGCTTGCGATATCCTCCTCGCTAGCTTCGGGGGGGATCGGCACCCCTCCCATCGGACGGATCTCGATAGCGGAAATCTGCCCGCCACTGCCGTCGAACTGGCGCTTCACCTGCCCCGTATTCAGGTCCCAGTCAAAGATGTTCTTGTCCCAACTACCACTAAGCACGCTCTTCTCATCCGGGGAGAGGGTCAGCACGCTAACCGCATTTGTGTGCTTCTTCAGGCAGGTGATTCTCTTTCCCTCGTCGTGGCGAACGCTTTGGAGGTTGATCCCGCCGCTCTCGAGACCGGACAGGAGCCATAAGGCCTGGGAGTGGACTGCGAGGCTGTAGACGGGACTAAGGACTTGGTCTTCCTGCCGCACAGGAGCGGACTCCGCATTTTCCCAGTACGACATCAAGACCCCAGCCTTAGTGACCGAGTCAACGAAAGGATGCCTCTGTGCCACGGTTAGGAGGGTCTTGCCATTAATCGTAGCCGGCCCGTCGTATTTCCTGATGTACCCGTCGCTTCCGCCAGTCATCCAGTACCGGAGATCTGGGGTGATAGCTATCGCGTTTATGCTAGTAGCCATAGGTGCTGCCATTGTTGGGACAATATCGTAAGTTGGCGCGGTAAGCACTTCCGGGCGAACCCTCGGCGTCCACTTGGGGGTTGCGAGAGGGCCCGGGGTAGCTGACATTCGAGTGACGGCCGGATTGGATAAACCGTTCGGTTGTCGGAGGTCTTGGGTGTCCTCTTCATCCTCGTGCTCATGTTGATCCGCATCATCTTCCTCCTCCTCCTCGTTCTCGTTCTCATTGTCGTCCTCATCGTGATCGGCATTCTCATTTTCATCCTCGCCATCGACATCAACATCGCCATCAGCTTCCGCGTCGTGAATCATGAGATCGTCTTCATGTTCGTTGTCCGAACTCGCATTGGAATCTCGGTCGAAATCGTCCATCGTAAATACTATTAGATGCTATTGTTAATTAGGGCGAAGTGCAACGAGACTCCGTCCTCGCTTTGTCATCCCGCAGACACGCCCTTTCTCGATTAGTCCGCAATCGAATTAGAATAGAAGTATTTGTATTTTAGTAGCGGTAGAGATGTATCCTTTTCAGGAGGGTAAGATAAGATGGCCAAAGAGGCTGGGTAAGATGTGACGGGGAAATAAGAAGACAAGAAGACAAAGAAGTAAAAAAAGACTAAAGTTACAAAGTTACAAAGTTAACCTACCGGTAGGTACGCGCCAATATTATTCAAAATTCAAGAATACCAGGTAGCTCATAGCTCATTTAGCAATACTACGGTCTAATGCGATACTCCTCTAGATCGGAAACATTATTGCATAAAATAAGATATTAAAATAAACCTTATTTCTTAGATACATAGGTACATTCGCCACTCTTAGAACTCCATTTCTAGCACTCAGCTCATTCCCGCCAAATCTCAAATATCATACCGTGGTTGAAATTAGAATAGTCTTATTTACGTCCCCGGAACTTCCGATCTCGTACTCGGAATTGGTCCCTTTTCGCCGCGAGAACGGCAGGTCTTCCGGAGTTTGAAGTGCTCTGTACCGGCGGATTGCCTGCGTTTGACCTTGGCCAAACAGAATTATTCCTTTCTCCTCTTCGACCGGTTCCTCGATCGCCTTGCTTGATAGGCCATGACGGCGCCACTCTCCGTTCGTTAGGGACGGGTATGGCAACGGCTCGTTTTTTAAATACTTCGGGAGGTATCTCGATGATATCGTCATCGCTATCACCACTGTCGTCTCCCTCGTCTGGTCCTTCGGGTGGTTTCTTCGAATCATGATCTTTGTCCGGAGAGCCCCGGCTGCCGCGAGGAGGCGGTCGCATTACATCTCCAGCATCCCGCAGTTTCCCCGAGCTGTTCAGCACGCGACCAACCAGTTCGACAGCGACCCTTGCTTTATAGTTCATGCCCTTAACAGCTTCATATGCGTTAAGACCAATCATCTCCCACCGCACTTGGTCAGGATTAAACCACGGATTCAAGGGAGCCCAGAGTTGTTCATCATATCCCGTATTTCTCGCTACACCATCGTTGATGCGGTCCATCATCTGTTTCGCCGTCCAAAACGCGCGGAGCCCACAACTCCAACTATCCTTTTGCCAAGGAGGCCATACGACGCGTTCGCAAGCAGCTGCGATCGTGAATCCGATCCTCGTAAAAATCCTCCGTAACCTATTCGCGATAATATCATTGCGTTGCTTGTAATTATCGTCTTTCCAATGGTCGATGACGGCTACCTGAAGAATCTGGTCCCACTTGTCACTGTTAGGATCTGATCGGCCTTTATGTATCACCGCCAACTCCCAGTGGATGTCGTTAAAATTACACGGCCATATGGTGTATTCTGTTTGCGTAAAACGTCTGAAGAACCTATCGTAGCGCCCCTTTAGAAGATTATTTATCCCTCTCTCGTCTCTATCGAAGATGCCTGCGATGCTTGTATCCACTAGGTGAATGATATTCCGCGTCTGTGTCGGGAGATCTTCGTGGTAAGACTTCATGGACAACTCAATAGCGTCGCCGTTTAGCCATGTCTCGCGGCTGGCCTGAAGCTGACTGAGACCCCTGATGTCTGGCCAATCATTCGGCGGTTGGGGGATCTCTTCTGGCCTATTAGGCCCTATATGACGGACTCTACATTCACCTAACCCGCCTCCTCGAGTCCCACACAAGACGTGTCCAACAGAATAATGCATTCTTGGACACCTTTTTTCCTATTCTGCTCTTCAGAGAAATAGTTATGGTAAAAGATAGTGAAGTTATGATTTCCTGGGTATCTAGTAGGTTGATTCAACGCCTTTGCTAACGTTACTAGCTATGATGCCCCTATCTGAATAAGGCAGGCTATAAATCCCCAATGAAGATTACAATTACATAGACTACTGATATCCATGTTAATAAACAAAGATGTTTGTGAAGATGAAAAATAATATATCGATAGACACGCTTTCTTTGTACTTCGCTGAATCCGATGTGTTATATACGCATATGTCAAAGGCCGAGGTGAAAGCTTTATTTCGGATCCGGTTCGTGATACATTATCCTTTATCCATTGGCGAGTCCATGAAAGCAACAAACAATAAAGCCTGATACATGATCATTTTGACTCGTAGCGCTGGAGGTACGGGAGTAAGAAATGCCTTCAATATATCCAGTATATCATAGCTTGTGAGTAGTTGGAAATACATTCATATTTTTTTTCAACATAAAAAATTGTGTAAGGCAATCCTAGGGTACCTAAGAGATTATAAAGTTTCTATTAAGTAAAATACCTACAGAAATTGATAATTACTGAGTAGCTACCTACTTCTAATTGAATGTAAACATCTAGTTTTGAAGGCAGTACTGGATTATTTATTCGTCACACAGCCACACAGCCACAGTGAGGGTCCTAGATATGGGGAGGCTTGGGCTTGACTGTATTTAACCTAGCAGCCTACTGTACAGGTACTAATAGGTATCCACCTAAAGATGTGGAAATTGGAATGCGGGAACGAGCAGAGAGCGCCGACAGGTCAAAGACTCCAGTAAAGTTGAACCAACATTTCTAGGCATGCCTATCTACTACCTAACAAGACTTTATGTGCCGTACGTACCTACTTAATATTTTATTTTGGTGTAGGATTCGCTCATAACTTAAAACTATTGGTTTAGGAGTCTGGGAGATATAAAAAAAATAGAAAAAAAGTCAAGCCCATTATAGACTAGACTGAGATCCAAGGCTTTTCCAAGACCTCTTAAAACTTCTAAGTGGATCAAGCGTAAGATAGGTATAGTACAGTAACATTCCACCTGCTTACCTGGCAGCCCGCCTCATCCGTCTCGTCTATCTCGCGGTGTCGCATATGAGAGAACGTGCTGCGATCCGGAGGATGACTACCTAGCTAGACCCGGTCGGTATGCTACCTCCATCCTTTCTCTTGCCACTCTCGCTTATCAGTACGACCGTCTACCTTCTACCACCAACCCGACAAGAGGGCATTGCGGATTTCCGAGCGTGATCTAGGAATTTCCAGATGCTTGCCACTATTCGGAATCGCGGCATCGTGTCGTTTTTCCTAGGCTTCCTTCTGTGTTACGCCATAACCGTCGTTTACTTGCGGTCTAAGTGTTATCGTGACCCGTCTTCGGTCTTTTTCAGGCCTGAATCCGCTCGCGTTTTGACGTATTCTTCTTTCCGCAAGGCGCAAGCTCATAAATTCAGTAATCTAGCAACCTCGCGTGCGGTGACTAGGTGGGCTAACTCGACCAACCCCGATCTGTGTGTTGGCATCGCCTCTGTAAGTCGACATGGGTTCTCTTATCTTAAAGAAACCCTCGGATCCATACTTGAAGGTTTAGATGACTTCGAGCGCCAGCGCATCTTTCTTGTCGTCTTCCTCGCCCATACCAACCAATCCGAGCACGAAGACTTCCGCCAACCATGGCTCCTCAATATGGCTGACAGCCTCCCGACCTACCCCAGCGAGTCTAACACCATCGATATCGTGCGCCAACTTGAGATCGACGGAAATTACGAGGCTCATGCTCGAAAACAAAAGATCGACTATTCCGTCCTACTAGACGAATGCGCCAAGGTCAACCCTAGCTATACTATGACCTTGGAGGACGATGTGATCGCTTTAGATGGATGGTATCACCGCGCTCTCGGCGCCCTGGCGATTGCCTCGAGGAAAACTCGAGAGCTTGGACGAGATAGTTGTATGCCGATTGCATTTCTTGAAATTTTCTTGCTCTTCTTGTTCACGTTCTCGTTCTCGTTCCATAAGCATCATTCTCATGCATCATTCTCATGCTCACCAAGCCAGTCTTGCTAACCTTACTCTTTCCCGCGCAGTTCTCTACTTACGCGTCTTCTATGACGGTCGACTCCTCGGTTGGAACAGCGAAGAATGGCCACTTTATGTCGAATCGAGCGTAGCAGTCTTAATTGTCGAAGTTTCGATAATGGTAGCCTTTCGCTGGCTCTTCGCCGTGCCACGAAAGGTTCTTACGACTTCGGTCATATTTGTCCTCTGCGGGGTGTGCACGCCCATGCTGATCGGTCTGTTTTTCGCTGCCGGCCGCAACTGCATGATGCCAAAAGCTCCCGGTATCCATCTAATGCACCAATATGGCTGCTGCGCGCAGGGACTCGTATTTCCGCAACGCCAGGTTATCGATCACCTGCTTCCATTATACCGCGATACACAAGATAACCATGCCGCCGTCGATACGTTTCTCGAAGACTGGGCCAACAACCACGACGGTCTGCGATGGGCGGTCACCCCAGTCCTCATACAGCATGTAGGCGGCAAGAGTTCCCATGGTGCGGGAGACCAGGAGTCAGGGTCGCTCACAGACGACATGCCGTTTGACTATTTTTTCGAGATGAACGACCCAATCAAGCTTGCCAAGGAGCACGGGGCGTGGATTGCGGAGGTCACAGAACAGGCAAGAAAGGATACGACATATTAATAAATAAATGCAAATCCCCGTCTAGTCTAGCTCAAGCTAGTTCGGATCGCGACCGAACAATGTCACCTCCGTTCGACCCACAGTTCTCTAGCAAACAGAAGACGTCGCACTTGTAGCTGTATAACTACCTACCTACCTACCTACCTACCTACCTACCTACCTACATGTCGAATCTTCGATACTTTGACATAAGAACGGCCTTTAGCTGCTGTACAGGGTAGTGGAACGGTCGCTTGCTAGTCAGCAAGGAGAGATAGTAGGTGGGGGTTCATACGACAGATCTACAAGAAATAGTGTAATGATCAGTTAAAATCCCCACCGTTGATCGATATGTAATGGTAGCCCCCTGCTTGTGATCAATCAAGGAATGGCAAGTGTCGCTTCGTGTTGGTGTTGCAGTACACACAGACAAAATGAGAGAGGCGTTTATAAGTATGTTGGAGATTTGCAAAACTAGGTATGTACATAATTCTTCCAGGGAGACGATGAAGCTTCTGAGAGGAAACTGCAAGACCTTAAGCCGCGGGTATAATAGAGTTTCAGTCATGCATCAATCGCATGCATACATGGTAGGTAGGTAATCACCCGTACAATAAAGGCAATATTATGCTGCTTTATTGTATTACAAACGTTTTGGGTGCGGTATTCTCGAATTGGGATTGGAACAGTAGGTATCTAGGTAGGTACCTAACCATAATTTATAGGGTCTGACAAATGATCAGTAGCACAGATACATGAGCCGAAAGGTAGTATAGCTTGGGTGTGTTGAGATATCAACGACGACATCTGAGCGACTCACATATCATGTACCACTTTGTCGTCTCCAGTGGATGACAGTACTCGAAAATGTTGTGTAGCCTGAATCTTCGGGAAACTCAACTTTATCGCATCGGTCATCCAGCTCCTTTAATCGGTCCCAATCTGGAATATCGGAGGCGCGGCATCTGTAAAATGTCAGCTAGAATATAAAGCCAGACAAGTGCAGCTGACCAGGAGGCGGCAAGGATGCATACTTACTCTTCCCAGACCTCCCGAGGAGTCCCAACAAACACGGCAGGCAAATTGTTAGCAAGAGCGTGCGCATATATATCTCTATATAGATGAATACCGAACACCAGCGTCGACGTGCTAACTTGTTCGAACCCATTCGGCGAATAGACGACCTCGTAGCCTAGACTACGAATGAACGCTTCATCCACGGAGTTGAAAATTGGTTCTTGGAATAGACAGCGGATCGGGACCCTCTTGTCGCATTGCAATTGCTCAACCATGTATAAGAAAGCGGATAATTGTATATGAGCCCGTCGTTTGTTCTCCCAGGAGCCATCTTCGGGATCGAAAGACCCTAGGCCGAAGCATATTGCGTCGGTAATAGCAGAGCCGCAATCGCAAGACGCGACAACATCCCGCAGTCGACGGCAGCCGGTTGATGCTCTCCACTGATCCCTAATATGCCGATGTTCCCTCTCGACGTCAGAAACAGACAGGGATGACGGGCGTTGCTTAGGGCCGCTGTTGCTGGTATTAGATGGCGGAAGTACAGGGTGATGGGATTTTATGCGGCGTCCTTTGCGGCGAACTTTGATCCATTCATCACCAGCCTCCACCCCTTGCGCTCCAGCTGCCGGGGCCATGATTGAGACAAAGAAAAGGTTGGCACTTGGCCACAGGTAGATGGCTTGATCGACGCCTGTAGCGGTATTACCTATGCACCTACAGTATCAGATTGTAAGCTGTAGCGAATCCCAAGGACATAACCTCTCTTACTATGTATGAAGAAAGATTGTTTTGCTAAAGATGAGAATTTAGATGTAGCACTGCATACCTAGGTACCTACCTACTAATACAGAGATAGTTATTAACTTAAAACCTACGATATCCTTATAGCATCTCGCACTGTCTCCCATCCACTGTACCATACCCGCAAATATACTACATAGTACTGACCTAGGCCCTATAGCGCACGTGATTATCGCCGTCATTAAAGTTTTTTTGTTAACCTAGCTACCTAGCTAGCACCTAGGTACCTAGTAAGTAAAGATCTAATTCTTGATTTATTAGTTAAGAGCCTTTTAGTTTTTTCCCCTTCATTTACTAGATGAGCCGTTGCTATAATTATTAAGAGATACATAGTAGGTGTGTGGATGTGTAGGTGTGTTTGTGAAATAAAAGCCTCATTTTTTTTTTGAATTCGAAAATGACATCCTGTCCTTAGATTGACATTATACCCGAATACCGCTGAAGTAATTTGGGGATTTGGAATTTGTTTCGGCCATTGAATATGTCCTATGATGAAATTCATAGGAAGCCAAGGCCTCGTTCTCCTACCGTCGGTCAATTTCTCCGCATGGGACCTATTTAAGAGACATGTAGAACACTCTACTAGATATGTCAAGCAGCCAACATAATACACCTATTATTTCCGAAAAACATACCAGCTTAGACGCCGCCACGATGCGGCTTAAGGTAGCACAAGCGGCCCCCGAAATGGGATGGCAGGATGGTAAGATTATTACAATTCATCGACCGATGGGTTTCTATGTATGTAGATGGTCAGGAAATCGTGTTGGTTGCTCACAGTCGCCCAAAAATAGTCCCTGGATAATACATATGCGATAGGTTGGGGTCCCGATGCCAAAAATCTTGGTGCTTCCCGAAGTGGGCTTTTAATCGGCGCTTACATTGATCATCGTGATTGGTTGCTTGCTCCTGATAGCCTCCCTGATCCCTGTCATACGCAGTACCGGTCTATTCTTTTCTCACCAACCATAGGTCTCTTTGGAGAAAGAAGCCCTTGCTAAAGCGATCCTGGTTCCCCCCTACTGTCGATCGATTCTATTGGCTATGTTAGACAAATCACCTTCGTTCCTACATTGAATGAGCGACTCGCTCTGTCTCTTTGAACCCATCCTATTGGCTCTGCTCGATCGGTTGACAGGGGACGAGCTCTTGGAGCTGCACGTCGTGCACATCGTCCAGCCCTTCTCACTGGACTGCCCGACCCAAAATGCCGCCCGTCTCTCCTGACCCTTGATTTCTGGAGCGGGGGGCCATGATGAGCGATCGATGGTATTGGCCATGTAATGCAGGTGCTTGAACAAGAACCGGAAAGTCCTTGCAGTTGTTGCTTCCGCCCGTCAGTAATAATGCGCTCCTTCTGCCCTACAACTTCTTCCCGATCCTCTTTTCATCTTTTCTCCATCGCCGACGCCAGAACCATATTCCCATACTGGACAGATACATATCGCAAGGCCGATATCGATTTGTCGTTAGTGCCGCCAACAACGTGATTAGGAAGACAGTCGAGCTAGAAACGAGCGCTGTGATATTCTATACGAAGGTGGATCCCTGGCAGCCGCGTTACAAAAAGACGGCACTCACCACGTCGATTAATACACTCGCCAACTCCTGTCGCGAGCTTTCATCTCACCCGCCTGCGCGAGAAGTCGGTACCATTTAGAAAATTTGGAGGGTTTATTCTTGATTGTTAGTCGCTGTGCGACGAGAGGGGCTTGCGTGTAATTTCTCGTATCACCTGTTGTCTTTATCGAAGGAGTATAAAATCTACCACGATGCTGTCATCAGTATTATTAGCCGTGCTCGCATCAACCTTAGCGTCGGCCCATACAGTCATCACCTACCCAGGATGGAGAGGAGACAACCTCATCACGAACTCTTCGTGGCCATACGGCATGCAGTGGACCTATCCATGTGAGTAATCTCTTTTGATATATACATCATCTCTGAATACTAGGTACCGTTTAAAATCATGATGACTGTCACAGTGACTAACACGATTATTGTAGGCGGCGGTATTCCACTGACGACGAATAGGACGTATTGGCCCACTACGGGTGGCGCTGTCGCGTTCCAGCCGGGTTGGTTCCAAGGGCATCAGACGGCATTCTTATATATCAACTTAGGCTTCGGCACCACCGGGCCGGATGGAGGGCCGGAAAATATGTCATTTCCTATGATCGCACCTTTTCAGCTTCTCGGCCCTTCGAAGGGTCCGTATCCCGGGACCGTCTGTCTGCCACAGGTACCACTGCCCGCGAACATGTCTTTCAACCCCGGTGACAACGCGACGCTGCAGGTCGTCGAAATAGCGCAGCACGGAGCTGCCCTTTTCTCGGTAAATTTTGGCGTTCCGAGCTTGGATGAAGATGTGAAAGCTGACTTGTCTCCTATAGTGTGCTGATATCACATTTGCTGCACCCGGTGACGAGAAGATCGCCAAAGTAAACGAATCTAATTGCTTTAATAGCACCGACCTCGGCTTCGCCGAGATCTATACAATCACGACTCAAGAGATAGGCGCTGCTGCCAATATGACCACCAGCAGCGCCTCTAGGTTTCTCTACCGGAGCTCTTCTGCGTGGAGCTGGCTGGGTTATTTACCCTTGGCTGCATGCTCTCTCTGGTTCTTACTGTAAATATTACCTAGTGAATGGGTTGAGTACTACTCAATATAGAGATGGGCTAAGAAGTGAGACGAGCGGATTTTCTTCATTTTAACCTTTTGTATCTATACCATTTGGCATCTTAAACCGGCGCACGGAGCGGAGGGATGAAACTTTTTTTTTTTTTCAATGGCTGTGGGTAAGTCTCCCAATGCCAGCGAGGCTCTATAATTACAAGGGAGAAAGGATGTGCGGATTTGATATCAGGTACCTACCTACCTACTTAGGTACCTAGCTATACCCCTTCTCTCTCTCGGACTGAGATTCCATATCATCTCTAACACTAGGTATCTTGGGGATCACCAGGTAGATATTGTTCCTCAGATATTATGAACGAAAAAATTCTACAAGATTCTTATTATGTCTCACAGTGATTATTACATAAATGGCCCATGTAGGTAGATTTGCACCTCAAGGTGCGTCAGGGTTGGCTGTTTAGGGAGTTATGTACCACGGATGTCAATATCAATGGCGTGACATCCATGTTAGAGTAGGCGCCAGCATTGGGGTATAGGTAAACACCGTGAAACTTGATCTTCTCGAATATTAAGTTGAGCATGTGCAATTCTATGACCTGCCTGGTACAGAAATCATATCTAATTTTACTATAGGTACCTACCTAGGTATCTAGGTAGGCACTGGACTGGTACCTATACGTTGGGGTACAGACTCGCGAGAACGCTACTTTTTGATCTGAAGTCTCTGTTACGGAAGTGATTCGTTAATGCCTAGGTACACATTACTACTAATTGTCAGTGAAGCTGAAGCTGAAGTACTAAATAACACGTCTTCATAACATCGAGCCGTAGATAGATAGGTAATCATTTTCAGCATTATATAAATGCAATTGAATTACTTTTTTTTGGCCACCACCGCTCTGTCTCACCAGAGTTAACTACAAAGCCCCCATTGGTCGTTACCAAGGGGGATGCTCAACCCCGACTCCTTGCAGCATGAGGGACCACGTATAAACGTGTATCAGAAATATCAACGCCCTATTCGATAGATGGGTTTAGGATGGGCTTCGCAGGTAGTAATTCCGGTGTGAAATCATTTCAATAGCGATAAACATTCATCAGCCATCTGCTTCACACGCGGCTCGGAGACGCGATCTTTACTCGATGCTATAGACGATGACATACTTCTTGCCTCGGGTGCGTACTTGCCGATCACGGTGATAAGAGTGCCAGCGGCTACTAGCGCTCGAAATATGACCTCCCCTTCGGTCTGTTTCTGAAGAATCCATGCCAGCGCTGTTAGTAGGCGAACCTGTACGTTGCTCGGTACCTTTCCCGGTTCTCTGGATGCTAGAACACCGAAATTTACCATCACTGTGGTCAAGGCAACCTGCAAATTGCGATTGAAAGGTCCGATCGCGGGCTGACCACCAATACCTAGCACTCGATCAATGAAAGAAACAGTCGCCAGCCCTTCTGAAGACTGCCCAAGAAGTTTCCGGCCTTCGGTAGACCCGAAGAGATTGGCGATCGTGCGGGCTGCCATCATGACGTGGTGCTCGTTAGGCTGCCCGTCGGATAAGACTCCTTCAAGTGCGGCTGATATGGCTATCTGCGCCAAACTACCAAAGTCGGATGACTTGAATTTAGCAGCGCCGGAAGAAGTCGCGATGCAGCGCAAAAGATCGAGAGGCGCGAGCCTGTCGGAGTAGTCCCACCGTGTACACATCATGGCCACTAAGTTGATGGAGGCCTCGTCCCCCACTGGTTGATTCGTTTCCAGTCTCTGCTTCACAGTAGCTAAGATTCCTTGCGCCGGTGGGTTGAGGGAATGGTCCTTGCGTCCCGCCGCCTCGAGGCCAGAATTGATGCTGAGTATCTTCTTAAAGATAGCTACGTAATTAGAGTTAGAACTACCGTTGTATTAGGAGATGGTCACATTTTCACTGATACTTACGATCATATTTGGCAGCTGTGATATCCAGATACTCGCGCTGTGGTAGAGCCTTACTGCTAGATGCGCTAGAGTCATCACCTGGTCGATATCTTGACTCGGTGCCGTATGGGCCGGATCCTCCCCCATTCTCGATATCCTGGCCAATCGTGGCGCCTTGCGTATTAGAAATGATGAACTGGGCAACCTGATCAAGGAAGTTTTGCGAAAGCTCGTTATCGTCGATGAATTTCTGGGCTCGGGTATAGGGATTCTCGGATAAGTTGTATGGTAGCTTCAGGGAGGGCTGACCTTCCTCAATGGCGACGTCGAAGACGTAATCATAGGACTGGCCATTATACTCAACCTTGCGCCCGCTACTGCCAACCGCATCTACAACGGTACCGACGTTGACCCACTGCTGCTGGCTCATCGACCACTGGTGTGCCGTCACCGAACTGTCCTCTTCTCTAATCATCTGCACTTGGCCTTCTTTGGTGCCCGATTTATTCTTTAGGAAGTCAGGACCCGGAAGCTTTTCCTTGTTGACGCTCCCAACCTGTTGCTGCGGTATCGAAGACGACCTTACAGATTCGTCGAAATGAGCTATGGTATCAGGACTGGCCAGGCGCTCCCGGCTGCGAGAAAAGACGCGAGCAACGCCGTCGCTAGTACCTGTCACGATATCTCCGCTTTCAGAGCACACCGAGACGGACCATACAGAAATAGCGGGATGGGTGATGGTCTGGAGACAGTCGGAGCCTCGCCATATGCGGACAGTTCGATCTTCCCCCGAACTGACCAATTCACCAGAAGGTAGGGCAGCGAGGGAATATATGAAGCTCTCGTGGCCACGTAACTCCCCAACTTGTTGACCGTTTAACTTCCATAGACGGATAACCCCGTCGTTGCTAGCGCTGGCAAAGTCGGCGCCGCTAGGGTGGCCGGGCGGAACCTGACACAGAGCTCGAACGACGTCGGAAGTGTAGATGGTACTTTTGGGTTGGATCTCGGCAGCCACGGCAGTACGAACGTCGTAGATGCGGATGTTCTTGTCGGCGGAGGCAGTTACGATAGTGTTCTTGTCTAAAGGCAAAACATCCCATACCGCTTCCTCATGTCCGCTTAGAATAGCCTCCAATTCCCACTTCTGAAGGTTCCATATCCTCGCAGTCTTGTCCCAACTACCTGACACTAGATAATGACAGCCTGGTATAACGGCCAATGCGCAGATATTTCTAGCGTGACCAATCAATAGACGCTCGGCATTGTCATTAGGAGCTGAGGTGGGTTTCCTGACGTCGATAATGGTATCGGAGCCGGCAGATACGACTAGGCCGTCGGGGTAGTCGGGCGAGGGGGACAAGTATGTTAAACTGTTGTAAAATTCGGTACCTTTGGTGGCGACAGTCGACTCAAAAGTTGGGGGGGAGGTGGAAGTTCGCTTCCAAGCGCGAACAGTACAGTCTCTGGCCGCGGAGAGTATGAGATCTGGAGCGGGGAAGCAGACATGCCGAACCTATAGAGAAGGGAGGGTATCAGTAAGAAGCACTAACTTATTTAACTATTAAGTTAAAGATGGAGAGGGAAAGGGAAAATAAGCGATGAGCTCGTACATCAGCATTGTGTCCGACAAGCTGCGCGGATAGCTTGAAGTCAGCCATTTTGTGGCCGGATGACTACCGCGACTACCGGAGCTTTCTTCTAAGTTGCGATACGGTTGCTTTTTGGGATCGGGAGACTGATTTCACGGACTTTGATCCGGGAGTAGGTATTTATGAACCATGTAGATCCAACAAACTTACTAAGTAATTGGCAATAGACAAATAAAAAGGATGAATGTGGAGGAAACCTTCATATACAGGTAGTTATATCCAATGTTTGACGTTTGGTGGAGGTATGTACCTGCCCACCATAGAAACATCTAGTATAAAAGGTTAGTAGGCTGGCAGGTTGGTACCTAGGTAGTAGGTAAGTAAAACTAACGCAGGTGGGTAGGTGGGGGATTTTGGGCTGAGACTTCTAATTTAGAATTCCTAGCTGAGCATGACGGCATCAATGGATTACTTGATCATGTATAGATATACGTAATTTTGACCAAGTAGGTACATCTGTAATATCACCTGTGGCACGTTTGAAGGTACTAGGTATTGTACATATATCTACTAGGTAGGTATGTACTTATCTATGTACATATGCCCCCACCTTATCTTACACTGGGCAACGGATCTAGGCTTAGACCCACTTAACTAGCCGTCGCGTCGATGAGGCTCGTTAATTGAATCTTTAATCCAATCCATTCTGCATGCCAAACCCCAAACCCTTCAACGCCAACTTCAACACATTTTTCCTTTCCTTTTTTAACCTCTCGTAACTTCAACAACCCCCTCCCCTCCTCCTTGTCTCCCTAGTCTCTCTTTCTTAATTAGGACCTTACGACTTCGATCACTTTGTTCCTTGGACTCTAATCATCCACTTCAGTTCAATTTGGACGTAGCTAGAATTCAAAAGGTACCGATCTAAACACGACTCGCGGCGACCCAATTACTATTCTCCATTCCCCATTCCTCCTCCCTTTCATGAATGCGATTCCAAATTAAACGTCACGACCCGTTACGATTAGTCACGAACACCCGTCTTTCTCTTCATTAGTCTCTCCGTCGGCATCCTCACGTGGTTGTCGCATTCGTTTTTCTTAGCTACCTAGTACATTTTGCGGCGCATCTCATTCATCGCCGACAACTATACAGCCGTATACTCATCCTTGCCTACTGGCGCGTTACCCTTTCGAACACTCGACTCTTATCATCGCCCTTCGACTGAAGTGCACGCGAGCCCCGACGCCTCGACAACTCTATTACGGTGTAAACGTTTATTCCGACTATTTTCCATTCTGAAGTTCAGATCTGAGCCTTTTAGTTTCAGCTCCACGCTAGGTTTTGAGAAGCTTTGTTTTCGAGCATATTCGTAATAATCGATTCTTACAATGGCTGCCACCGAAGCCTCTCGTCAATATGTCCCGCTTACCTGTCACGGCCACTCCCGTCCAGTTCCACATATCAGTTTTTCGCCGCTTGAGAAAGACGACGTGTATTACTTAATCTCAGCATGTAAAGGTGCGTACCTATTCTTTCGATACCACTAGCAAACATGCTAACAAGCGTCTCATTCAGACGGCAACCCCATGCTTCGCGACGGTCAAACCGGAGACTGGATCGGTACCTTCATCGGGCATAAAGGCGCTGTTTGGCAAGCCAGACTTAGCCCCGACGCAGCTACCGCTGCCACGGCCTCTGCGGATTTCACCGCGTGGGTGTTTGTCCCCCTCAACGCCTAAGCACCAGCTAAACTGTATTGATAGAAAGATATGGGACACCCACACCGGCGAGCTTCTGTTCACTCTGCAGCACGATCATATCGTTCGCGCCGTCGCGTATCCGCCGGACAATTCCGATCTCGTCGCTACTGGTGGTATGGAGAAGAAGCTTCGCATCTTCGACCTCACTGAGATGAAGCCCGCTTCCAACACCGATGCCGCAACGAATGGTAACGGCGCAGAAGCCGCCGTCGTGCCGTCCACCATCTTGGCATCCTCCGCCTTTGAGATAGGGGCCGGAGTTCACACTGCCTCTATCAAGTTCATCGTCTGGACGAGGGATCCTAACATTCTCATTACCGCGTCCGACAACACCCTGCGCTGGTTCGACTTGCCTAGCCGAAGCGTCGTGAAGCAGGAAGTTCTGGATGGCGAGATCGGATCATGCGAATTCTGCGCGCTGGCTCCTGAGTACACATCCAAAACAGATATCGGCGAGGGATTGCCGGTTCTGGCCGTAGCTGCTGGCAAGTCTATCTACTTTTGGGGTGGTCTCCGTGCTATGAATGAACTGAAGCGCACCAAGATGAGCTACAAGGTGGCAAGTGTCGCCTTAGACCCCAAGGGTAGGAAGATCATTGTCGGCGAAGACATTCCTGCTACGTGGGCAAGAGTTTACCGATGGGACGACGATGTAGAAATAGGTTTGTGCTCTCATCATACCTAATATTTGATCCTATCGCTGATAAGTTTGGGCAGATATCCACAAGGGCCACCACGGACCTGTTTGGTCGGTGGCCTTCTCGCCGGACGGTAAGCTGTACGCGACCGGGTCGGAAGACGGAACTATCAAGATGTGGAAGAATTGCGATGGGTTCTACGGCCTTTGGCGAGGAGGCGCGAACAGTATGTAGCATCCAGAATTATTTGTTCCCCTTTCTAGTATCATTTCCGCTCCCTTGGAATTAGTCACTTTCGAGACATGCATTAAATGAGCCAACAATCCCCTACCTAAGCAAATAAGCAATTACTGACTCTATTTGTTATAGTGGGGACCGAACGAAGTGTCGAATAGGGCAACGCACTTCAACGTAGGCCCTCAACTGGTTCGACTAAGAACGGCGAAGACATTTCGAGCAACCCCCCCAAGGAACCACTCCAACTTTCCGTCGTTGGAAAGGAAAACATCGTCCTCTAAATGAGCCATGATGTTGCCCGAGTCTTCTCCCCTACCGAAAACGATTCGATCAAGTAGCATGCTTAGACGTTTTGGGTCAAAGACGGGGCGTGTAGTCCGAGATGATATTGACCCGGGTGTTTATCGTCTTATAGTCGCTAGATGTGTAAAACTAACATCAAGGTGGAGGATCACTGTACTATTGCACCATATTGCTTGGAAGTGAGACATAGATGCGATAATAAAGTCGAAGGAGCCTGCAAAGGTAACCTCATAGTGGTGCAATTTGATCATTGTGATCTGCTATATAATTTGAGAATTGTGACGAGGGTTGGAAACTTAGCCTGTGAACTTTTGGCCACGCAAAGTAAGTTGTCAAGAGGAAAAAAGCCGCTAGGTTAGGTACCAGGGAGGTGCCTATTTATTTGTTCGTTCCGAGTTAACATTGCAAGTGCAGGAGGGTTAAGCAGTGAGCGTATTGAAAGTACGACTCATTCCACAATTATTATGCCTTACTAGGTTCCTAGTAGGTACCTACATAGGTGTAGATTTGGAAAGAGCTCCATAGTCATCCAAGACCAAGTATATATGGATGCTAGATTCAACATGTTGATAAGTTCAATGTCGTTGAAGGTATGACGATCTTGGGCAAAGGAGGCTTACAACCTTTGAGGGGGGCAAATACCGAGTGGTAGCCTTGATAGCATCGGACTCGGCGGTATTTACAACATTGTCGCCGTCTCTCCTTATATAACCCCCACACGCATATTTGGGCAAGATGGCTTGGTTGGTCAAAAACAAACAGTGTCTCAATCCTAACAGATCTACGTAGACTACGGGTAGATCTTATCACCCAATGATTTCTAATTTGAGAATCATTCTACTACCGTTGGCCTGGCCAATTCCTTACTTGAAGTTTATTTATTTGATAGGCCGAGAGATTGCTCATTCTATCATATGGACTCCATAGTGCATCCATAGGTATCACTTCGCGTCCCTACCATCCAGGTATGCACTTATTAACTGACATCTTTAGAGAACCCTTGGAAGGTAAGCAACTATCCGTAATACCGTCGGCCAGTTGATAATGTAAATAACAGCTTAATTTATCAATCGCACGATTGCAGTTCAATTCGCTTACCTACCACCTAGTATGTAGTACCTACCGAGGTAGGTAGGTAATAGTTCAACCAACAATTTTCAGTTCAATTATGCTGCAAAAGCGCACTATAATTACCTATAGGAACCTTGGAAGTTTTAATGATTTAGTGGTTTCCATATATTTTAATACCGCCACCAGCCACAACCGTCTACGAGTAACTGGTTCGCACCTCGCCGCTAAAAGCCCTGAGACATATAGCACCTTTTAGGGCTTGACGCACTGTAAAACTAGAAACGGTCTGGAATGAACTCCATAAGGGTTACGGAACTTTCAGTTGAGTTATGTTTGACAAGAGGGAAAGACTACCTAGGTACTGGCGTCGCTAGTTCCGATCCTACAAAAATCGTCATGAAGGTAGCTAGGTACCAGGTAAAGCTCTTGGCGGATTATACCCATGAATCTATCTGGATGGGTTTGCCTCACCTTTTCCGAGTACCTCCGCAATTCTACAGAAAAGGAGCTGCCGCCCAAGAACCCGAAGGGCACGGAGGCTACTTGAGTAGTATTCAGCCGCAAAGCAAGGCGCATCACCCATCTTCCCACATCATCGATACCGATGCGTGGCACAGAACGCCCATGCTTACTACGAGTATCGGAAGTCAGAAGACTCTCTGCCGCCTCAAAAGTGAAATAAATCTTAGGAGAGCCGCCCAGGTTGGTAGCCGACAACTTCTTCAAAAGGCGATAACGCTCTTTCAAGACAAACCGAGCCCTGAATGAGGGGCGGTATGCAGGGGGAGTTCCAGATGTGTGAAGCGGGGCACCAACACGTTTTGATGGTGTTTTAAAGAGACACCCATATAGGTATTAAAACCCTCGGCAAGCAATTCTCGCCCCGACTTAGCCAATGAGGATCGTGGCCGACTAAATCCGGACCCTTCGTATGGTAGAGCTCCAGGTCTGATCCGGGGCTAATCAATGTGTGACTGTGGAAGCAAGAGGTGTCAGCCGCACAATATTAAGGCAAGTTGCAGACGGACATCTCGCGGGACCTGACTGATGATCTACATGATTCAAGATGCGCCCGCTCACATGTAAACTTACTTACCCATCAACTATTCACATGTCCTTGCGGTGATGCTGAGGGCGCGGGGAGTCTGTTTTCGGTCTCATACCCTAAGCATATAAATCTCGGAAGCCTCTGTATCTCCTACTGCCCAACACAAGCCGCCAATGTCGTTGACGACAACGACTGCTAGGCAGCGGGCGGCAATTGGGGAACGCCTTTCCGAACTTACAACAGTCTTCACTCCGCCGTGCCCAATTACGTGGCTGCTGACAAGCACAAAGGTGCCATCGCAGTATCCAGCCTTTCCTACCACAGGACCTTCTTCATGCGATCCTCCCTCTTGGGTCGACAATATCTCCCAGAAGGGCTTCGGCTACTACTCGCCCGCGATATGTCCTAGCGGCTTCTATGCGGGCTGCACCGCCAAAGATGATAGAATTGGTGAAGGATTCCCACCAACATCGTCAGGGGAGACCGCCATGTACTGCGTTCCAAGGTATAATGGAAAGCTTCTAAGCCCCTTTCCTGATATCATGACTAATACAAAGTCCCTCGTACAGTGGATTCGCCTGCACATCAGACACAACAGACTTTCGAGGCGGCATCTGGGGATTTCAAACAGGCTCGGGGAGTAGACCTTCCGCTACCGTAGGACCAGCCATACAGATCCGCTGGAGGCAACAGGACCTTTCCAGTCTCCAAACCGACCCTTTGGACCCTAACTCGCCGGCCAACGTCGTCATCGTTGCCTCCTCAGAAAACGTCGTGGTCGGTGACTCGTCGAGTTTCAGTACAGCCGGAGCTATAACCTCTACAATCACATCAGCTCATTCAACACGCCAAATAACTTCGGCAACATCTATCTCGACACCAATCCCGGCTGAAACGGAAACAGATGTACCACGGATTAGCTCTCCTATTATACCGACCGGGACAGAGGTGTCAATGAGCACATCCCAATCCTCCCCATCTAGTCAACGGGATGCGGCGACGCCTATCCTGACAGGAAGCACATCCACCACTGGCAGTGAGAACAATCCGAGTCCTAGCGTAAATGAAGGGAGTTCCGCAGGCGTTTCCTCAAGCACAAATACGGCAGCGATGGCTTTGTCCGGAATTCTTATCGTCATCATACTCGGATTTCTGGCAACCGTATCATTTCGTCGGTATCGTCGGTACCGCGCCGGAAAGATAGAGGCCTTCATCCCCTTCAAACCCAGACACTGGGCTAAAGCTATCCTAGGTAAATGGTCTAGTAGATCAATGCCCTCGCATCGTGACCGTGGAAACCTCCCACCTAAACTTCCAGATGCCGAATTAGGCACCGACGGTCCTATCCCGGAACTTGGACCGGGAGACCCGCTTGGCACAAAAGAGAACCCAGCAGAGCTAGCGGGGAATGGCGTGAGGAATAGCTGGATGTCAAATATGTCGCGGATATTTACTGGGAGATTGAGAAAGGAAGTTTGGTCAGTATAAAAGCTTTGCCAGTTTCATCAATTACGTATTCTGGGAAACGGTGCATATGGCTAGATGATGGTGTTTTAAGGAGGTGATCCTGGGCCGCTGTGGATTGATTTTGCATTTTACCCTACCAACCTACCTAGAGTGGTAGATAAAGAACCTTGGAAGGCTTGGGGTAACTAGCTAAAGTGTCGTCGCTGTTTACCCATGATGAATAAGTATATACCTACCTAGGTAGGTAGTTGATTCATCACAAAACTTGACAGTTACTTCCAAGGTTGTCTTACGTGCATAGGTACCTAGTTCAGATTTAGGTGAGAAAAGGGAACATTAGCGTTTTAATAGGGCATACACCCCTAAAATATAAGGCCTTAGCCCCCTGTATTTAAAACATAATGTTGTATAGGCACCCACCTAGCAGGTACCTATGCAGCTATGGTAAGCAATGTCATCTAATTTGAACAGCACTTCTGACTTCGCATTAAAAGACCTCGTATCAATACATCCAGGTAAATAGCAGGCACCTAGAATAGTCCTTTATGGTGTATACCTACACACGTCAATTTGACGCGTAAGGAGTTCCATATGGTTGTAATTTCACACCTTCGACATCGACAAATCCGAACTTGGAGTTATCTTCATTCTTACTCATCTCCTGAACCCATTTCTCCATGGATTTAAGGAATGGTTCCCTATGATCGTCTCGGGTGAAGTCTAGAGGTTCATTATCATTTCCCACTAGTCGCATTCTAGATAATCTCGTTAGCGATTTGCAACAGATCATAAATTCGACTCCCGCGGGAGACAGATGGGAACCACTTTGCTAGACATACTGTGTGCCTGATGCCAAATTTGTGAGGGCATACTCTTGCTCGTCGAAGTATTCAACAGCACTTTTAACACTCCCATCTAAGATCTTCTTCGGCAGATCAAATTCGTTAGATGCCGGCCTTGCCAATCCGATCCCGTCCACGGTCTGGAGCGCATTCACCATGGCATCCGCGGATCGAAATCCGCCAGTGACATAAACTTTCGTCTTAGTTAACAGCGGAACAATCTTCTCGGCAAATTCCAGGAAAAAAGCCTCTCGCTTCTTGGTAGACTCCCGCCTGTGAGCAAATGCGAGGTCTTGGTACGTCCCACCAGATAACTGTAGTACCTTGTCAGCTTCAAACCCCCATCATATCAAACTAGGCGGACGTACCTCAACGAAATCGAAATTGCGTTCTTCGAGGGCGGCGCAAAGGCTTTTGCAATCATCGGTACTAAATCCGCTCTCCTGGAACTCCACGCTGTTAACCTTGATGCCAACGATGAACTTCTCGTCGTTAACCCGCTTCCGAATCTCATCGGCGACTTCGAAGATCAGACGCGAGCGATTCAAGAGCGAGCCCCCATACTCGTCTGTTCGCTTGTTAGTGGTCGGGGACAAGTACTGCGCTAACAGATATCCGCTATATTCCTAGTGAGCCCTTGAATTTAATATCATTACACGAGCTAACTCACTGCGCCCCATGCAACTCAATCCCGTCAAAGCCGGCTTTATAACAATATTCTGCGGCATGGGCAAACCCGTCGATAACGTCCTGAATATCTTTCTTATCCATGGCTCTCGGCTTCGTAAATCTCATACCCATGATAACTTGATCAAGGTGAACATCACTGGCAGAGATAGGATGCTCCTGGATATCGGCAGTGACTTGACGACCTGGGTGAGACAACTGGCAGACGACGAGGCTTCCGTGTGCCTTTGCTTGGGATGCTATGTCTGCAAAGCCTTGGAATCTTTCACCGGAGAACGGCGCATCTCTGGGAATAATGGGATTGCCCGCAGCCTCAAGATGATCATACTCAAACATCGTGTTACCTGTTAAAATAACACCAAACCCTCCCTCACCCCATCTCTTATACACATTGATCAGCTCTTTGGTAGGTACCCCACGTTTCGGAAGATCTTTGGCATCCCACGTCGAGAGACGCTCGGTCATCGAAGCCTTCAAGAACCGGTTCGTAGCCGTCCTACCGCTAAATTTAAATGCTAAAGGACGACCTAGAGGTTCTGGATCGACATCCTCGCCGTGGAAGCGTTTCGGTGGCATGGTGATAGAGGCTTCTCAAGTTGAAGGTTGATCAGAAGAAGTTGTGTTTACCTACCTGTAAGTGATATTCAATGAAGTATAAGAAAATATTACCGTAGGCAAGAGAATCTCTCGATTTTAATACCCATTAACACTTGCGAAATAGTCGTACGTAACCTGAGGATCGCAAGAGGTGTTCTCGAATATTCGCAAGCCATAACCGGAGGGAAAATCATTGCCAATAGACGGATTTGTCAGGCAGTTCATAATCGTCGCCGAGTCGGGAATCATCCTGCCTACCCTTATAGCTTTACCGGGTTTATTATGGACCTTGCACGGCACAAATATTTCCCCTAGCATACACATCGGACTTGGAATGATTCCGAGTAGTTAAGAATGCTCTGGAAGTATACCCACTAATAAATGATTAGGGGTATCTTAGCGGGGGTTGCTTAAGTAAGTAAGTATCATTATGAAGCAATCTGCGATTATTCAACGTATATCTGGATTACTGATGAAGTGAACATGGTAAGTGGGTAGCTAGGAGAGTTAAGGTATGATCATCATTCCATATACGTAAAATACCCACATTAAGGATAAATCTCGCAACAAACTAGCTATGGCATGTCGTAATGATGTTTTTCGGTTTGAAATTTCAACAGCCTAAGGACCTACCTAGGTATGTTAAAGGTTTAACTAGCACGTTAACCATACTAATATGTTTCTTGACTTACTTAGGTACCTAGGTAGATAACGATACTTTGAAATCTCTTTACCCTATGGGAATTCAGCAGGAGAGTTGCTGATAGGTACGAAGTAGGTACGCTCAGTTTATGAAGGGTTCTTGTGTTGAGAGTGACTGTCGACTAGATTTTTTCACTTGGACCGGGGTGCTAGGGGTTTCCTATCGTAGTAATTCCGTCAATTCCGGTACTAATGTTCTCCAAGCCCCGCCCATCTCCGAAGCTCGCGCAGAGGACTGATATTTTCGTATCCATGGATGGAAGCTACAATCTTAGACTCTTAGTGCCTAGGTAGGTAATCATCATCAGTTTAGTTCAAGAAGTCCAAGACCAAATTACCTAATCCTGGAAGGGGATAACACCATATAATGAAATCAAAGGATGGAATCTACCTAGGTAGCTAGTTGACAACTTGGAACATTGAGGCCAAGTCCCTGACCTAAGGAACGGGTATGAACAATCACGACTACCTACCTAAACAATATCTACGCAACGTCGCGGAGCCTGCCGCCGCGCGCATGCATTGGTCAATTTAACTCAGATCATTAAAGGTGATTGTGCCAGTAGTATCATTCAGAGATGTTTTGGAAGATCGGTGAATTACGAATACGATGTATGAACCATCTAAGGACAGACTTGTCCATTATTAAGTGGCGGATTGTCGTCAAGTATATCGATTTGGGGAAGAATACCTACCTAGGTAAAGATATGCCAAATAGTAACTCTGTAAATGTATACCTATAAATACCTACCTAATATGGTATTTCTAAAGCTGCTAGCATTGCAACTTCAACCACCACATGAGGGAACTAGAAGGCAAGGGCATAATGACGTCGTTGCGTGAAAAGCTCTAAACTACCTAGGTACTCCCACTAAGGAGAGCAGCGGATACATATAGATGAGGCTCTGTCTATTCTGTCCCTAGAGCTAGCGACCAACAGAATTGAACACAACGGATCTCCACAGGTCGAGTCCTAATCTCATAGACCCCTAGTTACTGGTCTTCCTCCAGACCAGACTTCTGACACCATATGAGACCATTGTGGTAACATAGGTAGGTATTAATAAAGCTTTGTTGCCATTAGCTGCCACTTACTGATCGACTACCTAAGTACAGACAGAAGAGCGTTGTTGGCTAATGGCAAGGGATACAAACCGATCCAACGGAGTAGACCCGTCCGCCTGCACTCCTTGTTCTTCCATATCCCGATATATTTTATCGATATAACTACCGGCTGCTGATAAATTGAGGATATGGGCAATAGCACGATGGATAGCTAACAGTCGAGGAGACGGAGGCTCGATTATTCGGTCGGCCGTAAGATAAAGCTCACGGGTAACAGGAAGCCCTGCTCCCTGAGCCAAAAATCCGTCTTCGAAGGTTTTAATCGTGTAAACGTGATCTCTTCCAAAGACAGGTTCGAAGTACACTTGGAAATCGCCAAATAGTCGATGTTGATTCACAGTAAGCGTAAGAGCATTACGTGGTCGATCAACCTCAGGGCCTTGGATTAATTCCGCAGCACCGACATCAAACATGTTCAGGATAGCAAGCGCAGACTGTTTGGAATGGTCCTAGTTGAAAGATTAGTTAAAGAAGCTAACCCATCCCCATCTCCCCCCCAAAAAACATACTAGTTCACCCCACTGATTAACTTTGGTAAGGGAATGTGGTAGGATGTGGGCCAGTTCTAGGAATTCGGGGTACCCATTTAGATCATTTCGTACCAAATTCCCATCATCGTCTCGAGCACCGTCGGGATTATGGCGACGTTGTGCTTCGGCAAGGTCAAATTTTCGTGATATTACGCAACGATGACGGTCACGAACAAGACAGTCCCCCCAAAGAAATGATAATCGGGGCCCCGTTCCGACGTACTGTTGGCCGCCTTGACCTTGTGCTTCCTGGACTACAGAATGCCAGGCTGGTGAAGGTTGCGGGGTCTTCTTGGTGGAAACTTTCACTACGAGGAATTAGCAACTAAGTGATATAGTAGCGAAGTTGCGGCAAGGCTTTACGCGGCAGAAAAAACTTATTAAAGAGATAGTCTCCAAAGTCGAAGAATTTCGAGCGGATCTCTTCAAAATTAATGGGTTCATCTCCATCAATCTGAAAATCTACAGCTTGGAAGAACGCGCGCAAAAAGTAGTCCCTAGACTGTTGAGAAAGCGAATACGAATGAGTATAACGAATAAGCCGAGGACGGCTAAAATCTCCTTGAGGTATCCCGGTGTCAAAGTGTTCACAAATTTCGTGAAGTTTACGGCTAGCTTGGTTGCGCAGTTCTGTTTTTAAAGGTGGTTCTGGAGAAAAGTTGATGATGCTTTCAAGTGATGATTGGTGGCGGTGAAGGGGCGATGCCATTTTTACCGTGTTTAGCTTTCAAGACACGGGGTTGAGATAAGTATGAACGGTTGGTAAGCGAACTGGCATTTCGAATAGTAAGTAAATGCTTTACTTATCATTACATGCCCAAGTGATCAACGAGGCACTTCGCCGATGCACGAGTTTAGAAGGTTGTTATGTTACAACATATCCCAAGCTCCAAGCTTGCCAATTAGCTCAAAAAGTCGCTTTAACCACCTCGAATGCCGCTAGACCCCTTTAATATTGCATTAGCCTTAGTTTCCGTAACCTCCCATTAAATGTCTCTCAGGGTTAGGGTTAGGGTTAGGGTTAGGGTTAGGGTTAGGGTTAGGGTTAGGGTTAGGGTTAGGGTTAGGGTTAGGGTTAGGGTTAGGGTTAGGG